AAAATTCCCATGCGTGTCAACAATACTTTGGCAAGTGTGGATTTCATTAGTTTTTGTCTGAAAATGTAGAGATTTTCTAGCTTCTGTACTGTTACATATTAAAAGACAAAATAGCCTGAAAAATAAATATTCCATTTACAGACTTGGTATAAAAATTAATGTCATATCACAATTATCAAATTTCAGCTTATCAGTATAGCAGCTTGAATACATACACAGAAGGGCTGTGGGGTAGCCAAGTGGTTAAAGTGTTCCCTCATCAGGGTTCGATTCCCCACATGGGTACAATGTGTGAAGCCCATTTCTGGTGTCCCCCAGTGTGATATTGCTGGAATATTGCTAAAACCAGTGTAAAACCATACTCACTCACTTACTCACATACACAAGAAATGTAATCATAAACCACCTTCATCTTCACCCATTATAGTCATCTAATGCATAAAGAAAGATATGTCGACTTTATCTGAGATAGATCCATACAGGAGATAGATGTGTTGTAGGGAAGTAGTCCCAGTACATGCTGCAGAACACATCAAAATACTATTAAAAAGTTTTTAGGAAGCTAGTATCTCTTCCGACTGCAAGTATCTGCTAATAGAGCTTGTAAATTTCCTTTGGGACAAAGTTGAATGTTATGGTACTTGAGTGTTCTCATGTTTGTTAGCTTTTAGCTTGTTAGAATAACCCCCCGGGTATGCTGGTGCATTTAATGTGTGAGTGAGTGAGTTGGTTTTTTTACAACTTTTAGCAATGCTCTAGCACTATGAGGCAGAAATGGGCTTCACACATTGTATCCATGTGGAATGGAACCTGGGCCTCCAGCTTGATAAGCAAACACTAAACCATTAGGAGCCACTATAGGATATGTTTGCTACCCAGTAAGGAAAAGAAAGAAAGGCTAACCCTAACCCTAATCCTAACCCTAACCCAACCCTGAGTATTAGAGGAGTAAGGCAAGGAGTATTGGTAAACATGGTAAAATAGTTACAACATAAGGTATCAAACATATACTATAATCATACCATCATGTTGCTGGCTAACCCTAACCCTAACTCTAACCCTAACATTAACCCTAACCCAACCCTGAGTATTAGAGGAAAGGAGTATTGGTAAACATGGTAAAATAGTTACAACATAAGGTATCAAAAATATACTATAATCAAACCAACCATGTTACCCTATCACCCCAGTCAGGATCCCCATTCCCCATTTTGTAGGGTTTTGAATTTTTTTAACAAACTTTATGGATAACAGCTTTTATTTCATGAGTGCAATGTTTTGATACAGATTCTTTTGTGTTCTTGTATCTCTATCAAAGCGTCACGCTCATGAAATAAAAAAAGTTGTTATCCATGAAAAACATTTAATATTGTATGTCCCAACTCCTAAAAATACCGACCGCCTCCGTGGTGTAGTGGTTAGAGCATCGTGACCGCCTCCGTGGTGTAGTGGTTAGAGCATCGTGACCGCCTCCGTGGTGTAGTGGTTAGAGCCTTGGCCCGGAGAGCGGAAGGTCGCGGGTTCGATCCCCGATCGTGTCATACCAAAAGACGTTAAAATATGGTACTTGTTGGTCCCTGCCTGGTGCTCGGAATTAATGGGTACAGCAAGGACTGGTCGGCTTGGAGTCAGTATAATGTGTCTGAGTGGGGTATTCATGCTTCACTGCGGCATGGTATCTCAGTGGGCTAGCACTATAAAACCAGCTTAAGTCTGGGCTAGTGCAAGCAGCCGCACATACACATACACACGCATGCACGTCGTCATATGAGTGAAATATTCTCAAGCACGACGTTAAACCCAATTCCACCACCATCACCTAAAAATGCCACCCAAAGAAGTTATGATGAACTTTAGTAAGTATGTAGTTATTATTTGCTTATAAACTGATTCAATACTTTCGGGGCGCATCCCATATAAATTATGGGTTAGATGGTAATCACTGTGACCTTGACATCACAGGTTGGTGACATGACATATGTCAGTTGACCTCTAAGGAATCTTAATGACATCAAACTACTGCATGTGATCTGAAACTGATGCACGTTGTTAAATTGTTACGTGGAAATGAAAGTTCGTGATTATACAGGTACTGTTTCAACTCATGCAGGTCACGCTGAACTGGTGTTTCTGACCATTGTAATTTGAAATGCATGCTACAACTGAATTAGTTTGAATGATTCATGTAGCCATAGTTTGTGTTGGTCCCATCGGACTTGTGATGCATGTTATATGCATCCTCTGTTGACTGGAATATTTTACAAGTGGTAAACACCCCAGAAATTGTTGTCCATTGGTATACTAATTGTATTGGTATCAGTCAGTCTGGTGGCTGGTGGGGTGTTGGGGTAGTCTAGTGGTTAAAGTGTTAGCTCGTCACGCCGAGGACCCAGGTTTTATTCCCCACACTGGTTCAATGTGTGAATCACGCCGAAGACCCGGGTTCGAATCCCCACATGGGCAAAATGTGTGAAGCCCATTTCTGGTGTCCCCCGCCGTGATGTTGCTGGAATATTGCTAAAAGCAGCATAAAACCAAACTCAGTCAGTCAGTCAATGTGTGAAGCCCATTGTGGTGTCCCCTGCCATGATATTGCTGGAATATTGCTAAAAGCGGCGTAAAACTATACTCATTCACTCTGGTGAAACTCTCCTTTTCTAAGAATTGGTATAAGTGAGTGTGTTATTAAGCCTGGTGTCTGGTAAAACTCTCTTAGCATGTTATCCAGTGAAATATGCATTCCAAAGAATTAGTGTACTGGTAAGTGAGTGAGTGAGTAAATGAGTGACCATGCATGCATGATTGGGTAATTACATATCATCATATCCCAGTTGTGTTCATGACGTCAATCACTGGATTTTCTGGTTCAGATTTGATCATCAACCGACATAATGGAACATAGCTAGAGTCTAGTGTTATACATCAAACAAACAAAGTTTGCCTAGCTATAAGTAAGGAGAATAGGGCCGGAAAGGTTTGGGCATAGTTGTAGTCCCTACACATGTTTACTGTTGTTAAAATCCTCACTCAGCAGTATTCCAGCTACACGACAGTGGCTTGACGATAATGAAGGTTGGACCAGACAATCCAGTGATTGATGTTGTCAGCAGCAATACATACTGTCAACCCAGTCACGGAGTCTCACCATCGGATTCATTTAGTTAGTCCCCTCCTAACATCAGCAACGGTTTCCAGGTCCGACTGTTACCTAGAGACTTCCTCAAGGACTCACTACCACTGAGACTGTTTAGAAAACATCAGTTAAAGAACTCTCTAGCCCAGAAGGTACAGAATACACTCGGTTCCCCCAAGTGTCGGGGTGTGGGAGCAGCCATCCAGATTGGAATGTTCCAAATAAACATTTACAAATTACACGGAATGAGGCAAGTGGGCCATGCATGGAGAGAAGGGAATTAGCGGAAGACGGCTCAAAAACAACATCCAGCGGGAAGAAAAAACATAGATTATCGGCATGTTGTTTCTCCGTGCATGTTTATATGATGCTGATGAGCGTGATCACCTGCAGACAGCGTTGCTGCTATGTATGTGGTGCTGTAGGCTGATCATTCCTGGGATTTGGAGGAAATTACTTTTCTATTATATGATAAGACAAATACACAAGTTAGGATTATTTGTTGTTGTAGGGAAAGCGGTTTTGCTAAATAACATATGAGGAGGTACTTGTTTGCTTTGACGGTAGTAAGCTTTGGAAGATGAATCTGTCTTACTTTATTGACAAATAGATGCCTGAATGGCGGTAGGTGCACATTATGTAGTCATGGATATTTTGGCGAGAAATTGGTAATATTTGTTTCGTTTGAAATAAATATGATGGATTTGATGTGACGTGAAAGTGCTTTCAGAAAGAAAACGTAATGGTGAAAAAGAATGTTTTGATGTTTAAACAGTTTTGTATCATAATGACGCTCCATTAAAATATTTGTGTGTTGAATAAAAATGTCTTTGATGGTAACGTGGAGTGTTCCGCTAAACACTTCGCCACTTTGATCAATACAAACGCAATAAATTCTAATATTTTGCTTTTGGCCGATTTGACTTTAAACAAATGAAACTGCAAGATGAGGAAAAAAAATGACCTGCAACATTAAAAAGGATTTGCATTCCTTTAAATTCACATTTAAAAGGAATACAATTTTCCACATATTTGATGTTAAACGCCCAAGATGGAAATGAAGTTGATGAATTATTTGTGATGTGAAAATACTTATTTTGATGGAGTTGTGATCAGATATAATGACGAAGTCGGTCAGGAGTGGGATGTGGTGAATGATTATTACTCAAGCACGACAGCATCTTTGATCAGTGTTTGTTCAAACGCTGTTTGTGACACGTTTGCCTTTCACGTTTCTCTTGAAGATGGTGTAACTACTTAATCTATTAGATGAGTTTTTAGCCATGGCGCTGAACTTCAGCAGCAGTTCATTTACAACACCAGTGTTCCATGTTTGAAAGTGTAAGAATCGATTGAAAATTTAACAGACTTATTTTTATCAGTGGAGGAAAAAGTGACTTTCTCTAGTTGGAAAGCTTTGAGGCTAGGGCTCGATGCCTCTGAGCCTGTGTTTTAACGTCTAAAGAGTTGCGTTGACAAATAGTCATTAGGAACGTAATGCACGGAAATGTTGTATTTTGATTGCAATCAGTCAGTCAGTTTTGTACATAGGGTCTTGACAAGCATGTTATTTTTTCAATTATGTTTCATATTTCAGTTTCCAGTTTCCGTTATAATGGAATAAAGAATATTCAATGTTTTGTTGCAGAGGCTATTAATCACAATGTTGCATTCAAAGTTGACTTTTTGTGTTGACGTATTGAATAACATGTAGAAAGTCATTTCAAGCAAATTGTAGGTATTTAAATTGAGCAAGTTCAATATTTTAATATCTCTCAAGATTTGTTTTTCGTTTTAATAAAGTGATGAGTTGTCAGCACACTCAGAGTAAAATATTGAATTTCATTTCCTCTTTTTTCAATGCCAGACCCAGCTGAGACATCATGACGCCAGAATCGTAGAAGCCAAAGCTCTCAAGATCAAAGAGTGGGTCACAAACAAACTGCATGAGGTGAGACACTCAAACTGTTTGACAAACTTCTTATTTTTTGCGAATGACGTACCTCTGCCATTATCATCACCATAATGCTCCATTTTGTCATCATGCAATAATAATCTTTTAGATTTTCATAAAAAGTCCACTTCACCCTAATAAGTCATGTGGATAACAGTTTTCTTTCACACAGGTTGGCAAACTACCAGAACATTATCTGCTCAAAGGGGCGGTGGGGTAGCCTTGTTGTTAAAGAGTTCGCTTGTCACGCCAAAAACATGGGTTCGATTCCCCACATGGGTTCAGTGTGTGAAGCCCATTTCTGGTGTCATCCCGCCGTGATATTGCTGGAATATTGCTAAAAGCGGCGTAAAACCATACTCACTCACTTATCTGCTCAAAAGAAGTTAAGGACCTGATTAATTCATAGTACTATACAGGTAGTTAATTTGGCATGTCATAAAGAAATCTAGTTGTCCTTAACTTCTTTTGAGTATTATGTAATGATACATTCTCTGTTGAATGTTGGTGCCACGTTGCTAAGAGGCCTCCCCTTGGTAATGATTGTATAACAGTGCACAGACATGAGATATAAGATTTATAACATGCATATTTCAGCTCAAGGAATAGAAGTCCAAACTGCAGGATATCATAATAGGCTTATTGAGAAACAAGATCCATGACTTGTATATTGCGACTGAGGAAAGCTAACCTGAGGCTGTGGCTTCAGAACACATACAATGATATGAGAACAATAGCATGTATATTTCATCCAGAGGGACAACGATTTCAAATACCTTATTTACAGCATGTATTGTGGTGACGTATGATAACATGTATATTTCATTTAGAAATACCCAAGAGGTGTTTATTCCAATATTTAGGTTGAAGTAATTTTTCAAAGATAAATCTCTCTAGGTTTCAGTCTCATTTTATACTGCAGGAAGATTTAATCTTGAAGATGTCTCCGAGTCCTGTTCTTTGATAAAGATGCATGCTCAACACCAAACGACTGCCTGTCAGTTACATGTCCGATGTAGAAATTGTTTCAATAGAACCATAGAAATTAAGAAAATTTAAGCCCTCACATTATCTTGTGATCAAAGGGATGAGGTGTAAGACAGGTCATTATTTTCCTACTGGAGGCGCATAATTTTAAAACCATTGTGAAAGGAATTTGATATGTTGGTTTTAAACTATTCTGAAACTCGATGAATCACATTCAGGTTTGTACAGTGCATAGTTATGTGTGATTAATTTTTGCAGCCATTTGGCAAAAGATTACAAACATTTTGACATTTATACAAGTGAGAACCGATGTGCATACTGTTCAAATACTTGTAGCACATTTATGCAAGTTTTGGACACTGAGCTTTTTACATGTGTCTATTGTGTGTGTGTGTGTCAATTGTATGATATGTGTCTATGTGTGTCTACTGAATGTTGTGTGTGATGTATGTCTAGTGTGTACTGTGGTGTGTGTTTATGTGTGTGGTGTGGTGAGTGTCTAGTGTGTAGTATGTCTACCGTGTGGTGTATGTCTAGTGTGTACTGAGGTGTGTGTTTATGTGTAGTGTGGTGAGTGTCTAATGTGTAGTATGTGTACTGTGTGGTGTGTCTAGTGTGTACTGTGATGTGTGTTTATGTGTGTGGTGTGGTGTGTGTCTACTGTGTGGTGTATGTCTAGTGTGTACTGTGATGTGTGTGGTGTGTATGTATACTGTGTGGTGTATGTCTAGTGTGTACTGTGGTGTGTATTTATGTGTGTGGTATGGTGTGTTTGGGGTGTGTGTTTAGGGTGTGTGTTTAGAGTATGGTGTGTGTACTGTATAGTGTGTACCTAATGTGTGTTGTGTACCCTGCAGCTGGAAGAACAGAACCTTGAGATCCAGCGTGAGAACGATATGCTACAGCAACAGGTGGAGCTGCTACGTGATCGCCTCCAGTCTCTCCCTGCCCAGGCCGTCAAGGAGATATACAGACTCAGCCTTGAAATGCAGGTCGGTGTGTGTGTAGTGAGGCTCTGGTAGAACAAGGTAGCTGCAATTGTATCTTGTAATGTGTTAGTTGAACTGACACATATACAGCATAATATGGTCTGTTGACTTCGTAAATCTAAGTTAAGATCTAATTAGTAAAGCAAGGAAAAGGTCTAACTAGTAAAGCTAACAGTTGGTCTAACCAGTAAAGCTCACAGTTGGTCTAATTAGTAAAGCGAAGATATGGTCTAACCAGTAAAGCTAACAGTTGGTGTAATTAGTAAAGCTAGTATGGTCTAACCAGTAAAGCTCACAGTTGGTCTAATTAGTAAAGCGAAGATATGGTCTAACCAGTAAAGCTAACAGTTGGTGTAATTAGTAAAGCTAGTATGGTCTAACCAGTCAAGCTCACAGTTGGTCTAATTAGTAAGGCTAACAGTTGGTCTAATTAGTAAAGCTTGGATATGGTCTAACTAGTAAAGCTAACAGTTGGTCTAATTAGTAAAGCTTGGATATGGTCTAACTACTAAAGCTAACAGTTGGTCTAATTAGTAAAGCGAAGATATGGTATAACCAGTAAAGCTAACAGTTGGTCTAATTAGTAAAGCGAAGATATGGTCTAACCAGTAAAAACAGGATAAGATATCATTGGTAAAGCTAAGATATAATATCATTAGTAAAGCTAAGATAGGGTCCAATTAGTAAAGTTAAGATATGGTCCAATTAATAAAGCTAAGATAAGGTTTAATTTGTAAAGCTAAGATTTGGTATATTTACTAAAAGTGAGATTTGGTCTTCAAAGTCAAGCTAAGATATGGTGCATTTTTGTTGTGAAGTATTATATCATGAGGGAACTTTGTGTAGCTTACATACAGGTAGATTATACCGACTTAATCTAGCCAAGACATGGTCTGAGTACAACTTAGATAGTCTACTGTCTTAGTATGGCTTAGGTGTATTCCATTGACATAGTATAGAAGAGGTATTTTCTGCTGCCTTAGTACAGCAAAGTTTAATGTACTGACTTAGTGTAGTTTAGATATAGTCTTCTGACCTGGTATAGTTAACATATAGCATTGCTAAGGTATAGTTTGAGCAGATCGATGCTCATGCTGTTGATCACTGGATTGTCTGGTCCAGACTCGATTATTTACAGACCGCTGCCATATAGCTGGAATATTGTGAGTGTGGCATAAAACTAAACTCACTCACTAAGATATAGTCTACTGACTTAGTATTGCTATGTTACTGTCTAGTGACCTTTTTACCTGATGTCTTATCTATTGATGCTACGGGGCTATGCAAAACAGCTTAGATATGGCCTGTTGATGGAGTAAATCAAACATTTAATAGAGCTAACTTAGGGACTATTGCCCTACAGTAGCAGGGATATTGTCTTGAACCAAGGTTTTGTCATTTTGGCAAACTTGAATGAAATGATCTTAGCTCTACGATGATCATTACTTATATATTCTAATGTATGGAATTATCCCTATAGTTCTTTGTGAAACAGGGCTTGTAAAGTTAACATCTTGTCTGTCTGTTCTAGGAGGGATCCATCTCCAGATCTACATCCAGAGGGTCAGAGCCAGCCTGAAATTCCACAACGACCTCGCAGCTCAGTGCTGGAAGCCATGCATCGAGAGATGTCCAGCAAACAAAGTAGTTTGGAGGACGCGGAGGAACACATTTCTGAAGGAGAGAGTGAGGAGTCTATGGGAGATATGGACCATGAGCAGCTGTACCAGGAGGTGGATGCAAACCACGAAAGTATCTACGAACCAAAACGTTTAAATCCACCTCAAATCAAAATTGAGCGGAAAATTCTCCAGAGTGCCCATTTACTGGATTCTCTTGTCAGTTCTTGCAATGGAAGTGAGGAAATGTTGGAGCGAGCTCGAGTGTCTATATCCCAGATTCAGAAAGAGTTTAACGGACATGAGGTTGATGAGCAAGATCTCATCATTGCCGAAGAAATCACTCCGATTAGTCTCACGCCCAAAACTCCCATGACACCCCTCACTCCTTTTCTTCCTGATGCACCTCCAAGCACACCAACAAACTTCTTCAGTGTCAACTTTGATGCTTCGAACATTTCAGCAATAGCGACTCTGCCCAGAGTGAGAAAAGAGAAGTTACCAGGAGTGTTGATTCATGCGGACAACACAGCGCGGGAGTTTATTCACACAGGGAGCTGATCACGGGAGTGGATATTCAGGTCCACCATTTTGCCAACTCGGAGCCAACAGACATAGGGGCAGCAGGAAGGAGATCAGTGACTATAACCAACAATGTGCCTAAACAAACAGAACAGACCTCGGGACCTCAGACCAAACCAGTTACCTCAGTGAGTTCTGTTGGCTGTACTGACTGTATTACCAAGAAAGGTGTGGCTTGAGGCAGGGGAAGGGGAGTGCAGCGTATTGGAAAAGGGGGATGCCTTAACTTGTTTCAGAAATAATGGAAATAATTCACTTTACCTTACAAATAGGTTGTATTTGTTGAAAATATAATTATGTGGTTATCTAGTCGTGTAAGGGCTCGCTCAATATGCTGCAGACCAGGTTTCCGTCACCCTTACTGGTACAATGTGTGAAGCCTGTTTCTGGTGTATTTTCCCCCTCTTCCATCCCCCTTTCCCCCAGTGATTTACCTGAAATCAGGTGATTTACCTGATTTACCTGCTAAAAGTGGCATAAAATTATGCTACTCACTCACTCACTCACTCACTCAATCACTCACGACGCGACTCACTCAACTCACACTCACTCACTCACCACCCACCCACCCACTCACTCACTCACTCACTCACTCACACTCACTCACTCACTCACCCACCCTCACCCCACTCCACCCACTCACTCACTCACTTTTCTAAACAATCATGTGCTCTAAAAGGGCGTGTGAGGTGGGGAGATCCCTGTGTGGTTTGCACCACCATGGCTATACCCGAAATGTATGTTGGCAAGAATCCTTGAAATAGTCCTTGTATTGAGATCTTCAACAAGTCCTAGATAAAACAAGTAATTAATCAGATGTTTTATTGTAAGCTTATGGACGTCAAGTTCTGTAATATGAGGAACATGATGTTTCGTAGTATAGAGTTTCTCAATGCGGGAGTAGGATATACTCTGAAACGTCATGTTCTCACATTACAGAAGCTGACATCCATAAGAAAATCCCCACCTCTACTTTGTCGGCCAGTAAATACAGTGAGCATAGCTCCATGCCATAAGCTGTGGTACATTGACAACAGTAAAGTAGCAGTTTAAATAATTGAGATATAACTCCACAACATCCAAAATTTAATTGTGTCATTTTTAACCTCCTCATAACTCTTCTGTCACTTTAACCCTACTTTCTATAATTTGTAGTTGTGAAGAAGAGATTTTGAGTATGTTAGGTGACTTTTGTTACTCTCATGGCACTGTAAAACCTACTAGAGCTGTTTTTATTTGCAGAACATATTTACGGCCCCCCTGATAAACATGTCAGTTTTGTCAGGTTGTTTGATCAGGTTAATGTTATCAGACAAGACAGGACAAATGGTCCATTTATTATGTATTTTCCCTCCTTTTTTCACAATCTTTCTGTGAATGCAGTTGTGTCATCAAAACCATCAGAAATTAGGAGCCAACAGCTAAATTCAATATTCAATATTCAGTACCAGAACGGTACTGGGAACCTAACCTGGCCATGAATATCTATCTGTTGGTTAATAGCTATTTTGACCACTGTCTCAGTATTAACCTGCATGTAAGTTTAAGGTAGACAGAGTTTCCTCCCTTGACACATCAGGGGAGATAACATAGTGTGGCAATGCTATGGGCTCAAGTTCACTCTTATACTACTTCTAGTGCAGTACCTAGACTAACATATAGTCTCTGAAATGAACATGTTTTACAGAAAAACAATTCCTAAATCAATTCTAATCATAATCATTTCTTGATTTTGTGCCATGAAAGCATACATGGACTTGGTCTTAATCACACTGTTAGTCATGTGATCATTAGACGACACAGTGTATATATTTTTATATCAAACTTTTTCACTTTTTGTCACCATTTGTGTTTATGTACCAATGGCCTTCCTACAGTACTAAACATGGTTGTATCTGCTGTTTAATAGGAGAAAAGAATCTATGCAGTAGCCAACAAGCGGACCAAAGGATGGAGGAAAGTGTCAGAGGTTAAAGGTCAGTATGACGCTATCATAATATAGTGTATATGGTGCAACTAGTCAGGCTTTTGTTTTAAGTGGAAATGATGAAAAATGAAGGTTTTCTTGTAAAACATATTTTAGTGTACCCAGTGGGATGCTTGGGGCTGAATAGTTTAATATGATTATGGGGAATTGCTCAACTTTATGGCTGTCATATATCCAAAATGGCTGCCGTGAGTGGATAGTTCCTAGTTTGGTGGCCTCTGTTGTAGATAGTCAGCTATGGTAGAGATGTCACCATGTCTCCACTGATTAGTGCTCATACTGTCTGCCACAGTTTGTGAAGGACTCATTCTATAAGGAAGCTTTAGTGCTATGGCATTGTAAGTCTAGTCCACTGACACTGATCTGTGACAACAAGGTGTCTGTAGAGCATCAATCAGTCCATGTTCTCATCTCCAGAACCTTCCCCAATAATGGAGAACCACGCAGCCAACAACTTGTACAGGGACTTCACCGTGCCAGTGTATGCAACACTCAAAGGTGTAAGTATGACACGGCCCTAGAGTTCAAATCCAGGCATATGTTATGTTAGCTGTAGTTAAAGACAAGCAGAATGACAATATATAGAGATTATTACACGAACAAGTGTCATACGACTTATATGAAACAAGTGTGAAATTTTGTATTTTTGTGTGAAATTTTGTTTTAGAAACTCATGCAGAATTGTGCATGAGTTTCGTATAAGTCATGTGGCACACTTGCGAGTGTAATCATTTCTTTATTATAAATTTTATTCATGTACATTTGTGCAGTAAAACACGGTAAACTAGTGTGACTGCCCTGATGACACCATCTCAGTTTATCCAATCTCTTGGCATGGAATATGATCTTATGCTCATGGGCGTAACTTGATTAAAAAGTAATTTTAGAATGGTGCTGCAATTATGTCTCCCCCGAAGGGTCGGTTGAGTTTCCGTCGGTGTCGGCGTCGGCGTTCCCATTGTTTCTGGAACATAACTTTAAATCTACTGGAACAATCTTCACCAAATTTGGTATACTACCTCTCCATATCATGTCGATGTGCTTTTGGGTGTTTGAGGGTTTTTTTCAATTTTATTTTTTTCTGTTTTCATGGCAACAATTTGGACTTTGTCTTTTTGAAGGGTAAAGTTTGTTTCCAGAGCATAATTCTGAAACTAATTGACCTATCTTCACCAAATTTGCTATACTGCCTCTCCTTATCATGTGCCTTATGGAAGTTTAAACATTTTTTTCCAATTTTATTTCTTTCTGTTGAGGTCTCAACTTTGAATTGGGGGAAGGGGGAGACATCTGCTTTTTATGAGTAAAAACACTTTCTAGTTTGATTCTGAGACTGTGGTAGGGCAGAAAATGGTTCCAGGGAAATCATCACAGTGGAATGGTGATATGATGTACTGGATAACTGAGGATGCAAGTTGACACTGTGATATAAATACGATAATGTTCAGAGTGGTGTTAAACCTAGCTCACTCACTAACACACAAAACAACAAACAAGCAAGAGTTAAGTTGCATGTCAAACACCTCAGAAGAGAGGGTACAGATCCAAATAGTTTGCTTCATTCTGTAAAGTAGAGAAATATATTTCCTGTTTAACTCATGAACTTGAATTCACCATTTTTCGCAGAAAGCTGCTCAGATCCGCAGCACACCTTTCATGGAGGAGACATCATCTGATTCTTCTGAGAATGAGGAGGAGATTCCTGTTGCCGTGGTAGCGCCTAGCCAACCTGCTGCTGGAGTGAGCAGTATGGCCACTGACACAGTGCAAGTGAAGACACCCAGCGCACAGACAACGCCAAAACCTGTCAGAAGTAAGGGTGGTCACTCAATCTTTGTTAGTTTGTCTTTACCGAATTGGCACGAGTTTCCACTGCTTTTGGTCCCTTTCCACAAAGAAAACTTAGTGCTAAGGTGATCGTAACTCCCATACTGCAACATGCTCCTACAACAGTTGTAGTGCTTGTGCTTGTAGTTCTCCTTTGGCAAGTGACTTGATTCGAAATGTGCCCCGGTCCACCCAATAGTGAGTACCTGGGTAGATTAAGGTTGGAATTGATCTTCAACAACCCATGCTTGTCATAAGAGGTGACGACCTGTGAAGATCTGGGGTAGAATAGGTCTTCAGCAACCCATGCTTGCCACAAAAGGCGACTATGCTTGTCGTAAGAGGCGACTAACGGGATCGGGTGGTCAGACTCGCTGACTTGGAAGACACATGTCATTGGTTCCCAGTTGCACGGGTCGATGCTCATGCTGTTGATCACTGGATTGTCTGGTCCAGACTTGATTATTTACAGACCGCCGCCATATAGCTGGAATATTGCTGAGTGCGGCGTAAAACTAAACTCACTCACTCACTCATAAGAGGTGACAAACAGGATTGGGTGGTCAGACTCCCAACCAACGTTGACACATGTCATCGTATCCCAATTGTGTAGATCAATGCTCATTATGTCCATCATTAGATTTTCTGGTCCAAATCAGTTATTTACAGACCAACATCAGAAAGCTAGACTATTGCTGAGTACAGCATTAAACCAGAAACAAATGTAAATGGGTATCTCAATAGGATGAGATTGTAGTGTGAATGATACCCTTCCACTGCCTCTTAGACAGCTTGGGTATACACCCAAGGGAGTTGAGAATATCACTACAGAGCACACTGATGCACTGACCACATTGATACTGGGGGCATCGTGTGCATACACTAGTGTGAGGACATAACTCATCATAAATCTGTGGACAAATATTCTGTATGCGAATATTTTTGCAAATATGGCATTGTAAAATGGTTATGTATTCAAGTACAACATTTGTGTGGTATTGGATGAAGACTTGTGTAATTGTATGGATTGTGTTTACCTGTACAGGTGTGTCCTGCCACTCTGCAGCATCTGAGGTGTCATGTGACTATGCACTTCCGCCAGACGACTCATCAGGCAAGAGTGACTCCGACACATCAGAACCGGAACAGAAACTGCTCAAATTTGCTGCAGACAGCCAGAAACATGTGAGAACCTGTTTACTTGAATTGAACCTCGAACAGAGATTGTGAGGATTTAGAATTCCTCAACAAACTCAGTGAGATCTAGTGCAGTGTAGAAAGGAGATGGGATAGTAGTTCAGTCCTCAGATTGCATCATAAAAGATGGTATTTGTTGTTGCCCTGCCTGGGGTAGTAGGGGATGAATCATTGACTGATCAGCTCAGCATCAGTATACTGTGTCTGACAGCTCAGAATCAGTATACTGTGTCTCACAGCTCAGAATCAGTATACTGTGTCTCACAGCTCAGAATCAGTATACTGTGTCTCACAGCTCAGAATCAGTATACTGTGTCTCACAGCTCAGAATCAGTATACTGTGTCTCACAGCTCAGAATCAGTATACTGTGTCTCACAGCTCAGAATCAGTATACTGTGTCTCACAGCTCAGAATCAGCATATGTCTCACAGCTGTGTCTGTCTCACAGCTCAGAATCAGTATGCTGTGTCTCACAGCTCAGAATCAGTATACTGTGTCTCACAGCTCAGAATCAGAATCAGAATCAGTATGCTGTGTCTCACCACCTCAGTATCAGTATGCTGTGTCTCAGAATCAGTATACTGTGTCTCACAGAACCAGTATAATGTGTCTCACACTGTGCAGAATCAGAATCAGTATACTGTGTCTCACTCAGAATCTCAGAATCAGTATAATGTGTCTCAGCTCAGAATCTATGTCTCACAGCTCAGCTCAGAATCAGTATACTGTGTCTCACAGCTCAGAATCAGTATAGTACTGTGTCTCACAGCCTCAGAATCAGTGTACTGTGTCTCACAGAATCAGTATGCTCAGAATCAGTATACTGTGTCTCACAGCTCAGCTCAGAATCAGTATACTGTGTCTCTCACAGCTCAGAATCAGTATACTGTGTCTCACAGCTCAGAATCAGTATACTGTGTCTCACAGCTCAGAATCAGTATACTGTGTCTCACAGCTCAGAATCAGTATACTGTGTCTCACAGCTCAGAATCAGTATACTGTGTCTCACAGCTCAGAATCAGTATACTGTGTCTCACAGCTCAGAATCAGTATACTGTGTCTCACATGCACCAACACATCCCCACACTCGTATATGAATCTGAATCATTTCAGAAATCTGATAAACCCTAATTGATTCAAGGACACACACATCCTTGGGTGGTCAAACTTTACCCAAGGCATTCTATCAAAGTAAAAGTGTGGAGTAAAAGATTCATAGGCTGATAGAATGGAATTCATTGTTTTAGACTGATGTAGTTCTCTCTGTTGTCAGGACACACTGGAGAAGTGTGGCTACCTGTCCAAGCTGAGTGGCAAGGTGAAGACGTGGAAGCGGCGCTGGTTCACGCTAAGGAACGGGGAGCTGTTCTACTACAAGTCACAACATGACGTGCTCAGGAAACCGCAGGGCTCCATCAAACTGGACGAACAGACTCGCATCTCTAGATCTTCCGCAGAGCTCACTTTCGAAGTGTGTAAAATGGAGAAATTTTCTTTCCAAGAGCAAAAAAGTTGTACAGTGTTTTATATCAAGACAGTGACAGAAATGGACACACATTAAAGAAACTTCCATTTAATAGTATCCATTAGTATAGAATGATTGTGTGTAATAATCTTTTGAAAATTTGTATGTCCTTTTTGCCAGTTCTCATAGCTGATTGGTCAGTTGAAACTAAGTGACTTCACAGAAGAGAAAATATATGTCATCAATTGTACAAGATATTACAGACTGATTACATTACATCTGCATCTGAGCAATAGGCAGACACTCTTCAGTTCCTGTGTAGGGTTGACATATCCCATTGTCTTTCTATTTTCTTCTTTTAAAATATGAATAACCTACTCTAAACTTCTCTAAATTAATTATTATCTGTACATCGTCATATGAGCGAAATATTCTCAAGCACGACATTAAACCCAATTTCACCTCACCTATTATCTGTACATTGTTAATGAATGCTGTGTGTGGGGCAGTGGGGTAATTAAACCCAGGCTGATTTGTCCATAGAGCACCTGTGAAGGTCCAGGTTAGAATATTGATCTTCAGTAACCCATGCTTGTCGTAAGAGACGACTAACGGGATCGGTCGGTGAGGCTCGCTGACTTGGTTGACACATGTCATCGGTTCCCAATTGTGCAGATCAGTGTTCATGCTGTAGATCACTGGATTGTCTGGTCCAGACTCGATTAATTACAGACCGCCGCCATATAGCTATAATATTGCTGAGTGCAGCATAAAACTAAACTCACTCACTCACTCGTCCATAGAGATGAACTGTCCAGGAGATAATTTCACTTTGTACACGGAGTTTGATTTCTCATATGGGAACAATCCATCTGTAGTTGTCTCGGGGCAGTGGGGTAGCCTAGTGGTTAAAGCATTGGCTTGTCGCACCAAAGACCTGGGTTCGATTCCCCGCATTGGTGTGTGAAGCCCATTTCTGGTGTCTCCTGCCATGATATTGCCGGAATATTGCTAAAAGTGAATGCTGTGAGTTTCACATAGGCTTAGATTTACACATATCATTCACTTATGACAGAATATCCTTAATTCCATATCAGGGGTTGATTACTCTCTAATTGTACTTGTTGGAAGTGTGAGATTTTGGTTGGAACCCACATACCAGAAACTGAAATTACACAGTTTTATTTCTAGATCATTGTTTTTTTCCATTTTACAGATTTATTTTAAAAGGTTGTTGTTATGTAGGAGGGAAATGTTAAAAGTTGTATACATTTTGTTTTTACAGTAGATAATGTGGACAATATCAATTAATATTTTAAGCACCTTTTCATATTTACAAATTCTCCTACTATAGTTCAGTGTTGAAGTCTCTGATTTCCAGATAACGAACACAAAGAAGACGTACTACTTATCAGCCAACTCCATAGCAGAAATGGACAGATGGATGAGATGTAAGTTATCAGTCCTCAAATTACAATCACATGGATGAGATTTTATGGAAATTATTGTAGTGTACAGTAGTTTCCATGGTGATAGACAGTTTTGAATTGTTCCCTAGCAACCTATGCTGCTTGTAACTGGCGATTAATGGAAGGGAGGTCAGGTTAGTTAGATCATATATCACTGGTGTAGATTGTTGCTCACAGTAAATATCACTGACTGGTATCTGTAGGCATCATACAGTTTACCAGTGATTAAAATGGTAAACACATTTCGCCATTAATGGGTAAACAATATTGGAGTCAGTATACAGCTGGGGTTATGCTTCACAGGCATGGTATCTCGTGGGCTAGCACTATAAAACCAGTGTGACAGGAAATACGCATGCACGCCGTCATATGAGCGAAATATTCTCAAGCACGACGTTAATCCCAATTTCACCTCACCTCACCTCTGATATAAGGTGCACAGCAAGAGAAGTTGACTAACACTTAGTAATTGAATATATATAATTTTGGTAGTAACAAATAATCCCATCTAACCTGAAAAGGATCCTAAGTGAGTTGGGAGATTCAGAACCTGAAGAAATCTAGACTTACTTCATTTAAGGCTTTAGCACTGCAGGGAGGGCTAGGCAGGGAAGGGAAGGCTAGGCACTAGGGAAAATAATGTGGTTCAGGGACTGTGAGACAGAGTACAAGAGTTGGGATGGGTTATCTCATGTCCGAATCCAGTTATGCTGTCTCCTTGCTGTAACGCTTCTTGAATGATGCAGGCTTTAACCAATGGTTGAATTGATCTGAGATGTTGTCTCCCTTTATCATTTTGGCAGTTCTCAGGTTCATCACTGGTATTTGTGTCAGGATGTATGTTGTAACACACTGATGGTTTGCTTGATGTACATCATTGATGCTAATACATTGCACAGATCACAGAACTAATAATACCACCATCAGATGGTTTGCTTGATGTACATCATTGATGCTAATACATTGCACAGATCACAGAACTAATAATACCACCATCAGATGGTTTGCTTGATGTACATCATTGATGCTAATACATTGCACAGATCACAGAACTAATAATACCACCATCAGATGGTTTGCTTGATGTACATCATTGATGCTAATACATTGCACAGATCACAGAACTAATAATACCACCATCAGATGGGATTCATGTTCATTATATTCATTTCTACTTTCAGTACTTAACCGAGTAATCAAGAGGCAAGCAACAAGTTATCTACTGGACAATATGGATGGGAAGGCCGTAGTAAAGGGGTGGATAACCAAGGTTATACCTGTCAATATTGTGTTGTAGTGTAGAAAGTAGTAATATCACATGCTGTTATATTTACTGTTATATAGATATATATACTGTTATATGTAGCGCCTGTATTGCTTTGGTAGGGTCATTTTCCCTCCTCTGATGTAATACTGTCTTTAGACACAGTTCAAGTCTGATTTCAGTACTGTAAATGTCATTCGGCACATTTCTCAGCAACTTCTGCAGAAAACAGCAGTAGTTGATGTCACACATATCTGGTGGCCTGAAAATTATATATTGCTCAAGTATTGCTAAAAATAACATAAAACCATATATACTTACTCACTCTTATCAGTACTGAAGGTATTGGATTTGAATGTACAGATTCCAGTCAAGAGCTTTAACACAATCTGATCCTACTCTCTTTGACCATAGAACTGGAATATACAGACCTGTTAATCTATCTTATAAAACAGCATTAACCTCTATTTCCTCCATTATGTTGTATAAAGACTGATATGTGTTGTTGTGTACAGGTGAAGAATGGAACGACCGCCGATGTTGGTGTGTTCTGCTCAGTCGCCACTTTCTCTACTACAAGACACCATCAGACAAAGTAAGACAGGGATATAGTTGTCTGTACCCTCTCATCTGTAGTGGTAGATATCAATTATATGTCCTGATTAGGTAAGGAATTATCTCATTGTCTGAAGGTTCTAATTGGTGAGTTTCTCTGCAGTATTTTCATGGATACAGTGGATCCTTCTTAATTAGTCAGTTACTGGTTGAAACATTGCCATACACACAACTAAATGTATCTCTTTTTTATGATTCATTACACCAGAAGTGTTTAATCAGAACAATTTGAATTGAGAACTTAATGGTCCAGATTTGTGAGGTTTCACTATCAAACTCCATAGTTTGTAAGTATGTAAGTAAGTAAGTAGCTTCAGAGAGTCATGTCTGCCTTATTGCTGTGACTATAACTACTGTATGAATGAGAGTGGTGGGTGACACTGTGCTGTATTTTTTCTAGACCCCGATCGGTCAGATCCAACTGCGAGATGTGAGGTTGGAGGAGATTGACGGGACGTGTGACTCGGACGATGAGTCTGATGTTGCAACTCCGTCACGCCACGTCATCGCCATCTGGCCGCCATGTCAGGGACCAACATATCTTGTGATTCCTACCAAACAGGAGAAGGTCAGTGTACAAAACGGTCGATGTTTCCATATATCAGCCTTCACTCCATTATCCCATTTGTCATCCATCACCCATTGTTTTTACTCTCACCCCTTCCCCAGGGGGCATGAGTGGCTCTGTAATCTAAGGCACAGGATTCGCTTTACAGAGTTGCCACCCTTAGCCGCACAGGATCCTGTGGTTTAATGGGTTTCACCAAGGTGGTAAACCTAACCATATCATTTCATCCTTATATCCAAACCTTTCACACTAGGATAAAAATGTATTATTGAGTCAACGTATCTCACTCCTATGTCTTAACTTATAATTGGAATTATGACTGAACCCTCAAATGTAAACAACAATACTGAGAATAAAAGAGTGCTACACAATTCAGACATGTAACATTGTTATGCTATTTTATCGTATGTAATGGTAAATGCGGACTGGAAGTTGTTTCATAGTAATGGTGAAAGCAACCCTTTTTTGCTTCAAACATGACACATGAAGTGAACTGGGGTGAAAATTGAAGGCCAGCCCATATCCCTTCCATGTCTTTACCAACAAATTGGATCAAAACTGTGCTCAAATGTTATGCCCAATTTAAAATTAAAAAAATACAAAACATTCTGACATTTTATGTTATGTGATTACTTGACCTGTGAAGATCTGGGCTAGAATTGGTCGTCAGGAACCAATGCTTGTCATAGTAGGCGACTAACTGGATTTGGTGGTCAGGCTCGCTGACTTGGTTGACACATGTCACCATATCCCAATTGCATAGATTGATGCTTAATCACTGGATTATCTGGTCCAGACTTTAGTATTTACAGACTGCTGCCATCAAGCTGGAATATATGCTGGGTGCAGCATTAAACAATAAACAAACAAACTCATTGACACAGCAACCCTTCTTTATTGCGACACGAGTACTAACAATGTGAGTTACTGTGTATGAGTATATGTGTTCCTGCCACAGGACTCCTGGTTGTACCATCTCACAGTAGCTACAGGGGGAGGTGCCGGAACAGTCGGTACAGATTTCGAGCAGCTCGTCTCAAAACTCATGGAGGCAACTGGAGATCCAAGTAAGTGTAGAACCATCTTGTATTTTGACTCCTCTCAGTGGGCACAGATTTCGAGCAGCTCGTGTCAAAACTCATGGAGGCAACTGGAGATCCAAGTAAGTGTAGAACCATCTTGTATTTTGACTCCTCTCAGTGCGCACAGATTTCCAGCAGCTCGTGTCAATACTCATGGAGGCAACTGGAGATCCAAGTAAGTGTAGAACCATCTTGTATTTTGACTGTCCTTAGTGGACACAGATTTCGAGCAGCTCATGTCAATACTCATGGAGGCAACTGGAGATCCAAATAAGTGTAGAACCGTCTTGGATTTTGACTGTACTCAGTGGACACAGATTTCGAGCAGCTCATGTCAATACTCATGGAGGCAACTGGAGATCCAAGTAAGTGTAGAACTATCTTGTATTTTGACTCCCCTCAGTGGGCACAGATTTCGAGCAGCTCGTGTCAATACTCATGGAGGCAACTGGAGATCCAAGTAAGTGTAGAACCATCTTGTATTTTGACTCCCCTCAGTGGGCACAGATTTCGAGCAGCTTGTGTCAATACTCATGGAGGCAACTGGAGATCCAAGTAAGTGTAGAACCATCTTGTATTTTGACTCCCCTCAGTGGGCACAGATTTCGAGCAGCTCGTGTCAAAACTCATGGAGGCAACTGGAGATCCAAGTAAGTGTAGAACCATCTTGTATTTTGACTCCCCTGACTGAAAGTCAAGGGAGATTATGACCTGGAGTATTGTGTATCCTGTGTGTTGTTAACTTCTGCATTTTTGACGGATACTCTGAAACTAAAATGCCTGTGAAGAAGAATCTTGACATGAATGATCTTAGCTATGGTACCTCTAATTGCTTACATATGTAATCTTTAATATAAGGTGTAAATCTGTAAATATATTTCCATGTCAGTTAGCCTTAGTTGGCGGAAGCCAAAAAGCCTGAAATCTATGACATCAAATTAATATCTTCTGGTTTGCTTGTTGTATTTCAATAGACAATGCTGAAACACAATGATAGAAGCTTATCAATGTTAAGCTTTACTTTAATGTAGGATTTTTCAAACATAGGTTGTTGTTCAGTGTAAACAAAGCTAAATTGAATCTACCCAATGACCTTGACATTTCACATCATCTTCCTCTGTTCAGACTCAGTGATGTGGAAACATCCAATTCTGCTCCATACGAAGGAGCCTATCAGTCGGCCCATGACCACGCTGCCTTCTGAAGACTTGCAGGAGAAGGCCGTCGAACTGTTCAAGGTATGGGGAAAAACAGTGTTGACAAAAATCATTAAGACTTTGTAATACTGCACGAAAATCACTACAACTTTGTTAAGCTGAGAGGATATATTGATCCTCAAATTGCCTTTCAATGACACCTGTAGTTTTGACTGTAGTGTAATGACTGTCATGTTGTCCTGCAGACACCTGTAGTTTTGGCTGTAGTGTAACGACTGTCCTGCTGTCCTGCAGACACCTGTAGTTTTGACTGTAGTGTAACAACTGTCCTGCTGTCCTGCAGTCCCCTGTAGTTTTGACTGTAGTGTAATGACTGTCCTGCTGTCCTGCAGTCCCCTGTAGTTTTGACTAGTGTAATGACTGTCCTGCTGTCCTGCAGACACCTGTAGTTTTGACTGTAGTGTAACGACTGTCCTGCTCTCCTGCAGTCACCTGTAGTTTTGGCTGTAGTGTAATGACTGTCCTGCTGTCCTGCAGTCACCTGTAGTTTTGACTGTAGTGTAATGACTGTCCTGCTGTCCTGCAGACACCTGTAGTTTTGACTGTAGTGTAACGACTGTCATGCTGTCCTGCAGACACCTGTAGTTTTGACTGTAGTGTAATGACTGTCCTGCTGTCCTGCAGTCACCTGTAGTTTTGGCTGTAGTGTAATGACTGTCCTGCTGTCCTGCAGACACCTGTAGTTTTGACTGTAGTGTAAGGACTGTCATGCTGTCCTGCAGTCACCTGTAGTTTTGACTGTAGTGTAACAACTGTCCTGCAGACACCTGTAGTTTTGACTGTAGTGTAATGACTGTCCTGCTGTCCTGCAGTCACCTGTAGTTTTGGCTGTAGTGTAATGACTGTCCTGCTGTCCTGCAGACACCTGTAGTTTTGACTGTAGTGTAATGACTGTCCTGCTGTCCTGCAGTCACCTGTAGTTTTGACTGTAGTGTAACGACTGTCCTGCTGTCCTGCAGTCACCTGTAGTTTTGACTGTAGTGTAATGACTGTCCTGCTGTCCTGCAGACACCTGTAGTTTTGGCTGTAGTGCAATGACTGTCATGTTCTCCTGCAGACACCTGTAGTGTTGACTGTAGTGTAATGACTGTCCTGCTCTCCTGCAGACACCTGTAGTGTTGACTGTAGTGTAATGACTGTCCTGCTGTCCTGCAGTCACCTGTAGTTTTGGCTGTAGTGTAATGACTGTCCTGCTGTCCTGCAGACACCTGTAGTTTTGACTGTAGTGTAATGACTGTCCTGTAGACACCTGTAGTTTTGGCTGTAGTGTAATGACTGTCCTGCTGTCCTGCAGTCACCTGTAGTGTTGACTGTAGTGTAATGACTGTCCTGCTGTCCTGTAGACACCTGTAGTTTTGACTGTAGTGTAATGACTGTCCTGCTGTCCTGCAGACACCTGTAGTTTTGACTTTAGTGTGTAATGACTGTCCTGCCTGCTGTCCTGCAGACACCTGTAGTTTTGACTGTCCTGACTGTCCTGCTGTCCTGCAGACACCTGTAGTTTTGGCTGTAGTGTCTGTAGTGTGTAGCTGTCCTGCAGCGACTGTCCTGCTGTCCTGCAGTCACCTGTAGTTTTGACTGTAGTGTAACGACTGTCCTGCTGTCCTGCAGACACCTGTAGTTTTTGGCTGTAGTGTAACGACTGTCCTGCTGTCCTGCAGACACCTGTAGTTTTGACTGTAGTGTAACGACTGTCCTGCTGTCCTGCAGACACCTGTAGTTTTGGCTGTAGTGTAACGACTGTCCTGCAGACACCTGTAGTTTTGACTGTAGTGTAACGACTTTCCTGCTGTCCTGCAGACACCTGTAGTTTTGGCTGTAGTGTAACGACTGTCCTGCTGTCCTGCAGACACCTGTAGTTTTGGCTGTAGTGTCAGGACTGTCCTGCAGTCACCTGTAGTTTTGACTAGTGTAACGACTGTCCTGCTGTCCTGCAAACACCTGTAGTTTTGGCTGTAGTGTAATGACTGTCCTGCTGTCCTGCAGACACCTGTAGTTTTGGCTGTAGTGTCACGACTGTCCTGCTGTCCTGCAGTCACCTGTAGTTTTGGCTGTAGTGTAACGACTGTCATGTTGTCCTGCAGACACCTGTAGTTTTGACTGTAGTGTAATGACTGTCCTGCTGTCCTGCAGACACCTGTAGTTTTGACTGTAGTGTAATGACTGTCCTGCTCTCCTGCAGTCACCTGTAGTTTTGACTGTAGTGTAATGACTGTCCTGCTGTCCTGCAGACACCTGTAGTTTTGACTGTAGTGTAATGACTGTCCTGCTGTCCTGCAGTCACCTGTAGTTTTGACTGTAGTGTAATGACTGTCCTGCTGTCCTGCAGACACCTGTAGTTTTGACTGTAGTGTAACAACTGTCCTGCTCTCCTGCAGTCAGTATACCAGTTCATCAACACTGTGATTGAGTCTCCATCCCTGGAGTTCCACGTCACTCTGGCACAGTCCATTCTCCACTCCTGCCTAGAACACCCTGAGCTGCAAAATGAGCTCTACTGTCAGCTGATCAAGCAGACATCTCGTCACCCTGGACACCACAAAACAGCCATGCAGGTAAGAGACGGTATACAATATGTATATGCATATGTGTGTTTTGTTTCTCACACTCTACCCATGCTCATGGGTTTTCCTTAAGTTGTAAACATTTGAGATGTGCAACTCTTCAGACTTCCTCTCTCTATAATGTTGACAGGCAATGACATACTGTAAACGTATTATATATCGCGCAGGTTTTCACTCAAAATATTTTACTGCGAAAATTTATACACAGCGAATAAACCTTTCATTCATTCACTCTACCCACTCTCGCCTCTGAGTTGTTACCATAACACATCAAGTTTGAAGACAGAAATCTACTGGAATCTTAAAATGACGACTGATAGTAGCATAAAGAATCATACTTAACTGGCGCTGTAATGGATTTCCCAAATCATGTCCCGACATGTTCTATTTTGACCAATCGTAGTGACAGATGGTTTGATACAAAACGGATTACCATGAAACGACTCGGGAAGAAATAATACAGCAGTATTTTATTTATTCATTAAGATTTTATTTATATTTATTCCTGCATATTACGAAACGAAATCACAAAGTCTGGAAGTTCAGGTGTCTTGGGGGTAGGTGCTGTCTTTAACCACATTCGCAATGCCATCGTCAGATCGTCAGAATTTGGAACATAAGATGTGTTTTTCATCTGTTTATATAGTATACTAGTACTATCAAGATATCTCACTTCCTAAGTACTTAATACTTCCGTGGGGAAACATATTACTGTATATATTGCGCAGGTAAGGATTTCCTGTGAGTAAGCAATACACGCCGCCTGACAGGTTAAGCCACTCTGGTTGTTTTCATTGCTATCAGTGGCGGCCTAAGAGACAGATGGCAGTTCCGGCAATTACTGATTGCGCAAATAATTGACCGCGTGATGTAGTCTAAACTGTCAATTTCGCGAAATTTGCACCAAGCGATAAAAAAATACGTTTACACTAACTGAAAAACAGATTTGATCTTGATTTTGGCCCCTTCGAGTTTGGTATAACCATAGGTTACTGTATTTTGTAGTTTGACAAATACAAACACTGAATGTAATATACATACAGCACATCACACTAATGTAATATAGATAATACAGCACATCACACTAAATCTAATATAGATAATACAGCACATCACACTAAATCTAATATAGATAATACAGCACATCACACTAAATCTAATATAGATAATACAGCACATCACACAAAATCTAATATAGATAATACAGCACATCACACTAAATTTAATATAGATAATACAGCACATCACACTAAATCTAATATAGATAATACAGCACATCACACTAAATTTAATATAGATAATACAGCACATCACACTAAATCTAATATAGATAATACAGCACATCACATTAAATCTAATATAGATAATACAGCACATCACACTAAATCTAATATAGATAATACAGCACATCACATTAAATCTAATATAGATAATACAGCACATCACATTAAATCTAATATAGATAATACAGCACATCACACTAAATCTAATATAGATAATACAGCACATAACACTAATGTGATATAGATAATACAGCACATCACATTAAATCTTATATACCGTATATGACCGTCTATAAGCCGAATTTTGAGGACCAAAAAAAGCAGTCTGTAGAAGGGGGTTGTCTTATCCATGAGTTACACTTTCGTCAAACTTTTTTCCAGGGGTAAGAAAACAACATCGTATCCCTTCGTGTGAACAAACAACAGAAGACGACTTTGTCAGTAGAGACGTCAAATTTGCAATTAAACATCACTAGACAAGATTAATTACCATTTAAGTTATAAGTTGATTTGCTGGGCATTGTTTTATTTGCAGGGATTAAGATTACCGTGTGTATTTGTTGTCTCATACACAAAGCGGAAATAGCAATCAGCTGTGCACATCGTTTCCGGCGAACAAGTTCAAACATGCACAATAATATAGCGGGATGAATTCTGACGCAGTCATCAGTAAAATATAATACAGAATAACCGTTATTTAACCCAAAGAAATATATCCTAGCATTGTGTAATTTTAGTTACAGTTTTTGCTCTATAAATTAATTAAGATTACCGGCGATTTGTCTCGCATTACACAAAGCCGAAATAGCAATCAGCTGTGCACTGCGTTTCCCCTTGAACAAGTTCAAACATGCACAATAATATAACGGGATGAATTCTATTAATTGAATACTATTATTTAACCCAAAGAAATACATCCTAGCATTGTGTAATAGTTTTATGTAAAATATATAATCAACACTAAGGTTATCACGGACCATCATGAACGTTGGTAAGTTAATGGACATGGAAGCAATGTAATCAGTTTGTGATTGTTGAATGGGGTAAAATAAGCAAGCCAGTTTGTTGCTACAATAAATATGATATTTAGAGAAGCAAAATATATTATGCATTTTCTGTCAACTACACTACGCCGTTTCGATCCGTGAGTAGACACAATATATATGACAGTGAATTCTTTGAATAATGTGGATGGAACTTACAGTATGAGGAGGACAGTGACACGAATTTGATGGGTTTCTTACGCCGATGACTTTTGAAAATCTCAGAACTCTCTTGCAGAAATGTCAGTGTTTATTGTTAGTGGACTATTTTCTTATTGTCATATATATATAGATGAAATATGGACACTTAAATAATATATTTTGAAACAAAAGTTGACTTCAGTTTTTATTTACCGATGGTACTTTTTCTCTCCATACTCACCGATTTCACAAAATGGCGTCTCGTTGTTGTTGCAAGCAGTGATCGTCGGGATATAAAAAGGAACACAAACACATGTTGCCACAATACACCGGTAATCTTTATTATGTAATATTCTCACCAACACTTACGCTGTATATCCACTTTCCAAATGGCGTCTCGTTGTTGATGCAAGCAGTGATCGTTAATAAAAGGTAAACAAACACCGGTAATCTTTATTATGTAATATTCTCGTAATGGTGTCTCGTCGTTGATGGAACATACTTACCGGGTACTCTGGTCTCTGTTGGCCGCGACCCATCGCGGGGGGTCGGCCTATCCATGAGAGATATGATTTTGACACTGATTTTGAGGGTCAAGTTTGGGGGTCGGCTTATCCATGGGGTCGGCTTATATACGGTCATATACGGTAGATAATACAGCACATCACACTAAATCTAATATAGATAATACAGCACATCACACTAAATCTAATAAAGATAATACAGCACATCACACTAAATCTAATATAGATAATACAGCACATCACACTAAATCTAATATAGATAATACAGCACATCACATTAAATCTAATATAGATAATACAGCACATCACACTAAATCTAATATAGATAATACAGCACATAACACTAAATAATCTAATATAGATAATACAACACATCACACTAAATCTAATATAGATAATACAGCACATCACACTAAATCTAATATAGATAATACAGCACATCACATAATACAGCAAATCTAATATAGATAATACAGCACATCACACTAAATCTAATATAGATAAATACAGCACATCACACTAAATCTAATATAGATAATACAGCAGATCAATATAGCTAAAATCTAATATAGATAATACAGCACACATAACATTAAATCTAATATAGATAAATACAGCACATCACACTAAATCTAATATAGATAATACAGCACATCACATTAAATCTAATATAGATAATACAGCACATCACACTAAATCTAATATAGATAATACAGCACATCACACTAAATCTAATATAGATAATACAGCACATCACACTAAATCTAATATAGATTTTATACAGCACATCACACTAAATCTAATATAGATAATACAACACATAACATTAAATATAATATGTAATATAGATAAATACAGTACATCACACTAATGTAATATAGATAAATACAGCACATCACACTAAATCTAATATAGATAAATACAGCACATCACACTAAATCTAATATAGATAATACAGCACATCACACTAAATCTAATATAGATAATACAGCACATCACACTAATGTAATATAGATAATACAGCACATCACACTAATGTAATATAGATAAATACAGCACATCACACTAAATCTAATATAGATAATACAGCACATCACACTAATGTAATATAGATAATACAGCACATCACACTAAATGTAATATAGATAAATACAGCACATCACATTAAATGTAATATAGATAAATACAGCACATCACACTAATGTAATATAGATAAATACAGCACATCACACTGAATGTAGTATATAATGTAATATAGTAAACATCACACTAAATGTAATATAGAGCACATACACTAAGCTAATATAGATAATACAGCACATCACACTAATGTAATATAGATAATACAGCACATCACACTAATGTAATATAGATAAATATAGCACATCACACTGAATGTGATATAGATAAATATAGCACATCACACTAAATCTAATATAGATAATACAGCACATCACACTAATGTAATATAGATAAATATAGCACATCACACTGAATGTGATATATAGTGCATTACACTGAATGTAGTATATCTATAGTGCTTCACACTAAATGTAATATAGATGAATATAGCACATTACACTAAATGTCAAACATGAGCATCACTATTTCAGAATCTCCTCCTGTGTGGCAAACATTCCTGGTTCCTGTGTGACGGCTCTCCCACCTCCCCCACCTCGTCTGTAATGGACTTGTCCGACTCCAAGATGAACCCACAGGCCCATGTCATTATGCAGGGGTGGCAGCTTATGTCTCTGTGTGTGTCTCTCTTCCTTCCCAAACAAAGCGTCATGTGGCTGCTCAAAGTACATCTGCAGAGGCATGCAGATCCTAGGTTAGTGTGGCAGTACACACTTTTGATTCAGTTTCAAGGTTTCCTAGCCTTGAATCCTTGAAATGGGATGTCTAATCCTCATTTGTATCAACCCGTAAAGGTCCGGGTTAGAATGAACCTTCAGTAATCCATGCTTGTCGTAAGGGGCGACTAACGGGATTGGGTGGTCAGGCTTTCTGGCTTGGTTGACACATGTCATCAGTTCCCAATTGCGCAGATGGATGCTCATGCTGTTGATCACTGGATTGTCTGGTCCAGACTCGATTATTTATAGACCTTTGCCATATAGCTGGAATATTGCTGAGTGCGGCGTAAAACTAAACTCACTCACTCACTCATTTGTATCAAGTTGTTTTTTCAATAGCTCTCACCCCCGTTCCTTACTATGATCTTAGTGCTACATCTATAGTAAGCCAGTGTTAAATCATGGGAGTTATGACTGCCTTAGCGCTGAGGTCGGTTGTGGAACAGGACCATTATTTTAAACTGTGTTCCATTTAAAGTGAATTGTGTTATTTTGACAGAACCGAACCAGGCAAGTATGCAATATTCTGCCAGAGAGCCCTGGAGAGAATTATTCTGAAGGGTGTGCGGGAGTCGAAGCCGTCACGGATGGAGGTGATGTCCATGCTGTTGAGGCACCCGTATCACCATTCACAACCAATCAGTATTCCAGTTCATTTTCTCAACGACACATACCAGGTAAATATTGACCAATGGCATGGATCAGATAAATATTGACCAATGACATGGACCAGATAAATATTGACCAATGACATGGACCAGATAAATATTGACCTATACATGAAATCAAATGAACCTCTTTTAATGTTTTGAAATATATCTTTACACGATCACTAAGTACAAGATATCTGAATGACATATCAGCAGAAATAAAAATATTCATATTTTCTCACTCTTTGTCAGTAACACCAGTAGAAAGCCATGATATAACTTGAATAGCACTCATTCACCCGACCAGTGAAGATCAGTGTTAGAATTGATCTTCAGTAACACGTGCTTGTCGTAAGAGGCGACTAACATGATCGGGTATTCAGGCTCGCTGACTTGGTTGACACATGTCATCATATCCCATGTTGACCACTGGATTGTCTGGTCTGTTTGACTCGATTATTTACAGACCTTTGCTATATAGCTTGCACACACTCACTCACTCATTGCAGGTTGTCAGTTTCGATGGGTCCACTACAGTACAAGAGTTCCTGGGATCACTTCACAAGATGATCTCAGTGCGAGAATGTAGCCAGTCAGGGTTTGCTTTGTACACAGACGACCCTGCCGGGACCCAGACAGAGCACTGCTTACAAACTCATCTCAAGGTTAGTGTATGGTGACCAACTGTACTGCTGTGTCTATGTTGAGTCTTGAAACACTTGGATGAACATTGTGACAGGGACCATAATTCTGGCCCAGGATCCTGCAATCAGTAATTCCCATGTTTGTCATTTATGATAAATTCTTACCTCACTGTTTATGATTGGAATGTATCTAGAACAAGAGAACTGTATTGACGTATCCAGATTCAGGTCCACGTAGGGATTCATTGGGAAGATTTGACATACTCTGTATGTCTCCTTGAGATATTCTGTACCTCTCCTTGAGGTAGGTTGTATGTCACCTGGTTTGACATAGGGGATCAAAGAGATATGATATGTGATCTGGCTGCCTGATCAACCAGCCCCATGACTTAGAATACACCTGCAGCTATGCTGGTATTTCGAGGTGATAGGCTGTCTTGTCCAGGTCGGTGACTTGGATGGTGGAGTGTTTGACTCTGACTACATAGATCATTGCACATTATAGAAATCACTGGATTGTCTGGTCAGAACATGATGATGCACTGGCCAACATCATAATTCTTAAAAATTATTGAGTGATGAAATTCTTCAAATGCATTTAGAAGTTGGTGTAGTAAAACAAGACAAATCTTATGGATAACAACTTCTTGATTTATTTTCACATTTCTGGGCTAGTTCTTGCCCCTTCTTCAGGATATCTATATTAGCAATTGTTTCTGTTAATTGTTGTTGGCAGGTCTGTGATATAATCTCCAAGTGGGAACAAGCCTTTCGTGATCATCACTCAGGGAACCTTGACCAGAGCAAGGCCATCAGAATACTCTACAAGAATAGGTGAGTCTGGGATCAAACTGCTGTCTGAGCTCCAGTAACTTGCAGAATAGAGATGCTTCCCTTTCACATGACTGGGTCCTTATTTCATCAAGCCTGTTCTTGCAGGTTTTACCAAAATGATTTATCTCAGCCATCAGAATACTTAGGTTTCAAATTGTCTTTGGTCAAATAACTTGAGGAACTGGGTTGCTTCCCTTTGACATGGCAGGATCCTTGAATCATCAATCGTACTCTTGCAGGTTCAATGTCTGCAAACTGCATCGGCTTACTCACTTTTGCCATGAACTGAAGGACAGATGAAAAAAAAATCATATCAGGACGATATTTTAAATCAACAAATATCATGTATAAAGTTTGCTTTGGAGATTCATCATATCTCAGATTGTTTCAAACACACCTTAGTCATTGAAGCATCCACTGGTTTTGGTTTTAAATGGTAGTTGGTGAATATGGATTTATGCGGCTTTTAGCAATTTCCAACAATATCATGACAGGGAACACCAGAAATGGGCTTCACACATTGTACCCATGTGGGGAATCTAACCTTGGTTGTTAGCATGACAAGCAAATTATCTAACCACTAGACTATCCCACAGCCCCTGAAATTTTAGATAGACCTTGATGATTATGATGATGATGATAATGACGTGTTTGTCAGTACCACAGTCATCCAGGTAGGTTCACCGAAATTGTTAAGTTGCACTGCAGGCTACAATGTCACATTAACCTGACATTAAACTGAAATTGTTCAAATTACCACTAAACCCACACAGAGATTGTCATGGATGTAGTGTCGGTTAGTGTGGGTAGTGTTGTTGTTGTAGTATTTGACAAAATGGTTACAGTTGCACTGCAGGCTATAATCTCTCATTAACCTGACTTGATTTTTACTGTTGTTGTTGTATTTGACAAAATGGTTACAGTTGCACTGCAGGCTATAATCTCTCATTAACCTGACTTGATTTTTACTGTTGTTGTTGTATTTGACAAAATGGTTACAGTTGCACTGCAGGCTATAATCTCTCATTAACCTGACTTGATTTAACTGTTGTTGTTGTATTTGACAAAATGGTTACAGTTGCACTGCAGGCTATAATCTCTCATTAACCTGACTTGATTTTTACTGTTGTTGTTGTATTTGACAAAATGGTTACAGTTGCACTGCAGGCTATAATCTCTCATTACCCTGACTTGATTTTTACTGTTGTTGTTGTATTTGACAAAATGGTTACAGTTGCACTGCAGGCTATAATCTCTCATTAACTGTTATTTGTTTGTATTTGACAAAATGGTTACATGCAGGCTATAATCTCTCATTAACCTGACTTGTAACTGTTGTTGTTTGTTGTATTTGACAAAATGGTTACAGTTGCACTGCAGGCTATAATCTCTCATTAACCTGACTTGATTTAACTGTTGTTGTTGTATTTGACAAAATGGTTACAGTTGCACTGCAGGCTATAATCTCTCATTAACCTGACTTGATTTAACTGTTGTTGTTGTATTTGACAGGTTATATTTTAGCCGCAATAGTCGTAGTGAGACAGAGAAGGAGAAACTCCTCCTGGCTTACCAAGTGAACGATGAGATTGTCCATGGACGCTTTCCCCTCAACCGTGACCTTGCTCTAGAGCTGGCCTCACTCATGGCACAGGTGAGATGTGATCCGTAGAAAGCACCTACCATCCTCGCTCCGCCAGGGCAATATATGTATTTTCAGTTCTATATACCCTGAATGGTCATGATTATTTGACAGGTTCACTCATGTGTTTTGTCAGCCTCCATCTAATCTGTATGGAAGATAACTGAAGGACAGTGTCTGTGTCTTTATATACATATGCATATATGCTCTCTACCTTGCTGTGCAGAGTTGCTTCCCTTAAAACTGCTATGATCTGCTGATCATGGGTTCAAATCCCAGAATCACCCTGATCAGGATCCCTGATTTGCTTGTGTTTCTGCATTTAAACTTCTTCTATCTCTTTCACCTTGAGCTTTTTCCTTTTTTCTGTTAGAAATTGACAGTTTGATATGAATATCCATACTTCTACAGAACAATAGACTTCGTGAAGGTCTGAGTTAGAATTGATCTTCAGTAACCCATGCTTGTCTAAGTGACTAACGGAATCGGGTGATCAGGCTCGCTGACTAGGTTGACACATGTCATTGTATCCCAATTGTGCAGATCGATGTTCATGTTGTTGATCCCTGGATTGTCTGGTCCAGACTCGATTATTTACAGACTGTCACCATATAGCTGGAATATTGCTGAGTGCGGCATAAAACTAAACTCGCTCACTCTACAGAACAATAAAGCAGCCATATTGAAAAATCTTTGAATTGCAGTGGAGATGTTTAGTTCTATCTGACATTTGTTGCTGCAGGTGGAGTTTGGAGACATGAGGCTGGAGGCATCATCAAGCGGCAGCGCAACATCATCATCATCAGCCACTACACATCAGCACCTCATCACCGCCGTCACCAAGTTTTACCCCAAGAAATACCATGTCACACAACCAGAAGAACAAGCGTAAGTAACATACTCTGGTCGGGGTCGTCGTAGTATTTGTTGAAACGATGCGGTACACAGGTGATACAGCAGTTGGCTATATGAAGTTGTTTCCCTTGTATCGAAATCAAACCATTGCGGGCAGTGTTGGGAATTGGTTGAAATATCACAATTGATGATTGCTTCATTACCAACGAACAATCATCGAAAAAAAATTGGTTAGCGTCATTTTTCAGATTTTCCTATCCAGGTTGTTATTGCAGATATGTATAACATGAGGCAACTTGCTACTTTAAAGTGATGACTAATATATCATGAACATAAACTTCCCGAAGTCTTCTTATAGCATTGATATTGCTGGAATATTGCTCTTCAAGTCAGTCAGTATATATTCAGTCATGGCTTTTCAGTTAGTGAAGTGAGTTTTCTAAGAATTAAACACGTTTTCAGGCCCTGACAACTTCTACGATATGTTCCATTGTCAAGTATTTCAAAGACTAAAACAGTAGTTCCAAAATCATTTATGTTCGATTATGAGAAAATGTGATCGATTGCTTGGTCGTTCGGTCACTGCGACCAATCTTCGATTATTTCAATTAATCCAAACACCAGTAATGGCGGGTTCACATCCTATAGTGTGATCAATGGTTTGTAAGCACCCTGCATTTGCTTGTCTATGCCCTATAACTATGCCCTATGTACTTCCTCTCACAAAAATCAGGTTTGTAAATCAGTTCAAATCGGGGTGATAACCAACTTTAGATAAGAAGGTTACCATTTTGTAAGTAAATTAACGATATCACAGTTTTGTGGTTATTACAAGTTTTCCATAAGACGCAAACTGTGACATATCAATCCCAGTATCCACACATTGGATTACATATAATTCCAGATCTCTCCTGGAAAGGCTTGCTGAACGGTGGTTGTCCCTTCAAGGACGTACGTCGGCAGACTGTATCCGTGTGTATCTCGCTGTAGCCAGGAAGTGGCAGTACTACGGAGCCAAGTTGTACCGGGCCAAGGTATGACAGTCACAGGCTGTCTTGTATTGCCATGTCTTGTGTTACTGTGTTGCTTCACTTGGAGCTACTTCAACATAGCATACTTGGTATGAAGGGTATGAAGCAATAATTGAAGAATTCTGAAATTATCTTTAAGAGACTGATTCTGATGAGAGGTGTCAAATTGCAGTAATAATCCAATTGTTGTTGTATGAAGTACCCTAGTAACTAGAGCCCTCTGTTCGGGAAAGCAGAAATAATATCATCATGTCTGTCATCCAGATAAAGTGTCCTCCGAGTTCTGATGAAGACATCTGGCTAGCTGTGCAGGAGGACGGTGTCTCAGTTCTGGAACTTGTATCTATGGTAGGTAGTAATCAGGGTATGGTGTGAAAAATTATCTCTAGTGCATAACTTGTATGGGATGTTTTACAATCTGGATAATTATTGAATCAAGAAATATGGACATTAAATCAATCTTTACATTTGTATAACAGCATCAAGTAGCCCTGTATTACTTCACATCATTCACTAATTTTGTTTGACAGCAACCAGTAGCCCTGTACGACTTCAAATCAATCATCACTTTTGGCGGGTGGAAGAACGACTTCATGGTTGTGGTGAACCAGCTGGTGGAATCGGCTCCACACCACTATGAACATCACACGGAGAAACTCATATTTGCCATGTCACAACCCAAGGTTAGTCACTCATACCTCCAGTCTGGAATAGGAACTGATTTACTAGTGCATATATAAATGTGGTGAGACATTTTCTCCCAGATTATGTTTATACCAAATACGAAAACAGTGTGTGGGTGAATCAAGTTTGAGCCTCTGAACATTAATTATTACATGAGGGATGGATTATCCATAATTCTGTGTTTTGAATAGGTTATTCTTTTTTATTATATACCCATGTAACTTAGGATAGTAATTGATTCTGTATTGAACCCAATACGGCTACGCTATGATTTGTTTTATTAAGTAAGGCCAGACCAATGTTATTTCTTCTTTTACGGGTTTTTGTCCTCAGAAAACCTAAAGGCAGGAGGGAAAAAAAAATAAAATAAAATCACCAGTCAAAGTAATATTCCTTCTTAATACTCAAAGTATTTTACTTTTGGCAATTTATGAAGTGTATATGGGGCAAAAAAACAATCTAAAAAACATATTTCTTGTAAGTTTACATTTTTGGCCAATAAAAACATTAGGATTTTATTTTTGGATCGGGGAAAATTAATTTTTATTTTATTTCTTATTCTTGAAAAAATATGACAGGCATATCTGTAAAACAAGAAATAAAATTGGTCTGGCCTAACAGACTAATGCAAGATAAGAGGGTATATTATAAAACGTCACTACTAGTGCATTTCGATGTTTTGTATTGAACGAGAAGATGTCATGGCAGCAGAGAAACAACGAGTTCAAAAACATCTCCCATGACATCTTCTCGTTCAATACAAAACATCCAAATGCACTAGTATGACATTCTATATATATATTGCACATAGTCTTTCTTCAAAGAAAATGTTAAAAATGTCAGGTTGTTTACTGTATTGTTGGAACAAGGTCACGTAAAGTAGCATGATGTCATGAACAGTGGGTGAGTCACAGTGAACTACAGATGTAACAAACTCAACTGTACGACCAATCCATTCATTTGACAACTTTGTTCTTCATCAAAACAAAATACAATATTTACTTACTTTCAGATCCTGGAAATCACTTTGTTGATAGCGGACTACATCAATGTTAAACTTCAGCAGCCTTCACCAGAAGCCATGAATGGGGACACATAGCAGCAGTTATCTCCCCTTGGACTTAGAGTTACCTCCCCTAGTCATGTTACCTTTCAAAAGCAATCTATTACACTAACACTGCTGAACATATGACAGCTTGATATCTTCATTGCAGGGATGTGATCATTGAATGTTATTCATTTGTTTGACATGTATTGTTGAGTTTGGTTCTGTTCTTGACCTAGATGTGAGTGTACATTTTCACCCATGATACCTCATGTGATCTACTGAATTGTGTGAGTTACGTGTTGATGTCTGTTTCACTGTTAATCATGCACGCAACATCCTTGACCTGTAGCCATTAATGACATCACTCTTTAGAAACTGCAATATACATGGTTTTCATACTGCATTCTTTTTTGTAAATTTCATGGAGAATAATATACTACTCAAACAAGTTAATGAATGCCGATTCTTTCATATTACTACAGTTAATCTGTGATGCCATGCCATAACTGAATGAGTACAGTAATATGAAAAATGGTCCTAAACTTTGTTGGGTAGTAGTTAGTAATTTGTAAACTTTGTAGTTAATTTTTAAGTGACATTCACAAGGGATGTTAACTAGGGGCTTCTTGATCATGAACAGCTTGAAAAGACCAAATTGATTTATCTAGTCAATCTGTTACAAACAATTATGGAATCCAGCTCGAAGGGACATTAAGTGGTTATATCACTGCATGACATTTTAAACTTAATTGAATGAGAATAGAGTCAACTTATTGCTTAAATTTCTTTTTCTTTCAGTGCAGCATTTCAGTACAGATGTTGGAACTTTTATCCAAAAGGTCCTTGATAAGGCATCCCTACTGAAATGTCGCAATAAGAGAAATATAGAAGTTACGATCCTTAACTATGCCCTCGTTAACAAGTGATTAACACATTTATAAGACTAGGTCATTATCTGGCAGAAATAATACGGATATGACGTCAAATGTTTATTTCCTCCATGGCACTACTAGCAGCTTGTGATATTCATCTTCGTCACTGTTAAAGTTATTGTGTCACCATATGGGTATGTATTGACCATAATGGTTGTCGACACCCAGACTTCATGCCAAAGCCCAGCCATGGAAGCCAGCCCAACTTTAACATCCTATATATTATACGTGAGCTGCAGAACAAAGACAGTTGAACTGTTCATCACTTTAAATTTGACTTTTTGCTGAATAATTTTCAGTTATCAACTTTATTTTTCTAGTCAAAAGAACCAAATCAATCAAACCAAATAGACTCCAGCATTTCCAATAGATAAATTTCTTTATCAACATGATCAATGGTTTGGTCAAAACGTGTAAAAGTTTGTTGCACTATTGATATTTGTTGACAACTATGCAAGTTATGTGTTACACCAAACTTTATGCACATAAGTTTTTTCATGATGAGCAATATTGAAACAAAGTTCAATTTCATGTGTTTGTTCGTTCTGTGCAGTTTTCATCCAATCCTGACATAGAGCTTTGGTCCTCCAATGCTTGTATTGTATTTATATATTACTCTTTACAGTGCAGTATGCAATATATTTATATCTAGTCATTGTGATAATACTCCAACTGCATAATAGTCAGTACAAACTCATCTTCTGAAAGCAAGGGAGTTAACTCACTACAAAGGTCAATTTCCTCTTTTCAGAACTTGGTTGGAATTTCAAGGGTTGATTGTAACACCACCAGTGACTATTACAAGTTTTATCTCTTCTCCGCAACCGGTGACTGAGATTCCGGTGTTTAACGATACAAGTCTACATCATAATAAATCAGATCTTTCCTCTCGAAGTGCATCGATCACTCAAGCAAGTTGATTAAACCATTAACGTTAAGGAAATATCTGTCGACACCCATTGGTCAGTACACATGCTTTACAAATCCTGCAATCAACCAGGTGTTGATTTCAATACATGATTTCGAATAACTCGCTAGGCCAGCCAAGTTAAACTGATGAAATTCCAGCCTGGTTCGATAAGGGAGGATACTGGATTCCCTTGCCTCAGAAGAAGGGTGGTAGAAACCTTAAGGTGAATTCTTGTTTAGTAAGGCCGAAATGGTACAGATTTAAGATTTAGAGTACATTTAGTGCTACACGCTGACCGATTTTTCAATAGGCCTATTTTTATAGACTGTCTGAAATATCCTTGTAAATGTCATGAAATATATCCTGAAAAGAGGACATTCTCTATAATATCAGGATATTCTATTAGATATGCCAAACTTTATGATTACCTCTTGAATATCCGGAGTTTATTTTCCGCTGGGTCACATACATGATACCTACATGAATACCTACAGTTTGCAGCCAAAAGCGATCAACAGTTGAGGCACACGAGCAAAACTGATGACGTTTCATCTTATACAAGCATCTAATGCCAGCTTTATAATGAATCTTACTTTATACTTGTGAACACATGAGATATGGTAATGAGGTACTCTGCCCAAAGGTCAACCTAAGTTTCCTGTCTCATTATTTCTTTGGAATGTTTCAGAATGGATTTCAGGGATAAATACAACGAGAATGGAAATGGGGCTTTTGTTTTGTGAACAATTACTGTTTTTTAAATCTTTAAGTGAAAGGTTTGAAGTTGTTTGATGGGCATTCTAGAAGTTGGTGACTCAGAAATGAAACATACAACTTTATGGATGACAACTTCTTATTTATTGCATAAAGCGATGTTTCGATGTAGATTCTTTCATTTCTGACTCAGTATTTGTCAAGTTTGAATACATGTATGTGATGAAAATATAAAATCTGACAAATTGATGGAGTGTGTTTATGAGAACCTATTCTCAGCTTCATTTATTAATCTTTCATAATTCTTAAACCAAAGTCAATCTTGAATAACATTGGAACTCATCTTGAGAAATATTGTCATGTGTTTAGCTGAGTAAGTAAAATCTAGCTTAATAACACTGGAGCAGCTGTTCAAACTTAAATGTTAAAACATAAAAGTTAAAACCAAACTCTTTTGCCTGATGTGGATATTGGTATTGGTCCCAGTAAACCATGCTGGTAAAAAAAATTAATCTGTCTCGGAGACTTGGTTGGAAGTGTTTCATTCCACCCATCACTGGATTGTCTGGTCCAGACTCTACTGTTTACAAGCATCTGTAATATAGCTGGAATATTGCTGAATGCAATAAATACAAACTCCTCTAATGATTGTGAGAATCTAGATTTCTCTCTACTGTAGGGGAGTGCTTTAAAGTGAGTGGGTTTAACATCACTTTGCACAAAGTACTGATAGGGGCTGTCACATATATATTAATCTTGAACGATGAAGGTCTCCATTAAATGTAACATTATTTATTCAAGGACTGCTTGTCTATAAAGGATTATTAGTACCTATCATCAAATCCGTACTGTGTTTGCTTTATGAATCACACATTCCCAACTTAATCTGTGTTGACAAATGACTTGCAGAAGTCTTCTCAGTGTTGAAAACATCACTGTTTGAACTTGAAATACTTACATCATCCACTCATTTAGACAGACTTACCAACACATGAATGTTTCATTGAATCGTCATCTGAATGGTCACTTGTCTGGTTGACCTAATTCCTGGACAAGATATCAATTTGTTTGACCTGTTAAAAAAGGATTTTTTTGTCCTCTGTTGAAAAATATCTACATCATTTAACAGTTTAAGCACAAAGACATTCAACTGACAATATCTATTCTTCAGTGAATCTCAAGATACAGATCTCAAAATTAATCGTTGTTACAATTTCTCCTATGCACATTATTGCCCCTTGATCTCAAAGCTCACCTTATCCCAGTTTGCTCCAGGATTCATTTAGTTAAAAAGGGGTCCACTTGTAATATCATGAATTACTTGGCGCTACTTTTTTGTGGAATTGAGGCAGGGCCCTTTCTTCAAAGCCCTCTGAGCACTACGACTATCATAAGCCTGTGTTAAGTTATGACCCCTTAGCACTAAGACCGCTTCATGGAACAGGGTGCGAAACAGCCGGAATGATGATTGTTGGTGAGTCTGATTTCATATATGTATGAATATATATATTCAGTCATCAGTGTTGTTTTCCATATCCTCATTGTAAACAATTATTCATGTCACATATAATCAATGGATTGTACTTGATGGGAACATATAACCGTTTTAGTCATACTGTCACAAACATAAAAAACATTGTTGAGTGGATGGTTGTGATGAGATTTATAGGGCAATGTTGATATCATCATCTGGTTGAACTCAGGTTTATCATTGATCATTTTCCCATTTTGATATCATTCATTACTAGATATCAGCAACATTCTCAAGGTGTCAGTAACTGCAGACCTAACAAAAGAATACCAGTTGTCATACAGTCATATTCATCTAGACAAATCACATGATATCATCCATAAGATACTTAGTGGAAAGATCTTTCGCTGAAGAATAATGCTAACATTCAAGATGGATATCAGTTACCATTTTGATATCCATTATCACAGAAACAATTGATGTATAGACTCTATAGTATTAATACTGCAAGTACAAGGGCCAGACTATAGACCTTGGGCCAGTACTGCTCAAGGGTTTGGGTGAGGGAACTCACTGTGGTTCAGTAAGTTCCTCCTGTCCCTGGGCCCAATGAAATGCTATTCCTAACTTGCTTGCTTTAAAGATTTTATGAGTGCTTCCAATCAGTACAGGTTTTGCACTTAATGAGGAAGGATATCTGGCCTTTAAGAAAAGGATTGACATCTGACAAGAATTCATTAATGTTTCACTTTTTATACATTGATCATTATATTCTGCATCAAGGGAAAGCTTGATTATGGAAAAAAAAGCCTTTAACTTTAATTGTAAGTTGTTGAAGAAATGACTTCATTGAATTAGGTTTTAGACATTGAATCGGTCTGGGTGTCTTGACTAAGTTTATTCAGATATTTTGGTAACGGCAACTTTTCAGATTGTGTGGATGGACATGATTAAGCATTTCTGTGATAATTACATGAGTCAATACTAGATATGGAGAGAATTGTGATTTCGGAGAAGTGTGTGTTGGTAGTATGAACCATGGAATGAAAGGTGAATTCCTTATGACGTGATTATTGAGTAACTGTGAAGTTATTGATTGTCTTCATTTAGCTATGTTACCAGCATAAATGTTTTTCAAACAAGTTTCAAAATTGTGATATATTTTGAATAAAGAACTTAATTCATTAAGCCAAAACATTTTTGAACAAGTAATCCTGTGGTTAGAAGATATTTGCATTAATTCAAAGGTGAAATATAGGCCACAGTTTCCACTGTCCCAGAAATATGCAATGAGTGTTGTCAAACAAGCTCAGGGAGAAAAACAAGTCATGCAATCAGTCATCTGTGGACATGGTAGGTTGTGATCAACTCAGGTAGATTCACATGCAGTGTTGATGCAAACTGTTGAATGGAAGATATAGATATGTGTGACCATGTTATGATTACTGGATGGATGAATTAGTAAAAAACTGGTAACCTTGGTAGTTGGACCATCAGCATTAGTGTGACATTTGTGTGTGGATGATAGTAAGAGCCTGAATGTGAGTGTTAATTCAATTTCCCAAAAGATTTTGTTGAAGTTAGTCAAGATACCTGCAAAAACCTACTAACAAAAATTATTTGACTTTAAGGTTTCAATGTTCATTCACCTTGGTTGAATGTTTGAGTTACTTTCACTTTTGTAGAAAGTTCTCGTTACATTATATCATTCTGTTTTAGTTGTCCTGAAAATGCTTTCTTTCACAAGGAGACCTTGAGTTTATGTACAAATTGTACTAAGTGATGAGTTTGCTGGATGAAGATACCATCCAGAAATCTGTCATAAGGAATGACATGATTTTCTCTGCCAGAAAAAAATAAACGTGATTTGATACTAAAACCTTGTCTGTTTTTAATATATAATTATTTACTGAAATCAGAGTAAAGTTTCAGCTTAAAACCATTACTTTTCCATACTTTCAGATATTCTAATGCTATGTTTGAGATATAAGCATGCATATTTAGGTTATCCATTAACACATAATAGAACATAAGGAAACATTCTATTGTAGAAGATACTTTAAAGTGGCAAGTGAGGAACTGTCAGTGGATCTGTAAAATTGGCATTTATTGAACATGTGTGGGTACTATGTGAACATGATGAATGGATCATTGGATCCATCCCTTGTTACCATATCCATACAAGATGGAGAGTGAACAACCCTGCAATCTAAGACTCCCAGTGAAGTAATTGACAGTGCAAGGTTGAATCCCTCAGGAACACCAGAAACCAATGATCATGGTACAATACCTGGTTCGGTGTCCTTCTTTTCAAGCTTTGTCAGCTCCATAGCCAAGCTTGTGGGTTCACCAAGATGTGATTAAACACATAAACCTGCATCACTTGATGCTCCCAAATCAATCTGACCATGATATTACTGGAATACTGCTCAAGTAGCGTTAAACCAAACTCATTCTTCAAAGATGAAGATGTGTCAGGAATACAATAATTTGTACATGGTTTAAAGATAAAGGAGAAGAATTGATTGTCATTCATTTTAATTATGACAGCATTGATAAACTGTATTGGAACTGCATCATACACAAATGTGATACATATTCAACATATATATTGCACATTACACATACTCAGACTGACAATATAGACACATGGACAAGCAGCATACACATGCATTCTCTATGAAATGGTCTTTTGAACGTTGAAAGTACAGAATCTTTTCCATAAATCTAGTGGTAAAACTATCACTTTCCTTTCCAAATTAGTAATGCTGAATGGACAAAATCCTACTTCTTTAGAACTAAATATATGAAGAAGGATGCAATCAACTCTAAAGCATGGTCACGTTTGTCAAATTAGTTGATCAAAGTGAGACTGGACAAACTTTGATCTGTATAGTAATGGTTACCTCAAGCAACACTATTATGGCCAAAATGATTCACTAGTGCTTGTAAACACAACACTGAAAGATTAGACATGCAAAAGATTGCATTATGAACACAATATCATCTGCTGGACCACCTTCTGTAAAGCAGTTGTTTGTTGTTTAATGTCGCATCAAGCAATATTCCAGCTATATAGCAACAGTCACTAAATAATTGAATCTTATATCAGACAATCCAGTGATCAACAACATGCGTCAACCAAAGTCAGCAAGCCTAACTAGGCAATCCCATTAGTCGCCTATTACAACAAGCATGGGTTGCTGAAGACCAATTCTGACACAGATCTTCACAGGTCTGCAGAATTATGACAGTCCTAGTTCTATCGTAAGTTTCTGGAAAGTGGCCTAGGATCTTACAGGGGAATCTGAAGGGTTCAATGAGGTTCAAAGACCTACATGGACGCCTGAAGTGTCCTCTATGTTGTCCTGGCATAGACCATCATAAGAGGTCTCTAGGCCTACAGTGAAGCCTGGAGATTCCTATATGTTGTCCTGGCATAGATCATCAGAGGTCTCTAGGCCTACAATGAAACATGGAGATTCCTGTATGTTGTCCTGGCATAGACCATCATAAGAGGTCTCTAAGGCCTACAGTGAAACCTGGAGGTTCCTATATGTTGTCTTTGCACAGCCATCAGAAGAGGGAACTAGGCCTACATTGAAGCCTGAAGTGTCCTCCAAGCTGTCTTGGGACAGATCATGATAAGAGGTACCTAGACCTACAGGGAGGTCTAAAGTGTCCTCAATGGGATCTGATGTTTGGGCTCTGACCAGCTGATGTACTATATCTGTCCACATCTATAAATTATTTTACAGTTAAGGATAGCAGTTCCATACACACAGACATACACAGAACAAACAGTTCAGATCACACACAAATGTCACTCTTTGGGCAACCTGCGACGAACAGCTCTTATATGTCTCCTGGGCTGCCGTGGTGCCTCTGCTTTTGAGGGGGGCTGGAAATTGCAGTGTCACTGACTGATGCTCGTGGCCTCTTGTTGGGATGATCACTCACCATCTCATCATAGTACTTCCTCTTCCTGTCACACAACACAGACTCACTGGGTGTCCTGTTGGGGATAGTAGGAGCTTGTCTCTCACCCTCAGGTTGAAGAGGATACTGCATGTTAAATTCAAGAGTGTCATCAACATCAATGATAACCTCTGCTGATCCAATTGCCCATCCATCATCACCAAGAGGCCCAACAAGTTCATCTTTCTCATTCCAGTCCCACTGGTTGTAGTCCATGTGCAATGACAAAACACTTGATACAGCAGATAGGATAGATTCCTGACTGGACACAGCGGACACTGAGTGATCATCATCATCATCAAAGTCAAACCAGTTGTGACGGCATTCATATCATGCATATTGACCATGTACTCATCGAAGAAGACATTCACTTCACTTTCTGTGCTGTACAGGGAGGATGTGCTAGAACATGCAGAACAGGCTTGGACCAGCACACAGTGAACCACTGGGTCCTGGCTGTGGTTCAAAGTCTTCCTGTTCCTGTCCATGGTTCTTGAGCTGGACTGGAGGCTGATACTACTGTCGGATCCTGCCTCAGGCACACAACCACTGGGTCCTGGCTGTGGTTCTAAGTCTTCCTGTTCCTGTCCATGGTTCACACTTATACTTGAGCTGGACTGGAGGCTGATACTGCTGTCGGATGTAATGACAAGACTTAGATCAGAGTCAGAGAAAGACTTCCCAGGATTTTGTGAACATTTGAACGCAGTTCCTGTGGTGAGAAAGGGAAACTTCTTTCTCCTTATTTCATCCAGTTTTCTTGCAGCAGTAATGTACATGTCAACACTTTCATGAATTCTAAGACCATTGGTGAGGAGAGCAGAGTCAGACACAGATGGCCTCACAGAACTGGATTTTAGCATCTTGTGTTGATTGTAGAAGTCCAGTTCCACAGACTGTCCAATCTGCTTCTCCAGAAACATCTCAACTCTGTGATCTAGAGTAGGATCCAACAAGTGAGGAAACTGTATGTCTACTGTTCGCATCTTCAGACTCAGAGGAATAACGTAGATAAGGATCTGAAACAATATGATCCATAAGATTTCACTTTCACACAGAACTGGTAAGGTCGACATAGTAGCAGTATAGATCAAATATTAAGAAATATGAAAAGCACACCTATTGAGTAAGAGGAAATCTCATTCTTATTCATTTTGGTTTCTGTATTCATTATAGTATTCTCAAAATCTGGTGGTATTTTTGGCTTAACGACACTCCCCCATCTTTTATCAAATAAACATACCTAACTGAAGATTCGTTGGAATGTACTTGTTGGGAACTGCAAAATATAGCAAATGACAGTTCTCACAAAACAACAAGCATCAAATTCTACGATCACATAGAAGGAAGATGGCTTCCGATCGGTATCTTGGCAACGAAATATTCTTTACAACCCCGCACGTCCGCTAAGAAACATAGTGCAGTGACGATTTAGTCACACTTAAACATGTAATGTTTTCACAAACAACATACAGTCGGCCCAACCTCAAAAACGAAACGCATCTCAGTATGTTTTTATCGGGTATACGTTCAGAAACGCATAGAAATATTTAGCGTAAACTCCGAAAGGGGAATAACTCTCAATTACCTTTGCGCGTGCCAACTTGGTATTGGGATATATGCGAGACGGGGTCGAACTTACGGTCCTGCTCAGGCTCCTATCCCTATAGGTTCCACTGATACATAGTGTGTTATGCTGAGTCATCACCGCTGTTCCATTATTCAGCAATGAAATAATAGTGTTTGTATAACTCGCATCTGCTACATATTATCCTCGTATTCCAGTAAACAATGGAGCTACACTAGATCTAGTCTTTCTATTTGAAAGTTTGGCATTCAGTATCGTATTTTCCAGGTGTAAAGAAGTAGCAGATGCAATGACAATGTGTGAAAAACATATTTCTTAATTCTGGACAATAATTTTCACCGATTGCGAGCTTTCACTGTAAGTCATGACAAATTCACTACACCAGGGAGCGTTGGCGTTAGTCAATGGTACATGTGTACATGAACACGCATAACATGAATCACGACAGCATATCTGAAAACATTTAGGTTCAGGGCAATATGTATTTAATATTTTCCATACCAATATTGAACAATCAAAATCAATCAAAATGTTCCACTTCAAGGTCTATGCAAATTTTGAAAACTAGCCTGTCTCACAGTCCCTGAACCTCATTATTTCCCCCACTGTCTAGTCCTCCCGGCAATGCTAAAGCCCTAAGTAAAGCAAGTCTAAATTTCCCCAGGCTACTGAATCTCCCTTCTCACTGGGTCTACTTTTCAATTTAAATGGCATTACTTGTTACTATCAAAGTTATATATACATTGTATTCAGAGACTGAGCATTAGTCTACTTGAAACAATACACATGCCTGGCAGTTGGCAACGATAAAATGAAACAAGTGCTAGTCGGCTGTACTGTTTTGACTCGGTATATATCAATGGTCCAGCACTATATACAACCAGTACAGCCCTATGTAAAACCAGACCAATACAGGCATCCAAACACACAGTGCACTTAGGGCAACAGACTGTAGGTAGCGTATCTAAACCACAGCCAGTCACGTAAATGAGTCCACCATTGATATATGTCGTTGACCTTTCATTTGATGAGCGTTTCATGAAATGTTAATCTATCCCTACAGTCAGTGAATATTATGTATCAGATCAAAATGATCATGTGCAAGTCAGTCTAACCTCGGGATAATCACATTTAGGACACGGCTGCTCTAGGAGTCACTCTGTTACATTATATTTAACTGCTTTAAATCCCATTTAACATAAGGTAGGTGTGTGTGTGTGTGTGTGTGTGCGTGCGTGCGTGCGTGCGTGCGTGTGTGTGTGTTTAGCCTAGTGGTCAAAGCTTTGGCTCGTCACGCCAAAGACCCGGGTCCGATTCCCCACATGGGTACGATGTGTGAAGTCCATTTCTGGTGTTTCCCCCGTCGTGATATTGCTGGAATATTGTTAAAAGCGGCTACAAACCATACTCACTCACTCATTTAACGTGACACAATGCATCTGCACAAGATGTGCTGTGAGATAAAGCCACTGGACTAAGGCAAGTGCATCAGGTTTATCCCAGCTATAAAACGGCGACCGGACTAAAACCAAAACAATACAATATGTCAACTGTGTTTACCCTGAGATACTGGTTAAACTGTTTGACGGAGTGGAGGTTGCAGATGAGCCTGCGGAGGTAGATGAGCAGGTCGTCCAACTTGATGGCGGTGAAGGAAAACCAAGTTCTATGGATAGTCAACTTCTTTATTGCAATGAGTGCGACGTTTCGGTGTAGGTACTAACACCGTAACACATGTACTAAACACCTTTATCAAGCAGGTGATGATCACTTGCTTGATAACGGTGTTAGTACCTACACCGAAACGTCGCACTCAGTGCAATAAAGAAGTTGACTATCCATAGAACTTGGTTTTCCTTCACCTATACAACTTCTAAAATGCCTCTCAAAGAAGTTGATGGCGGTGACTGGAGTGTCCTTGCCCTCCAGTAGACACTCCCAGGCCACGCTCAGGCGTCGGGCGCGTTGCAGGCAGTCGTGGTACTCGTTCAGGAAGTGACTGCATGCATCCACCAGGTCAGTTAGATCGAAACCATTACACTCCAGATTAGGTTAGACCAAAACATCGAGGTAGGTATCATTTCGACCTATTTCAACCCAACTACAATAAACACGGCTGTCGTCTTCAACTACTCCCCTTACGAGGACGCAAAACATAAGCTCTTGGACGTTACTTTATGATTACGTTCTTGAGGTTATTTCTATATCTGCACTGTGTAAAAGATGAATATAGGCCCATGTCAAGTCAATATTTGTTCTTAAAAATAAAGGAGAACAGGTGTTCTGTGTTCAAATATTTTTGATACTATTAGAGAACATATATATACGAGCTAGAAAACTAAATAGGCAATAAACACAACCATGTGTTACCGGGGCATTGTATATTAATTTTCCTCATAGGATTTCTTGGAGAAATCGGTACAACAACATAGAGGACAGACATGGAATAGTATGCTATTTCAAATATCGCTTGGCAAGCGGCAAGCCGAACCAGACATCAATAACCACTGAGTTATGTCAACGAATGACTTCAAACCGCCGTTCACCTTTTCACACAACGTACACAAGGGATTCAGCCCAGAGCTATTAATGTCAAGTCTACGGTATTTACTTTTTTTTCTTACAAATTGCAGATAAGCAGTCTCATTTTTATCCAGGTAGTCCAGGTACTGCCCGAGTTGTCTGGGGCCACTAAAATCGTCAGCGTTGATAAAAGTTCCTTCGGGAAACAGTTTGGCGTAGTCCGCGCCTCCTCGAACAACCGGCACAGCAGTGGTGTCAAACGTGTTGAAAAACTTCTCGGTTACGTAGTCAACACAAAGGGAATTCTCAAAAGCAAGATAGAACTTGTAGGTGGTATTCAACAAACCTAAACACGACCCCTCACCCTCACTGGTGCAATTCATTGTACCACACTTCCCATACACGTCAACACGGATGTATGTCTGCAACTGTCTGACGTACTCTTCACGTCTGCTTTGCGTGAGGCAGCTACTGACAAACCACGCAGCAGTTCGGGACTTCTGCTCCACGCTTTTCCTGTAGTACCCATCGTCCTGCGGCACATCCCTATATACCAGTCTACCATACGGTGATGGAACGTCAGAGTCTAACCGATACGTCATCGTAAGACTGAACCGATGGCGCCATGTTGGATTCGTGTAGGTATCCAAAAAGTGGAGCGGAGGTTCCAATCCAAAGAAGACCCATATTTTGTCGTCAGTGTTGTTGGGGATAGCGTTTGTCCTTAGGGTCGGAGCATGAACAATGATAGCATCTGCTGCTGCCATCAAAGATTTGTTGGCCGAGAGCATGCAGTTATTGACTGCACAATGGTCTACACTCGACGAGAAAGACCTGCCCCACCAATGTGGAAAGTTATACCAAACTATCAGTTTCCGAGAATGATTCGATCGCACTCGCAAATCGTATCTTAATCCATTTACAGTTTTCTGCACATGTGGAGTGCCTCCATTATCACTGATAATCGGGGACTCTTTTCTTGCAACAAGGATTTGTTCAGGCCGTGGTAAAGGTTCATGTGGCTGTTCCGTTTTCGTTACAGGAACTGTATGGATAATTGAAAATATTTCATGGGCAGTGTTTTTACCTTTTGCAAATAAAGCCCAAAGAACTGATACAGTAATGACGGAATTAATTAACAACAGCATCAGCATGCAACGAACGGGTCGCCTGTAGAGTGAAGCTTGTACCATACTGATATCGAAACGTTGTTCATTGTTTCACACAGGATCTTCAGAGAAGCTCGGAAAGATCCGACGTCAGAAGGTAACAACGATAGAAATATATGGACATATAATTATATGTTCGCTTGTTCATCCGTTACGTAATGCATGGCCTATAACGTGTTTCTGGAACTGAGATAATGTCACCCATATGCAGACCCGAAGTGATTAATGGGGAACAGGTGGTACATCTGGATGTAAAACGTGTCTACAGCGCACCTGTTACAGTGTGTTGAAACTGTATCCATGGACAAATTTAATCAATTTGATAGCAGTGTATTTCGCTCTATCAGCCCACTGAAACGTGTACAATATCAAACAAATTAAACAAGTCTGTGCTAGGAATATTGATTTGTTTTATCTATAATTTCTTCAATCAATCGATTTTCGGAGCAATTTTGCAACATTTGATCATACCTCAGTGATGGGTGGACAATACGATTTCCATACAGGAACATAAAGCACATTGATAATTGTATTAGTCAAGTTTATCGTCTCAGTGTCATCACCATGGCAGTTTGGTTTTATTAACCTCAATGAAAGTGCATAAGTCAAGTGCTTTCCATAATTGTTTGTGAACTATAGACTTTTCAATACTGGACAGCATGATATTTCATCATAGGTAACGAATAGATGTATTTGATTTTAATTCGATGAGTAAAATAACGTGGCTATTAGTGTTCTACACAAAATATGTTTGGTGTTGTGTAATCAGATAAAACAGGTATGTCAAGGCTACAGATAACATTAGGGACCAAAAGGACAATTTCAGAATTTATCTTTGAGAGACAGCCTTCCAATTATACCATTTTAGAAGATTTGGACATGTTATCTTAATTGAAATGGTATTACACTTAGTGTTTTTTACCCTTGCTAGTGACCCAACACATATGTACCAATCGGTGTCCATGTGTAGCATGACCCATGAAGGTCCGGGTTAGAATGAACCTTCAGTAACCCATGCTTGTCGTAAGAGGCGATGGATCGGGTGGTCAGGCTCGCTGACTTGGTTGACACGTCATCGGTTCCCAATTGCGCAGGTCGATGCTCATGCTGTAGATCACTGGATTGTCTGGTCCAGACTCGATTATTTACAGACCGCCGCCATATATGTGGAATATTGCGGAGTGCGGCGTAAAACTAAACTCACTCACCACATGTGTAACCTACACATAATTTGAACTTGGTATAATGCGTCCATATTCATCTTACAATACAATGCCATATAGCCCATAATTTGGGAAGTTGAAGACATTATCAACAATGTTGCAATGCTGTTATGTCGTCAACTACCCATACCTATACCAGGTCAGGCCCTCCGAATGGTGGAAATTGAGAGGGCCATACAAAATCTTTATTCTGACTTGACCTTTTTGGTTATTACTATTTCACCTCTGGTCTTGTTTAGGATGAAGTGTTATGGTGACCTCTAGACTACCGGGAAAGGCGGGGGTTCTTATACTCCCGAAAAGTAACCTGTTGACAATTTAAGATGACTATATCCTGATGCCAAAACTATTATCTCCAAAAATATATCCCAAATGTTCATTAAAATGTAGTCCAAGCTTTCTTCTTTAACATATTTATCCATTTCAGTGGGTATGTTATGTCAAGATGTTCTGTATTAAAATACATTTACACATAAGCTTATGTAATGAATCAATTTTTTCAATAATTTGTAGACATGGCATGTACTTTGATGCTGCAGTCAGCCATATTCCAGCTTCAGTGAGGGTGGCCAACTCTCATGCTGACTATTTGTGTGTGAGTGAGGTGCACATATATGTGTGAACCTATATATATACTGTTTCAAAGGTCCAAACATTTCACAACCATTGTTCTTTGTCCAGATATTGGGTACACAAGGAAAACATACACAATATAAAAAGCCCCACTTCACTTACAAATTATCAGACCCACCTTCAAAACTCTTACGAAACACAAAGCCATAATGTGTGAATATACATGTGCTTTGTCTTAAGCCTGGTTAATATGGTGTAAAGAAGTTATGACTTAAAATTAAAATGAAAGCTTCAAAAACACAGGTCTTTCTGAATATTAATACCAACTGAAATATCTAGAAAAGATGCAAGCAATCTATCTGGACACTACTTGGAAAATAATTTGAAAACACAAATCTTATTTCCAAGATCATAGTTTAATATCTACACATAAAATAATTCAACAAAATGGATGACATAAAAGTGAAATGATGAAATGCATGACTGAAAGAGACATGTTAAAACAATTCACAATAATTACACAATATTTCATATAATAAACTGATGTCTTGGACAATTTAAAGGTGAACTCAATCATATCTGTAGCACTGCCCTTCACCCTCTTGTGCATCAAGAACTTCGGGAAGATTTCCATCCCATATCTCAAGTACACTGAACCATGGCATGCAATGGCACAATTGTTTGTCAGGAAGAAATGTATTGGGTCAAATATGAAGTGTGGTTCTTTATTAGATAATAAAATACTATTTTTAAAAAATTACCCAACTGAGCTGTCCCATGTGAATTGAAGAAAGGGGATAAAAATTCATTCGCAAAATGCGATTATTCATTTGGTGTTCATGTACACTTTGGGAAGGACAACACAATATTTACATGATACCAGTTCATTTTACATTTACACGACAAATTAAAACTGCTCATTATGAATGCATGTCAAACAAGTGATATCACCTGGATCTGTCTGGTAAAAAATGTTAGATCTTGAATATACGCACAGCCATCAGCACAATTGTCAAATACAATTCTGTGATTATTTACAATCCATGCACGCTATGGTGATCACAGTTCATACTAGCAGATTTAAGTTCTCAATGTAGATCAGTCATCCTTGTCATCATCCTTTCGGTCATCCCCATTGCTGGTTGGTGATGCATCCCTCTTGTCAGGAGACTTGGATCTGGAACGGGATCTGGACCTAGACCTGCCCTTGCATGGGCTGGCAGAATCACGATTATCTTTGTCCATCTTCTTGGAACGGGATTCACTCCTACTCCTTGATCTGCTGCGACTAGCACTCCTGCTGCGACTGCGACTTCGGCTCCTGGAGCGACTCCTTGATCGGCTTCTTCGGGATCTGGATCGGGAACGGCTTCGGCTCCTGCTACGACTCTTGGAGTATGAACTGGAATGGTAAAGGGTAAATGCAGAGTACAATTCTATAGCTATTCACTAAATAACATATCAAATTATGCTTTAGAAACAATCATGATTAGTATGTAAAAAGTGTAATTATTAAACAAGTAAGTATTGGTATTCACACAAGCAATATAGCTTGTCATAACTATATATGAAAAAAGACAACATAACACTCCTAAAAAACAAACAAATACAAACAAGAGAGACCTGGCATATAACATTTTCACTCTCATGCATCACCAGTGAAAATTTCAACATTGTCAGGTGATTTGATAAAACATACATCTCATCTTAAAGAATTATTCCACATGTCTCCTGACTTTGTTCAAAGTTAAAAAAAACCCCAAATAACCAACCCTTAGAAATCATCTTTCATGCTGTGATGTATAAATATACAACATCCGATGCCAACATCACTCAGTGAAATGGTTCCACTACTTCTCACCAATCAAAACAAACCACCAGTTTGAATATTATAAGAATCAATTTGAATACAAGAAAAGTCAGCATACCGGCCACGCCTCTTTGGCTTGTCTTCTACTACACGGATTTTCCTTCCATTGATTTCAGTGTTGTCTAGCTTCTCCATGGCATTCTTCATGTCTGAGTATGTAGCAAACTCCACTATTCTGAAATAAAAATAATTCACAACAATGTAAGGTAGAAAATAGATTGCATTTTATTGTCATGCAATGATAAAGATTTTAAACAAGAAGATGGTCACGAAATAGAAATCAAGCTGCAATTGTGATCATGTCACCATTAAATACATCAGAAACTCACCCTTCATTCTTGTGCTTCTTGTGTGCATCTGCAAATGTAACTTCACCCGCCTGACGCATGTAGTCCTTTAGGTCCTTGAACACACAAAGAATAATTACAGAACATGGGAACATACTTTTGTGAAGAAAAGATAATCTTACCACAACAGCATACAGCTTCTCCATACCTGAAATTACCAGCCCTACTAAACAAAGAAATATTGAAGCAGTTTCTGGATTTTTTCATTGTTCTTACATGCCAATGAAAACAAAATCAAGCTTGTAAACACCCTACATTGAACAAGTGCATGAAAGGCTGCTTACTTCCATAAACCAGTAACACAAAGTCAGTTGAAAACCATAAATTTTCTTCAGAAATGTCGAACTCCATATAATCTCATTCAGATTGCTTATCCAATATGTAGCAGAGCTCCACGAACTGCCTTAGGTACAATACCCTGTATCATTTCGCATATCAGAAACAGCTAGAGTATTCACATCACTACACATATAAATTTCATAATGTAAACTGAAAGAATGCCATATGTTCACTCCCTGACCCATCACAACTTGTACCAACAAGACTTGTTGTTTTACAAAAAATGTGAATTCCAACTGAAGTTCGTTAATAATGAAAAAAGGTTAATAGATATCAGCAAAGTATCCCCATGTTATTAAAAGGCTTCAAATTAGTAATAAGTTGAAATCGTTCATTGTACTTAGAAGTTTCACAACATTTATGGCAAATTACAATTCCATCTGATAAAATTTATATCATTATAGATGATACTCATCACTCATTTCCCCTATACCTACTTTCAGCATAATAGGAGCATTCAAAACAATTACCTCTGTACTTTCCCTTAATCAAGAGCTCATTTCTCAAAGGCCAAAGCAGGTATGGACCCTATATACGCTCTGCAAGAATGGACCTCGGGTTGACGGCTGGAGCCAGTGCCCAACAAGTAGGGCCAGTATCTGATCTCTTGCTCATAAGATGGATGCGAATAGACCCCAAGGGATGGACCTGTCCTGTATGGTGCCCCAGTCGATCGCCAAGGCAACCGACTGAGCACCCTGACTGGAGAAGGAACCTGAGAGGAAGCTAGAGCTTGGAAGACCGTGTCCCCAATGAGTGACTGCATTTTCTTTAATTCAATAGGGTTTCTTTGAGCCAGATCTCCCAAAGTTTTCTGAAAACTAAAATTTGGTTTTTCGTCTGACCCGAAACCAGACTCTGGAGGACACCCCTTGAAGCAGAAAGGACCAGTGTAGAATGGCATGCTGCTAGATTAAGACCTGCAGAGAGACCAAGTGCAGTTTGGCTGTGTCGTTCAGTAAGACCCTGTGATACAGTCCGACAGCGCTTGCCTGCCTGCCTGTATGCCTGCCTGACCTAGGCCGATAGCTAGTGGCAATCCTCTCAGACCTAAGGACCTTGGTTCAAGTTCGAGACCCAGTGACCCCATCAGGCTTCAGCGAGTCTCCCGAGCTTGGGGGAAGATAGATAACATCTTTAAAATTAGTAACTGCCAAAAACAATGGAACACAAATAATTAACATTCTTCTCTTTCCAAAATATTAACAATTCAGTTCCATATTACTACACATTATCTAAAAGGGGTTTTCTATATTTTCCTTGTTTTATAAAATAAATTCTAATGCTGCAACTGAAAATAGGAGGCAATGGATACAACATGCATGGACTAAAAACAGTAAGTAACTCACCTGCCAGCTAACCCTTGATGAAAGATTCTCAATGATCAACCTGTACTCTGTATGTGTAGGCGGCCCATAGCGACTGCAAAACACATAAGATAATCTTTAAATGGCATTGAGAAGTGATGTACATACAGGGGAATATTTATCTTAATGGATGTCAACTTATGTTAAACAAGGCAAAATGCTTGGAGCATATTCTTATCTTTTCATCAGGTGAAAAAGTATCAAACATTGTGTTCCTCAACAATGAAACATAGTATATGGATCACAACTTCTTGTTTATATAGAGCGATGTTTTTCGGTGTAGGTTCTTGCACCATTGTCAAGATAAGTAAAAGTGACTACAACCAAGTGATGAGAAGTATATATAGATAGTATGTTGTGACAAAGATCAGACTAACACCAATAACAGCATGTAGTTGATAACAAGAGGTTCATAATTGCATGAGGCCAGGTGGGGAGTAAAAACAAAATAACATGGGCTATGAAGCCAATAATTATGTTCCTTGTATTACAGAAGTTGACAAATACCATCAACAGAAAAAGAATCTGTAGTTGTCCTCGCTACCATATTAAAGGAAAACAGTACCTGTCTCTGCCACCTCCACCACCACCCCTACGACGAGGGGGGTACCCACGATCACGATCTCTGAAGGAATCCCCTCTTGGTCCTCTAGCATGCTCAACAATACACCTGTGAAAACAAATAAAATTATAACTACTCCTGCACTGCAAGTAAAGCAACATGGGACTAAATGCAGTCAGAAATATTCCATCATCAGAAAGGAAGAATCTGGACTACACTTTTCTATCATAGTCAAGTAGCATTAGTAGGAACAGTAAACTCAAATGCCTTATTATCTAAAGATAGGTATGCTTCTGGTCCTGGGTCGTGTCCGTTGCCTTCATTTCATGCACTGTGTGCACCGATGATGATTTCTGCAACACTCACCACGAAGCCATAGCCATTTTTTCATATATATACCTTTAAAATAAATCCAGAATTTACATCACCTCCCCTGCACTCAATCATTCTTGACAGTAGTACTTTGTTCATTCAGACATTCCAAACCTAATGTTCCCGAAACAAAAATCAGCTAATCCATTTAACTGCCCTATTTAGTTTCAGCAACGATATCTAACTCACCTTTCACCACATAATTCTTTGCCATTCAATTCATACACAGCATCATCAGCATCTCTGTAGTCTTCAAATTCCTGAAATGAAATAAAAATTTCTGTGAAATTGATCAAGGAGTCATACAAACCTGTACCAGAAGTACAGATAAGCTGCATATATGCGTAAATTACGCAAATATTCAGGTGAAAACTCACTTCCCATTAAGTCTATTGTGTACAAGTAACTTGAATTTTTGTAAATACTCAGTAAATTAGATCTTACAGGCGTACACACAAAAATGTCAAATGTTAGCTTTCATAACGGTGGATAAATAACATAACTGAGGTATACTGAGAGGTTCTGTAACACCACATGAACTTGGCAATTTGCAGTCTATCATATCATTTCTCATATTACAGATCAAATATAAATAGCAAACACGTAAACCAATATTTAAACTTTATATTTGTACAATTATTGGAAAATGACAAAATACCCATTTCAGTGAGGTGGGTACCAGTGGTGGTCTGATTCAAATAATTGAAGATTGGTCACAGTGACAAAACGACTAAGCAATCGAATATGTTCTCGAACAATCGAACAAAAACAATTTTGGAACACTTGTTTGCATCAACAATAATGTTCACAAAGTTGGTTTTGTCTGTGTGATTACATTTCATTAGCACTACAAGCGGCCTACAAGCTCGTTCCATGTCATGATTGAATTTATGTTCCTAACATACTAGTCATCCTTTAAATACGTGAATTTGCAAATGCATTTGTGCAATTTGCAAACATAGCCAAACAACCCCCCAAAACTACATGCTTTTTACTTTATTTTTTGTTAGTGCATTAACAAAGGTAACATGTACATTTGATAAATGATGCTAACCAATTATTTTTGTTGATTGATTGGTTGAAATGGATCAATCATCGTGATATTTTAACCAATTCCCCACACTAGCGGATACAGTTTATTAGTTTACTAAAAGGGAAATTAGGATACCCAATCGAGATGAACACAAGAGAGTACACAACTCAATGACCCAAAACGTTATCTGTAGATCGGATGTATTTACCATAATAGAAACAAATCACATTTGTGTTTATGAAGGATATTTCGGTTTCCAATGATGATTTCTGCAACACTCACCACGAAGCCATAGCCATTTTTCAACATAACATCTCGGATTCTGCCATAGTTTCTGAAGAAACGCTCAACATCCTTTTCACGAGCGTGGTTAGATAGTCTGCCAATATATAATCTGGTTCCCATTTTGATCTGAAAAACAAACACTATTATGTAACAATGTGCCCGTACACGAGTCGACACAATACGTGCGGACAGACACGAGGCGAGCTGTAAGCATCCACAATGACGCCTAAAATAACCTTCCGATTAGAAATCAATTATTCTAAGAAAATATACTCATCGGTTTTGTTTCCCAACATCTAGGTAATCACAGTAACAAAATGCTAGTGTAGTCATTAAAGTGTCCCATACTGTGCAATAAATATTGATGAAATTTGATTGTTCTGTCCTGTCTCACACGAAACAAAATGGTGGACAGCCAGCCAGAAAAATTTGGAAAAATGTCGAGAGAACTGTTCCCAATGAGCGGAAAATTTCCGCCACGTCGACGCGTTATTTTGATAGGACATGAACCTCTATCGACTTCAGCTAACCTAAAGGTGGTAAAAATGGTTACTTACTCTGAAATAAACTCTACAAAATCTACCAAAATTAACACACACTTGTCTCCTTTCTTCTATCAAGTGCACTGTGCGGTCTATAACCTGCGTAGAGTTGGTGCGTAGAAGAACGGGGTCACGTTTTCAGCCGCTTAGGTCCTTACTCAGAAATATTGACAATGCGCACAAGCGACCTACAAACATCCTGTCGTCTGCTAATCCAAGGAACGACGAACAAAGACCGCAATCGCAGCTAGCTAATCTGTTTCATAAATGCATGCTCAACAGATATATTGTAGGACTATATTTTAGTCAAAACCTCCCTCTTAGTGGTCAAGGAAACAAAGTGAACAAACGAAGATCATGGAACAAACGTCACCTATAGATCTACTACTGTACGCGACCGTTGTGTAAAATGTATGTATAATGTGGGAACATATGGGTTTATGTCTATTTGTTTAAGAAATTAATTCATTTCGAAATTTGTCAACAATTCTCTGTGACAATCCAAATTTGGGAAATTATCACATTATCATTACATACTTTCACTTGCCCAGTTAGAATCTATGTTTTTAACAAAACTTCTAAACACATAAAACGTGTTAGACCATTTCGCACAATAAAGAGTGAGTTTAGTTTTACACGACTATTTAGCAATCTTCCAGCAATATCACGGCGGGGGGACACCAGAAATGGTCTTCACACAATGTACCCATGTGGGGAACCGAAAACGGGTCCTAGAGAAAATTGTTTTATTGTAATCTAATTTGTCATTTTTACAACAAACAAAGCAGTGAAATATGTTTTCAATCATTTTAAAGGTAATTATCAAATCAGGGTGTTCCATAAAAAGACTCTCACAGGAGCATGGCTGTCATTTCAAGTGGATTTTTGTGAATGTCTTGCCCTCCTCTGACGTTGCATGAGTGAGACATTTATTCAAACTCGGTAGAGTTAGTCCTCGGAAATGGAATCAGAGATTCCAAGTTGAGATAACTTGTGTTTATCCAATACTGTAATGAGCATAACCGGAGTCTGTATCTGTGTGTCAGATCTTTAAAGGATCTGTTGGGTAGAAAGAGAGCCCAAAGTGTGTGTGTGGAATCCAAAGATGTTTCGTCCAGTAGTTTCCGTCACTGCCACCAACCCGAAACCTTTCATATGGAATCAGCAGATTAAGGGCCGGGATCCAAGAGCTGGACGTTCACGAAAGATAAGCTTTTATTCTGTCAATACAATTTCCAGTAACCAGTGGTCTGATGTTAGTGAATTAGAACTTCTTCAGTAAGAGACAAATCGGCCTCAAACTGGTACCTGAGTCGAAATCAAGTAGTCTTAAATCGAGGTCCGTTGACAAACCAAGTTCGATAGGATTTGGAGAAACGGGATTCTGGCAAATATTCAGAAGCAACGGCCTGCGATTTCTTCAACAAATCTAAGCCATTGTTACGGACATGGAAGCTGCAGATATATTCTTCGCATATACACAAGTTGAGCTGACATTCAAGCTTGAGCAGCCACAGCATCTTGCATTTTGAGTATGCCTTTAGAGCATTATGTACAAACCAGACTTGGTCATTTCTAAAGGGTATCTGAAGACATACCAATGAAGTTGCTGTAGATGAATGGTATCAGGTACAGAATCTAGCAATCAAACAGTTAAAGTATGTTCCTATGTCGTGCCTGTTTGCAAGATCAATCTTTACATCAAGATCAGTGTCTTGTAATCTGCATATCAAAACATCCGTCTTAGTGAAACAGGTCTTACCAGCTTGCGGGGCCAGGGGGTAGCCTAGTGGTTAAAGCGTTCGCTCGTCACGCTGAAGATCCGGGTTCAATTCCCCACATAGGCACAATGTGTGAAGTCCATTACTGGTATCCCCCGCCGTGATATTGCTGGAATATTGGTAAAAGTGGCGTAAAACCCAACTCACTCACTTACTCTTACCAGCTTGCAGAAATCTTCACTCACAGTACGAGTATTGTTAATGGTTTTATTAGAAATGGTAATTGGTAGCTTCTCACCCTATGCTCTAGGTAACGATGAGGCACTGGATGTTCAGTCTACTGCCGAATAGGTTGAAGATTAACTTAAGGTTGATACTTAGATATGATGCTATACAGTTCTCCCAGCATATGATAAATCTGGCTTAATTATATCCCGAGGATCGTTATAACTATAGGTTGATGGAAAGGCCTCTGAAACATTCAACGCTTGCCCGGAGAATGAATAGTGTGAGCATCTATCACATGTTGTGACAGGTCGCTACCGACAGACCTGTCACAAGAGACGGACGAATCATGCTCTGAATATTGTGAAGGTAGCAAAGCCTGATATGTATCCAAGTAATTATCAAAGATAGGTCATCACAAGATTAGGTGGCTGAGGATTTCTTGTTGGTGATTGATGATTTCCTGCTGGTAACTGATGATTTCTTGCTGGTGGCTGAGGGTTTCCTGATTGTGGCTGAGGATTTGCTGTTGTTGACAGAGGATATTCCTGTTTTCAGTCTGAGCCCTTTAAGCAATTCTTCAAAAGGGCAACATGAAAAAATATCAGCATATTTCCTGTATTCCTTATTGGAGGGTGGATCATTATAAATTTCCGTTGACACCCCAGTCGAATGTATCCAACGCTCTCATCGATGTCTGTAGCAGGCAGGCTGCAAATCTCCCGAATGACTTATCCTTGCAAATGGTAAGTTGTAAGAGAGAAACATCCTTCTTGATTGCTGAAAATTGTTGATTGACTACTGGTTTGATTGCTGATTGCATAATCTTTGCCTAAGTCATTATAAACATCTTCCAATAAAAGAGAAATGTGGAGTCAGGTTCGGTCACCAGGTCGGAAGCTTCAGCAACTCCCATCTTCCTCCCTTGATCCGCGACTCCGGTTTCCTTCTCTTCATTTCTCCTCATATATGCAATGGGCAGGTGAACAGAGGGAGATATAGGTCGGGGCGATTGTTGAGCTCTTGACATGTTTCATTGTCTTCCTGTTCTGGGGGGATCTGGCAAGAGATTGCCCCTGAGCTCATTACCATGCTTCGCCCAAGATGGCGTATATCGCTGTAAGAAGATAAAGATCATCTCGATCTTGTCTTTTCGGATGCATCTTTAGTTGTGATGATGCATCTGGAATCCACATTTCACAACGCATCTCTGCATACATAATGGATGTCATAAATGAGGATCCATGAGAATTTGTTGGCTACACGGTCTGACCAAATTCAGGAGCATCCATTCCTAACACAATTGCAAAGCTCTCTCGCCTTTCATAAACCTCTCCTAACACAACTGCAAAATCTCTCTCCTTTCATTAATCCTACAGAAATTGAATAATATGTATCCAAACATGTCATAGATAAAGATACTTTAAGTGTGAAAACCTCATTGACGTTATTAGTGGTAAGGTCAACCAATTTTGGGGAATCTAAACTGCTGGACCACAGAAGAGAAATAGTATATTTCCCACCACGCGGAAGGGCGGATTATGTATAGACGGAAATATACTGTCTGTAGTTGATAGCTGAAAGTGAAGAAGAATATCTGCTGAAAATCTTCAGATTTTAGAGTTAGTCATTACATAGAAAATAATGACTGTGACTTACAAATCACTAACATTGAGTACGTGCTAGCAAACTCACGTTCCTCGCCCAACGTTGACGAGTCAGTTTATGTTGACGGGTTGATGAGATTGCCCGAAAAGGTAGATAGGCCCAGATGCCGAGAGCACGAAGTCTTCTCATCACCGTGTCCCTGCTGATGCGGTGACCCAACGATGCTGATGCTGATGTCGTCACTGTGAGCATCCGGTTGCGCAGATGCATGGGTGGTACACCAGAGTATACTGACTTTCAAACTTCCGAAGTGTTACAGCACTTTATGTGATGTAGGGTAGCCTGTTGACCGTTACCGAATCCTTGTATAGCCGTTCATTTGTCATTTATTTTTGCAAGTACATGTCTTCATTACTGACATAAATTAGTTTTCAGTCCTATAGGATTTGTTTGTTTGTTGTTTAGGACCGCACTCAGCAATATTCCAGCTATATGGCGGCGGTCTGTAAATAATCGAGTCCGGACCAGACAATCCAGTAGTCAACAGCATGAACATCCATCTACGAAACTGGGATATAGGTGACCCTTCCAAAGTATCTTTAGACTATATAAGTTGGCAGGCGCATACCTCTATCACTTTACATTACCACGGGACCGATTGTTTTGTGAAGATTTCTTTACATCCTGGATATACAGTTTAAGCTTGTCATGGAAGCTTGACCACTGTAGCAGCTACGTATTTTTATCATTGAATATTATACTGTTATTGTACTGTGTAATAAAATTAAAATTACTTTGCTGCAGTTTATATTTACTTGTAAACCAAGTAAAACGTGATTGACATTTCATTTGGTTGTCAGTTTCAAATTGTTTTGTTTGAGGTAAAACTTAACGCTTCTTAACGACGAGACGTATGTTGTGACCTTAAATGTAGAATGGTCTTAAGTGTAGAATAATCATGCATACGCATGGATGTTCTGTCGCAACATCGGTGATAACCTGAACATCAGACGCATAGTTATCAGTCGACTTGTGACGTGGCAACTAGTGAAGAAAGGTTTAGTGAGTTTAGTTTTACGCCGCACTCTGGTGAACTAAGGGATCATCCACGACCTGGAACGCCTAGGAAAACCATGATCGGGGTTATTGTCTGGAGGCACAAACGCCTCCAACCTTTTATTTAGGCTGAATGTGTCTCTCAGGTTAAATTTCTCTCTATAATATACATTTGGATTATTCAAAATGAACTTCATTTCCAGACATGGTTAGACATGACACAGATCTCTGAGATGACATGTCATACACTGGAGATGGGAGTACCGTACTTGCGATCACGTCCGTCTCACTAAAATCATCTCACGTCCTTCTCACTAAATTTCTTAATTTACTCAGGTGCCTCCAACGCTGCCTTTTATAGGCTTTTCTTGTTTGTCCTAATTTGTTTGCCAAGACGCAATCCCAAACCCCATGTCGACTAGCTACGCCGGCAGTGAAGAGCGGGAGTTCGGCCCTCCGCCTGCAGTACCATCAGAAGTAGGCTCCTGATCTGAGAGAACGTCACCGATCACCGATCTCCTTACACGATAGACAGGAACGTATGTAGTGGTGCAGGCTACGCGGGGAAATTACAACATGGTGTAGGGTTCGTTGGTCCGATTACACATTACAGACGATCGTTGTCGCATATGGTGCAACGAGGCATTTCAGAGAAAAGTTGAATTCGTTGGTGGTGTCTCAATGATGTGGGGTTACGTTTCGTATGAATGCAAGTTGGATCTCATTACACTACCTGCGACGCTCAATGGCCAACGTTATCAACAGAAAGTACTGGATACCGTCGTGTCTCATTCTAATAAGTTATTAGAATGAGACACGACGGTAATAACTATCCCCTCGGAAATAGCCGATATTCATGCATGGCAAAGCTCGACTTCATCGTTCTCAAGCCGTCACTGTCCATGTGCAAAGCGCCATTGAAACATTATCCTGACCCACAAGGAGCCCCGGTATGAACCCCATCGAACATCTGGGGGACTATCTTAAGCGTTAAATTCTAGCTAGAGATCCTCCTGTTCAAAATCTGCAGGAATGGAAGCAGACACTCCATGAAGAATGTCAGAGGATTCCGATGCTGAGAAACAGACACTTCATAACCAGTATGTGGAGATAAGGAGAGGGGTAGCTACACCAAGGATTGATTTTGTAGCCAGTGATGTTTGAAACAATCACAACAATTATTATGTGAGAACAATGTCTGATTGTCAATCAGATTGGTGGCGTAGTCATGGTGACCAAACTTCCTGGCATTGTTCACATTCGCTGGATTTTATTCTTATTCCTCCCTGACTGCAAGTAAATTGTAACCATATTTCAGTTTTAGAATGTTTACTCGTACTCAGAGTAAATTGTTAGTTATTTCATTATTTTGTGTCGTCTCAGTGGCTCCTTCAGTATAGTGTTATTTTTATATATTCATCCAACCTAGTGTCGTGTGAAAATATCATAATTCGCATATTTTTATTAATGCTATGCACTTACTTAGCATTCACCTGATGAAGGGGCAAGAGCTCGCTTAGAATAACGCTTAGTCTTTGAATATATATATACTTTTGATAGTCACAAATAAACCCATTTAAATTGAAAAATAACCCCAGTGAGATGGGACATTCAGAGGAAAGCTCTTGCTTCGTTTAGGGCTTTGGCATTGCAAGGAGGGCCAGGCAGCAGGTAAGATAATGTGGTTCAGGGACAGGTGAAAGGTGACAGAAATTGCAAGGGAAAGTGTCATGTATTCATGAGCTCATCATGAACTGTATTGCGTGTAACAAACTGCATATACCTCATTTACAACATACCTGCAACAGTGTAACAGCAATACTGTCGTGTGCAATGCAGCTGCCGGATCTGCTTTATCCAAAGTTCGGCAGTACTCGGATTATGTTTTGTATCATAATGAAAGATGTTTTGTGTCCAATATCATTGTTCTCTTTCTTTCAGAACCTTGTACTTGATTGATGACGTCAGACAGAGGAACACGATCGATCCAATACATTTGATACATCCCTTGTGTGGAGTGACACTCAGGTGGGTAACATAATGCCGATGTGCAAGTAGTGACGTTTACTGTAAGATTAAAACAGTCTGTATCATGAAAAGTGTATGTGAGTGAGTGAGGGAGCGAGCATGGTTTTACCTCGGTTTCAGCAATATTACGGCAGGGGACACCAGAAATGTGCTTCATACATTGTACCCTTGTACCAAACAAACCTGTGTATTCGGTGTGACCAGACGCTTTAACCATTACTATTAGGCTACCCCACCACCCCAAAAATGGTACATAATACATATAGAATTTCATACGGTTTCAATTGAACCTGGTATATTGAACTAGATTTCATGGTGGGTGAGAAAGAACTTATTATTCAAACTTGTATCTCTCCCACTGTAACATCTTCCGGTTCAATACATGTCCAAAATTCACAAGTATGGCGTTTAAAATATGCATTGCAACAAATATATGGATATAATCCCAGCTCCAAATGTAACCACAGGCCCTCGTGTCTTTGCGAGGATTAAAGATTTTTAAAAATATATATAAAAATTTGAGATGACCCTGACTCGAAATGCTTCACAGACAAGGTCATAAGGTATTGTACTGTGATGCATTTTGAGTAGGGGGTCATCTCATAAACAATATTTTTCAAATTTAATCCTCACAAAGACACAGGGACCTGAGCATGTAACTGCAGAACAAGCCATATTTTGCAAATATGATCCCCCATAAACTAATACAAATGTCATTACTTGGGACAAGCACAAGAAGCCTAAACTTCACTTCAAGTGTTTTTCTGGGATTTTTACAGGGGTGTATTTGAGAGAGTTCAAGAACTACTAATGTTAAATCAAGATTTAGATGTGGGTAATCCCTCCACCACCACATAATTAAACCTGTGCTGGAGCCTGTAAACTAACACACAAAATTTCAATTTGAACAAAGGCAGAAGAACCATAAACAGTTCCTACAATACAGCTGTTTTTGCAAGAACACACATGTGGTTCCTTAGTTTCTGCGAAGATGTTGAACAAGCAGGCCATGATATAATATCACATGATCTTAAAATGCAATATAAATCATGCAAGAACCAAATTTCAACTTTCATACTTTAATACCTATACATAAAAATACATCAACAAAACACATGAAGTAAAAGTGATATGAACCAATGTTACAGATATTAAAACACTCTGCAATAATTACATACTTGTATGAAATAAGCAGATGATTTGGTCAGTGTTAAAGCTACACAATCACACCAACAGCACTGTCTTCACACCCCAGTGCCACTAAGGAAGATTGTTTGAAATGGCATAATTTTGTATCGGAATACAAAATGTGAATGTCAAAGATAAAACATGAGATAGATTTATTGATAACAACAGTTCACTTGCACAATAGAAGGTTGATCATGAATGCCAGGAAAAGAAATGTCACTTGTCTGTCAAAAATGGTTAAATGTTGAAATCAAATTTATCATATAATGGGCAGGTTTCTCTGCAGGAATAAGCCTACCAATACAAACCTTACACTTTGGGAAAATATATATAAAGATACAAATATGCAATGTTAGGTGGGTACTCCTTCAGATGAATCAAATGAAATCAATGATAGACGATTAACGATTGTGAATCTTGGAAAACTTCCAGGACAACTGATTGAAACAGTATAAGATATTGAAACTGGAATGTGACCGATTAATTTTTGCAAATTTGGGCAAGACTTGAGATTTACACTGTCAAAAAAATTAAATATTAAAGACACTAGCCAAGCAGAATCATTTAAAATTATCAGACTCTGGCGCTTGAGCAGTTCTCCCTATTTAACAACAGTTGGATTTGGAAGAAATGTGTCCAAATTGGTTCTATGTACATCTGACATTGCATTTCTACAAGTAATGATAGGAAATACAGACTCAACAAGCATGACACCTGATAGACTAGGTTTAGAGTAGCTTCTCTTTGATAAAAAGCAGGTACTCTAGAGGTCAGACCAATGATTGCTATGACAGCATGTAGAAACAGTAAATGTAGACAACTGTTATTTTGTCTGTATGCAGTCACACTACTAAGAAATAGGTTTCAACTGGAGATAAACTGCTTTCCACTTTGAGGATTGGTCCCCCCTTACAAATCGCAGACTTTAAGACACTATATATGAATGTACATATTCCAGGAAATTTTGTAATGTTATTGAGAGACGAGAAGAAGCTTTTCAATGAAAGAATTTAGGACTGACATATGACAAATCCCAGACTTAATGACAATAATAAAATGTGCACATTAGAGGGCAACTTTTAATGATGGTGAGACGAGAACAAGTTTTTCGATGAAAGAATTTAGGAATGACATATGACAGAGATTATGTCACTTGTATGTGTTCTAATTGTAAATATCATGTATCAGGTATAAACATTGTATTTAGCAAGCCTTGGCTAGCTAAATGCATTAAGTTTCTTCCAAACACTCGTTAATTACAATCCCAAAACAGTGGTGATACTCTTGATGAATATAGCTGTCCGCACAATTGTCAAATACAATTCTGATTATTTACAATCCATTCACATTAATGTGATCACAGTTCATACTAGCAGATTTAGTCATCGATATAGATCAAGCATCCTTGTCTAAATCTTTTCGGTCATCTCCATCACTGGTTGGTGATGCATCCCTTTTGTCTGGGGTCCTTGACCTAGAACGGGACTTGGACCTGGAACGTGACTTGGATCTGGACTTGGAACGTGACTTGGACCTGCCCTTGTTTGGACTAGCAGAATTGCGAGTATCCTTGCCAACCTTCTTTGAACGGGATTCACTCCTACTCCTTGATCTGCTGTGACTAGCACTCCTGCTGCGGCGGCGACTTCTGCTGCGACTCCTGGAGCGACTTCTTGACCGGCTTCTTCGAGATCTGGAACGGGATCGGCTCCTGCTACGACTTCTGGAGTATGAACTGGAAAAACAAAGTACAAAAATATCAGACTTTGTGAGACTCACTTTTGAAATATGTCTACATATACAAACATGTTTAATTTCAGTGAGTGAGTGAGTTTAGTTATATGCCGCAATCAGCAATCTTCCAGCTATATGGCGGCGGTCTGTAAATAATAGAGTTTGGACCAGACAATCCAGTGATGAACTGTTTAATTCATGATGCATGAAAAGTATCTTGTCCAGATATCCATTGACACAACTACTCAATTGAGAATATTTGTACAACTACAAGATATTACATTAATACAGAGTAAATCCTTCCATCCTCAGTTTTATGTCTGTTATAATATACATCTATGTAAACAAAATACAAGCCAAATGCTTACCGGCCACGCTTCTTGGGTTTATCTTCCAATACTCGAATCTTCCTTCCATTGATTTCAGTTCTGTCTAGCTTATCAACAGCATTCTTCATGTCCGAGTATGTAGCAAACTCCACTACTCTGAAATATAACAAGTGGTATTTCAACAAATGAATCAACAAATTAGAGCATTTATCTAAACTACAACACTGACTTTAATCAATTTATCTATCACCATGTTCACTACAGTTGTTAAAAGCCGAAGTGCCTTGGTCATGTTTATTTAGCGAGTGAGTATGGTTTTACATTGCTTTTAGAATATTCCAGCAATATCACGGCAGGGAACACCAGAAATAGGCTTCACACATTGTACCCATGTGGGGAATTGAACTCGGCATTCAGCGTGACGAGTGAACGCTTGAATCGCTACCCCACCGCACTCACCGCTACCCCATCGCCCCCATGTTTTTTTTTAGATACTGTTGTGTATTGAACATATTATGGAATGGAGTTAAAACTTTCTAGGCATAGATTGAAATATACTGTAATTGAAGTATAACATTTTCCAAGTCGTACTTCAGCTGCCATTTTAAATTATTCCAGGGGATTGACTCCCCAACAGATGTCACTCTTCACGGTTGTCCTGTTGCTGTGATGCAGTGTAAGAAGCATCAAACAATACAGCCCATATTCATTCAGCATAATGCCATTGTACCCATGAAACGTCAGGCTAGGATAGGTCTTCTAAAGCCCACGCTTATCATACAGAATACAAACAAGATCTAGTGGTTAGGCTCACTGACTGGGTTGATGAATGTCAACAAGTCTATAGATCAAGGCTTGTGATTGTTAACCACATGATTGTTAAATAACCACCAGATAACAGATTAAAACTCACCCTTCATTCTTGTGTCTCTTGTGTGCGTCTGCATATGTAACTTCACCTGCTTGGCGCATGTAGTCCTTAAGGTCCTTGAATAGACAAAGAATAATTATTAAAAAAAACGGAATATGCTTTAATCAATAAACATGTTTTATCTTAAAACAGCATACAGCTTCTCCATGCCTGTTCCTAAAGAGAAACAATTATACCATCTAGACACCAAACCTAAATAAAACGACACCTGAAAAGTATAAGAATATTTGGTCAATAAAAAAAGCCCTTTCTGAAATCACATCCATTAAGAATATCAAATACTGAAGCTGTATTGACATGACCTCACTACCAACTGTCTATTCATTTTCTGCTTTATCAGGTGACAAATCTTTGATCCTGTCTCCAGTTACCTCCCCTCATAGTTACCTTCCATCTTGCATTTTCATAACTGTATTGAAACAGAAATCAAGTTTTCACTGAGGTTGGCTGTACATGAAGGAATTTGTACCATAACATATTGCTTCCATTTAGTGCATAACTGCACTAGTAAAACCTCTCTGCGTACTAATTTGAAATATTTTCCGCAGACTGAAAAAGGGAAAAAAGAAGTTTTTCAGGCACCTGACATATGCTGTTATCTTTTAGTCCATGATCAATGATAAACTGCCAGGTTTCTTCAAAACAATAATATTACAAACCATAAAGGGACGAATTTAGCCAAATGGACATTTTAGAAATGTTCACATGGACAACAGCATGTGACTTTACAACTGATAAATTTGGTCATTTCATTAAACAGATAACCTAAGTCAAGATACTTATCCCTGTTTCCCATACAAGTACTTTCAGCATAATAGGAACATTTAAAACAATTACCTCTGTACTTTCCCTTAATCAAGAGCTCATTTCTCAAAGGCCAAAGGAGGTATATACGCTCTGCAAGAATGGATCTTGGGTTGACGGCTGGAGTCAGTGCCCAACAAGTAGAGCCAGTATCTGATCTCTTGCTCATAAGATGGATGAGAATAGACCCCAAGGGATGGAACTGTTCTGTATGGTGCCCCAGTCGATCGCCAAGGCAACCGACTGAGCACCCTGACTGGAGAAGGAACCTGAGAGGAAGCTAGTGCTTGGAAGACTGTGTCCCCAATGAGTGACTGCATTTTCTTTAATTCAATAGGGTTTCTTTGAGCCAGATCTCCAAAGGTTTTCTGAAAACTAAAATTTGGTTTTTCATCCAACCCAAAGCCAGACTGGAAGAACACCCCTTGAAGCAGAAAGGACCAGTGTAGAATGGCATGCTGCTAGATTAAGACCTGCAGAGAGACCAAGTGCTGTTTGGCTGTGCTGTTCAGTAAGACCCTGTGATACAGTCCGACAGCGCTTGTCTGCCTGCCTGTATGCCTGCCTGACTCAGGGAGATAGCCAGTGGCAATCCTCAGACCTACGGACCTTGGTTCAAGTTCAAGACCCAGGGACCCCATCAGGCTTCAGCGAGTCTCCCGAGCTTTGGGGAAGATAAATAACATCTTTAAAATTAGTAACTGCCAAAAACAATGGAACACAAATAAATCAGATTCTTCTCTTTCCAAAATATCAACAATTCAGTTCCATGTTACTACACTTTATCTAAAAGGGGTTTCTATACTTTCCTTGTTTCAGGAAAAAAAGGCAAAATGCTGCAGCTGAAAATTGGAAGCAATGGATACAACATGCAAGCCCTAAAGCAGTAAGTAACTCACCTGCCAGCTAACCCTTGATGAAAGATTCTCAATGATCAACCTGTACTCTGTATGTGTAGGCGGCCCATACCGACTGCAAAGAAAAAATGAGATTTTATACCCATCGGTAACAACCAATTTTGATATCATTCATCATTCTTAATCTCATATTACATAGAATGCTTAGTTGCTCTAACTACATGAAGATAAATAAGAAGAATACCTGTCTCTGCCACCCCTTCGACGTGGGGCATACCCACGGTCCCAATCTCTGAAGGAATCCCCTCTTGCTCCTCTAGCATGCTCAACAATACACCTGAAAACATAAATTATAAAATTTATCCCATCTATTTGTGCTCACTACTGAAAGGATCTTCATGGTGCCTGTTGAATTGTTCCAGAAATAAATTCCCTTTTGCCCACAAGCACACACTATTCTTGACTGTGGTCCTTGGTTCACTAAAACATTCATACATTCGTTGGTTTCACATTACTTTTCAATAGTGTAAACACTCCAAAGAAAACAAAAATCAAAACAAATATATAGTTTTATGTCGAATATAACTGATCCCAATTGATTTATGAAACAGAGGCCAGGATTAGTTAAATAAATAGCTTCATTTATGTCTACAAGTTCTTGTATAATGACATCTCACCACCACCGTCCTTCCCGCACATCCCCTTTTCACAACTAAACAAACACATCTCTGATGGAATTGCAACCAAAATAGGATATCAATTATTGAAAAGCAGAGGCAAATGGAAGTATGTACTCAGCTATGAACAGTTCTCACAACATAAATCATTTTCATAACAGCTTTTATTTAGAGTGCATTTACACTATCGATAAGCATATGACCAAACCGGAAACATGCCAGTGGATATTTTTCACACGCTCTGCGCATGCACACAGCGAGTTGAAAAATAATGTGAAACCATCGAATAGATTCCCAGATGAGAAAGAAAATGAGATCAATTGCAACATGCCTGACTTAGGCTATGAGCCACTCATCTCATTGCAATACTTTTCTATGCATCACTTAAACAAATAAGGAGCAACAATGATTGAGATCTATTGTTAATTTGTTGCAGCAGGGCTGTCTCACCTTTCACCACACAATTCTTTGCCATTCAATTCATAAACAGCGTCATCAGCATCTCTGTAGTCTTCAAATTCCTGAAATGGGATTCATTATTCTCAGGACACAGAGATACACAAACCATCATTTGTTATAAATCGAAAGTCGCTAATGTTTACTGTATCTACTAATTCAAATATATTTTTACACTGGGGACTTACCACGAAGCCATAACCATTTTTCAACATAACATCTCGGATTCTTCCATTGTTTCTGAAGAAACGCTCAACGTCCTTTTCTCGTGCGTAATTAGATAGTCTGCCAATATATACTCTGGTGCCCATTTTTAATCTGGAAAATAAATAGTAAATAGTAAGCATTCAGAGGGACACAGTATGCGCATGGATACATTACGTTGCCTATGCGTCGTCTACGACAAAAAAGCCCTTCCTGTTAAATAAATTTGTCGAAATTATAATAAAATTTATTTTGATTCCTGACACATAGATATAATGATTAATCCAAGGTGATGAAGCAGCTATGAAGTTACCCATACTTAACATTGAAATTTTCCAAACTGGCCCCTAGAAATATGAAGCTGGGACGAACAACCATATCAACACTCCCGGTATTTCACAAAAAAATATCGAGAGAAATGCTCACAGTCAGCGGGAGATTTTCGTGCTCCGGACGACAGATCTTCTTTCCGTAATGTGAAGTTATTGACTTCAGTTAATCAGGAACAGAAAAAAATGGTCGTTTAGTTTTGACTAAAATGTTGAGAAATCCACTAACTCAACACGCACTGGTGACCTTCCCCCTTTCTTCTTCCCAGAGTTCCCAGCGGTCTCACCTGCGTGGAATTTGTGCGCTCAAAAACGAGGCCACGTTTTCCGCCCCTTAGCTCCATTCAAAAAGAAAAGGATGCAGTAGTATCGAAAAGCGCACATAAAATCCCAAATCATCCTCATCGGAAGCGGACAAAGACCAAAGGAATACTTGCAGGCGGTTCATCAGAACGACGCAAAGCAAGTCTTCGATGGTCAAAGCGATTTTAGTATGCATACACACATACACAAGCACTATATTCCTAACGAATAAACATTAGGTGGGGAAACAGATCAACTATTAAACCATTTTGAATAATAAATATTTATTGAGCCAAGATAAGAAGAATGATTAATAATATCTATCGTTTGATATAATGTGACACATTGATTAAGATTAGCGAAAGAGAAGATTGTGATATTTCTGTCATCGTAGATATGGAAAACAAAAGACATTGCTTTGATGTGGTTAAACCCGTGAAGATGCGGGCTAGAATTGGTCTTCAGCAACCCATGCTTCTCGTAAGAGGCGACGAACGGGATCGGGTGGTCAGGTTCGCTGGCGTGGTTGACACGTCATTGTATCCCAATTGCGTAGGTCGACGTTCATGATGTTGACCACTGGATTGTCTGGCCCGGACTTGATTATTTACAGACTGCCGTCATACAGCAGGAATGTATTGCTGAGTGAGGCGTTAAACAAGGAACAAACTACTAGTACTTGATGTGGTTTTAACAAAAATAAAGAAATGTCACCAACATGCCATTATACAGAATTAAATGGGTTTACTTAGCTAAACGTACTGGCTACTGGCTAGGATGTAATATTTAATATTGATATTATACCCCCTTTGTCCATCTTTGTCCTTGTTATGTTTGGATAACCAATTTCCGGGATTACCTGGTTTATGCCAGTACCATTCTGAGATTAATTACTTTTGGGCGGTTAAGTACCTGTATGTTCTAGAATATCCTTGCTCAATCCAAGAGACATATTTTAAGGTCCTCATAGTCTGTCATACAGACCCTGAAACATATATATTTGAGAAAGCCAACGCAAGTCTAGATAGCTGAAAATAAGGAAAATCTCTGGCTTTCTTTTCATTATATTTCATGATTATTTTCTATGAACAGTTTCTTTCTGTAAAATATGTTCATTTCACAGACTAGGCGTTAGTCTAAGGCCTCAGTGCCCATCTCCTAAATGACCAAGCCCAGGTTACTCACTCTTCTGTGCGTTATTGAATTCGTCAATTAGGTTCCAGGTGGTAATTGGTGAGAGTCGACTCAGTTGTCAAGACCTTACGTCAGGGAGTGGTTTTAGCCATCTTTGTTGACTATAACTTAGCTAATCATCTTGTGTATTTGCCCGTGATCCTTGTTGGTGTTCACTGTAGCTTTGACCCATGTTTTTAGTTATAATTAGTTGCTGATAACAACTTTGAACCTGTACCACGTTTTCTCACATTACTTTACTTTATTTATTTATTGACAACCTGATCTCAGGAGCACAGTTCCGTGATAGTGTGTTCATTGTTAATGGAGAGGCTACCCGCAATCGTTTTGCAAACATTTGATCACACCAGAAGTATCATGTCAACAAATTTGGATTTAATCTATCTAATAAACAATTACATTAGTTCGTAAGGCAGTGAACTCATTTTGTGGAGATATCCAAAAGAAATGGAATTAAAGAATATCTGCAAAATTAGATTGTTCAAACAAATTACGAGGAAAAAACGATTTATAATGTTATAGCAACACAGATTCATGTAGAAGAAATGACAATATTTGTTGAAATGTAGCTCTTTCACAGGTCTCATACCCTCTCTCTCACTCACTCACACACCATGTCATCGGTTCCCAATTGCGCAGATCGATGCTCATGCTGTTGATCACTGGATTGTCTGGTCCAGACTCGATTATTTACAGACCGCCGCCATATAGGTGGAAAATTGCCGAGTGCGGCGTAAAACTAAACTCACTCATTCTCTCTCTCTCTCACACACACACACACACGAGACATTTCACTAATAAACTGGGGGAGTTTGTCATCACAGTCTTGGTATAGGTTCTTATCTAGTCTGTCTTACAGACCCTGAAGCAAATATATCGAAGAGAGCGCAAGTCGAGAAAATGTGGCAAATCTAGTTTTCCACAGCTTCAGGCTGAAAATGAAGAATGTCTCAGGGCTCCTTTTCATTATATACTTTTTTTTTTTCTTTGAGCTTTTCTGTAAAATATGTTCATTTCAGAGACTAGTTGTTAGTCTAGTACTTATCAGGGACCAAAGCTAATTAAATACAGTATGTTTGATTAAATGTGGCCCCCTTATTGTTCCGAGTAATGAGACGGTCACTCACCAGATGGGACTTTGTTTGGAGTCATTTCTCCATGTTTAGCTCCAATTTACACAGTCATAGCAATCCATATGCTATTAAATTTAATTTCGAGGGATAATCGTATGGACCTGACCATAACAAAATAGAGCTGTCTGTTAGAGCTGCATGGGTGTTAGTGAGTGAATTTAGTTTTACGCCGCTTTTAGCAATATCACGACGGGGGACACCAGAAAAGGGCTTCACACATTGTGAGTGAGTTTAGTTTTACGCCACACTCAGCAATATTCCAGCTATATAGCGGCGGTCTGTAAATAATTGAGTCTGGACCAGACAATCAAGTGATTAACAGCATGAGCATCGATCTGCGCAATTGGGAACCGATGACGTGTCAACCAAGTCAGCGAGCCTGCATGACCACCCGATCCCGTTAGTCTCCTCTTACGATAAGCATGGGTTACTGAAGATCAATATTCTAACCCGGACCTCACGGGTTTCACACATTGTAACCATGTGGGGAATCGACCCCGGGTCTCTGGCGTGACGAGCGACCGCTTTAGCCACGAAACTACCCCACGGCCCCTGCATGGAAGTGTAAGTAGTACTGTACATTGCAATGCTATGTGTCATCGATGTTACATTAATTAATTTGATATACTGACGATTAGGATGCATCTGGAATATCATCTAAACATTTAACTTTCTATGGCTTGGCTTCTCAGAAAAAAATTCTTCCAACAGTAGTTCCACGAATAAAGGGCGGATATTTGGCAAGATAACTCTTAGATCCCGGTCCTTTCATAGCACTGAAAAGGATTAGGCACGCATGGTTAGAAATACAGAAAAATCATACTGTGAGGAGGTGTACCATCTGCAAAGGAAAAGAGTTGAGATTCCTCGTTGCCTGCCGCAGTCTGTTGGAGAGGTGCGTTGTAGTTGTTTTCATCCTTTTTAACTCCATCTATTTGTAATCTCCTGTATACATTGTACATAGATTTACCCTTTTTGTAGTATCTTGAGCAAGCATTGAATGCACGGATACAGGCGCAGTTATAAACACTCTCTATTATTATTATGTTTTACAGATTAAAAATAGTATGCGGCAGATAGGGTTCGGGTGATCATGGCAGTCAGGCTGGTAAGGCTCATCATCAGCTCATGGCCCTTGCCCCCCTCTCACGCAGCCCAGACAGCGAATGGGTTCCCAGGAAACGCTGCCTAGTCGAACCCACCAAGAACTTTCCCGAGAACGTGAAGGCTCCCCAACACTGCAGCCTTCTGAAGGGCTGTGCTCCCGGTGGAGAACCCGGGCACTCTCCTGATCTGCGCCAAGAGATCAGGAGGTACCAAACCAAGGGCACCAAGAACAATGTTTTTTTTTGGAAGAAGAGAGAAAGAGTCTGATGACAGTGTACTTGGGGTGAAAGCGAGACATTTCAAAGGCGAGGTCTGCATATTTAGCGTGCTTTTCCTGAAAAGATTGCTGTCAAAAGGGATAGAAACTTCAATTATAGATATAAATTCATTGGCTTTATAAAAAAGGACAGGATCAGGTTTGTTGGCTGGAATTTGTCTGAGGCTGTAGTAGTAGTAATAGTAGTAGTAGTAGTAGTAGTGCAAGGAAGTCTACGGCTAACAGCCAAACGTTTTATGACTAAATTCCAAACGGATTGAATCACAGGCAACTGTAGCGCCAATAGGGTTGCGCAACAGAGAGGAAAATGACTAGTCTTCCTAAATGCGCACTCGCATATAGGAAGACTGGCCATATTTCGAAGAGTGAGTGAGTGAGTTTTACTCCGCTTTTAGCAATATTCCAGCAATATCAACGGCGGACAGACTTAAAGACCATTACAGTACCTGATATGTATTTTTCAGAAACGGCTGTTACAGTTACAAGAGCTTTCACATAAGTTACCATGGCAGCATTATAGAAATTTAGATTCAAACCTCTTGTATAGTTTCAGATGTCAGTATTGGTTGAAACAATCAAGATAAGTGTGTGCACATTGCTCTGCAAATGTCAAATATAAGCCAAAATTGAAAGATCACACTGCAGAACGTCATTGAACCTCACTCACTACTTACTACCTATGCACCAAAGTTTCTTACACTTCGTACCAAAAATGCCCTGTTGCAAAAATAACTTCATTAACAGCCGTCATGATGGCCATATTGAAATTCAGATTCAAACATCTACACAAATTCTGGTGTCATCAGCGGAATGAAGAATGTGCAAGTTTCAGTTGTGGACGCATTTGATTGTCTATTGTTTTGTTTGCTGTTTAACACCATACACGGCAATACACAATCTATATGACTGGGCCAGACAATCCAGTGATTGCCATCATGAGTATTGATGTACACAGTTGGGATATGATGACATGCATAGATGAAGTCGGTGAGCCTAACCACCCATGGGCGGATCCAGGAATCCAGGAATTTTGTGTGTGTGTGTGTGTGTGTGTGTGTGTTTGGGTTGGTGTTGGTGGGGTTTGTTGTACAAGGGGGTTGGTGGTCTTAAGTCATTTTTGGGGGGGGTGGGGGTGGGTTTCGAACGCCCTGAAACAACAACACCACCACCCCCGATCCACCAGTGCCACCCAAACCCCTTATACACCTCCCTCAAGGCAGGCATGGCTTGCTGAGGATCAATGCTAACCCCGATCTTCACAGTTCAAATACAGAAGGATACTGGAGAAGCAACATAAATCATGTGAGAAACAAATTTCCTCATTCATACTTTTAATATCTATACATAACATACAAAAAAAACCCCAAAAACCACATATATGGAAAAGTGATACAACACATGAACAAATGATATTAAAACACTTTGTACAACATAATAAACTGATGATTTTGACAGTGTTAACATTACATATTATTATGTAATCTTCATCATCATTGTCACTATAACTCTCTCGTTGCATAAAAACCGAATGTTGGATATACCAGTCATGATGCTGCTACAATGAGCTTATCTTGCTGATACGTTTCAATCTGCCAAAGTAAATTAATTAAAACTAGCTGAATATTGAGAGGGAAAAACTGTTAAAGTGATTTTAATTGTCACATAAACAACGTACAGCTGAGATGCAGCTTTTTGATTCATAGTGTAGAATAAGGATTTATTCTCCTCCTCAGACACTTTTTCTATCACAGACGGAATATGTAGCATTTTATCAAGATCACAACTGATGACATTTCAATATTTGGACGAAGGTAAGATGTTCTTACACTCAAGTGCTACGGATAAGGGGAGACTTTAAAGTTTGAAATGGAATGACTATGTATCAGAATACAAAGAGTCAAAGTTAAAAAATCCATGACATGTATTCACTAATAACATGGTGATCGTTTCTCCAACGGGGCTGTAGTTAGATGTGCAACATAAAATAACAATGTCCACCTGGAATTCAAGTACAGCACTGGGGAAGGACAACACATTATTTACATAAATGTTCACTTTCACAATCATGTGTGCAATATATTAAAGAGGTTGATCATGAATCCAATCAAACGACTGATGTTACCTGTCTGGTAAGAAAGGTTTGAAATATATGATACCAGCACAATTGTCAAATACAATTCTCTGATTATTTACACTCCATGCACACTAAAGTGATCAGATTTTCCACTATCAGATTTCAGTTCTCAATGTCGATCAGTTATCTTTTTCATCGGCACTGCTGGCAGGTGATGCATCCCTTTTGTCAGGAGACTTGGATCTGGAGCACAATTGTCAAATACAATTCTCTGGATCTAAAGGGGACCTAGACCTGCCATCCTTTTTGCATTTGGGCTGGCAGAATCTAGACGCTTTATCTTTGTCCATCTTCTTGGAACGTGCTGCACTCCTACTCCTTGATCTGCTGCGACTGGCACTCCTGCTGCGACTGCTACTTCGGCTCCTTGAGCGGCTTCTTCGGGATCTGGAACGACTTCGACTCCTGCTACGACTTCTGGAGTATGAACTGGAAAGGTAAAGGAAACATGCATGTTTCATGTTTTGCAATGTATCTAAGCGTATACTGTACTTTTATTTTTTTTTCAAGATTCATGAAATGCCTTTTGCCCAGAAACACTTAAAGTTAACCCTTCCACCCTCATTAAAATGAATGTGATTGTTCAAGTAAAAAAACTGTTAACACAAATAATAGAACCCAAAGCTTACCGACTGCGTCTCTTGGGTTTGTCTTCCACTACTCTGATCTTCCTTCCATTGATTTCAGTGCTGTCTAACTTGTCAATAGCATTCTTCATGTCTGAGTATGTGGCAAACTCCACAATTCTGAAATTCATAAAATGAACCAATTACATAATTCACCATAAAATTACAAAACATATTTCCATAAACTGTTGTTTTTTTATGACAGTAAGAGAAAAGTCAAGGTTATTTGTTAAAAGAATCAGAAAATTCCTCCTAATATGCTTCATCAGATTGCAATATTCCTTTTAGTTTCAGTCATGAAGTATTGTAGAACTATCACTCAAACATCCTCCAACCACCTCATTTCCTAACACACATGCTGCAAGATCAAGCCCCGGCCCCGATTTCTCGAAACAAACTTAAGTCTGAGTTTCGACTTAAGTTAGAGTTTTTACTCAAATTTGAGCAAATGCATTTCCCAGAATGAACTAAAATCGATATTTAACTCAAACATAGCAGACAATTTGAGTTTGGTGGACAGATTACTCAAGTTGTTTTGGGCTTTTATATTCAAAAAATGCAGTTGAGTTAAAAATTCATCTGTTTCAAATTGTCCAACCCAGTTTGAAATTTGAGTAAAAACTTAAGTTTGTTTCGAAAAATCGGGGCCCGATCTCTCGAAACAAACTTAAATCTGAGTTTTAACTTAAGTAACAGTTTGTACTAAAATTTGAGAAAAAGCAGGAAAATGCATTTCCCAGAATAAACTGAAATGGATATAAAACTCAAACTTTGTAGACAATTTGAGTTAGATAGGTTACATGAGTTGTTTTGTCTTTTTGGTTTTAGAACTGCGACTGACCTCACTCAGCTATTTCAAATTGACCTCACTCAGCTGTTTCAAATTGTCAAACTCAGTTTGAAATTTTAGTAAAAACTTAAGTTGTTTCGAGAAATCGGGGCCAGATGAATGCCCAGTGGTGACACAGTGATGTAATGAGTCAATGTTATTACTTAGTAATATTCAAAAAGAGACCTGTATATAGGCAAACACAACTATTTATATCACATTAATGGGTTAAGTCATTCCCTCGGTTTATAGAGGCCCTGTGACCATTCAAAATTGCTTACTTCTAATAAATTTCCATGTTTTCACTGATGCAGTACTCCCCAACTTGGTAACCAGCTGAAACTCACCCTTCATTCTTGTGCTTCTTGTGTGCGTCTGCAAATGTAACTTCACCCGCCTGACGCATATAGTCCTTTAAGTCCTTGAACACAAAAAGAATAATCATAAAAAAATGGAACATATTTCATGAAGAAACATGTTAATCTTACCACAACAGCATACAGCTTCTCCATACCTGTTCCTAAAGAGAAACAATTTTAACATCTAGACACCAAACCTAAATAAAAGAATGCCTAAAAGAATAAACATTTCTTTGTCAATGGCAACACAGTCATTTTCTGAAATTTGTAAACATCCTCATAAGAGATGGGAATAAAGATGCTGAATTCCACAAACCAATAATCAACATAGGAAAAGTATTTCATAATCACATCAATTAAAAACATATTATAAATAATGAAACTATATTGACATGACCTCACTAACAACTGTCAATTCAATTTCAACTATTTCAAAGTCTCTGGTCCTGTCTCCAGTTACCTCCCCTCAAACACATCCAATACCATCCCTCTAGAACTCTGCACAGCCAAATTAAACAATTTTCACCAAAGTTGACTGGAAAACAATCTTTCAGAACAAATTGAAAATATTTTAAATAATGTAGGGAAGGGTTTATCTAAATCAGTTATGAACTGATAAAAGTGACAAGGTATTGTACAAATTCTTCCGTTTCAAACACCTGATGCTTGCTGTTATTTTCTGGGGAGTAGATCTATCATAAACTCTTAGGTAACTTTAACAATATTAATGAAAAGTGATTAAATTTGTCCAAATGTACGTTTTAGAAATGTTCATATAAACAAACATATGTGATCTTTGATAACTTCTGTCATGGAATTGGATTAAATTGATATCATGTTGAAATACTTATCCCTCTTTCCCCTACAAGTTACTTTCAGCATAATAGGAGCATTCAAAACAATTACCTCTGTACTTTCCCTTAACCAAGAGCTCATTTCTCAAAGGCCAAAGCAGGTACGGACCCTATATACGCTCTGCAAGAATGGACCTCGGGTTGACGGCTGGAGTTAGTGCCCAACAAGTAGGGCCAGTATCTGATCTCTTGCTCATAAGATGGATGAGAATAGACCCCAAGGGATGGACCTGTCCTGTATGGTGCCCCAGTCAGCGAACAACTGAGCACCCTGACTGGAAGGAGGACCCTGTCTGAGAGGAAGCTAGTGCTTGGACGACTGTGTCCCCAATGAGTGACTGCATTTTCTTTTATTCATTAGGGATTCTTTCAGCCAGACTTCCAAAAGTTTTCTGAAAACTAAGATATTTTTCATCCAACCCCAATCAGACTCAGGAAGGACACCACTGGTGGGAGAGGACCAGCGTAGAGGATGATGTTTATGGCATGCTGCTAGATCAAAACCTGCAGAAAGACCAAGTGCAGTTTGGCTGTGTCGTTCAGTACGACCCTGTGATAGTCCGACAGCGCTTGCCTGCCTGTATGCCTGCCTGACCCAGGCCGATAGCTAGTGGCAACCCTCAGACCTAAGGACCTTGGTTCGAGTTCGAGACCCAGTGACCCCATCAGGCTTCAGCAAGTCTCTCGAGCTTTGGGGGAAGATAGATAACATCCTTAAAATTAGTAACTGCCAAAAACAATGGAATAAATCATTAATCTGTCTTGGGTATATTTCCAAATTTTATTAATTCAGTTCCATATTACTACACATAAGATCTAAATGGGGTTTAATATTTTCGTCTTTTTTTGATAAAATTGCTCTGAATGCTGGAAATAAAACAGGAGGCAATGGATACAACATGCAAGGCCTAAAACAGTAAGTAACTCACCTGCCAGCTAACCCTTGATGAAAGATTCTCAATGATCAACCTGTACTCTGTGCGTGTAGGTGGCCCATAGCGACTGTAAAATAACATTTTCCATTGCAAATTCTTGTGGATCAAAACAAGTCATACCAAAAGTATTTTAATTTCTTCCTGAAATTGTCCCTTTCAAAGTTATCACTTTATACACTTTCAATGTGAAGTACAAAATCAAACACTCTTATTTTCAGTTACCTGTCTCTGCCACTACCACCTCTACGACGTGGGGCATACCCACGATCATGCTCTCGTTCTCTGAAGAAGTCTCCTCTTTGACCTCTAGCATGTTCAACAATACACCTACAAATATAACATCCAGAATTACAATCATTTAAGAAAAGCTCAAAGAAACCTGCAAAATGAATCATTCAAAATTTCGAATTCAGCATCACTTCGAAGTACAATTTAAATATGATGGGAGAGAAAATACACCAACATCAGTGCATCCCAAATAGCATTTAAAAGTATGCACGAGTGAGTGAGTTGAGTTTTACGCTGCACTCAATATTCCAGCTATATGGCGGCGGTCTGTAAATAATCGAGTCTGGACCAGACAATCCAGTGATCAACAGCATGAGCATCAATCTGCACAATCGGGAACAATCTGCACAATTGTGTCAACCAAGCCAGAGAGCCTGACCACCCGATCCTGTTAGTCGCCTTTTGTGGCAAAAAGTATGCACAAAAAGTAATTAAATATCCTGGAAGGACCTCGGAAACATCCCTGTCAAGATAACTTATACATGCAAATACAATTGCCATGTACAGTTTTGGGAAATAATTGTTTAACATTTTTCCAGAGAAACTAGTTTATATTTATGGGCAGATGCCACAAACAGAATAAAGGCTGTTTTTTGTGTACATGGTTTCTTGGGCCACAGTGAATCCACTATGAGCCGAACATGTCAAACCATGAATGTTGGCTGACAAAAACATGCATTAGACAACAAACACAATAACAAGTCTCCAGCTGAATAATTATCCTTTATATGCAGTGAAACAATAACAACATATTTTTTTTGACAAGTTTGGGCCATGTTCATGGAGTTAATCAAGACAATGACTAGTGACCACATTACTATTAAATTAATGTATAAGTGAGTTGACTATTTTATGGCTGGCTTAGATACAGATATTTTGCAAATCTCCGTTCAACAACATGCTGAGAAAACAGCAATATTTTTTGTTCCTTGGACTAACCATTCATTTATATTATTAATTTTAAGGCTGTTCAACTAGTGACTAACCTTTCACCACACAATTCTTTGCCATTTAATTCATACACTGCATCATCAGCATCTCTGTAGTCTTCAAATTCCTGAAATTAAATCACACAAAAAGTGAATATCTACAGGCAATGTTCCATTCACCCTAAAGTATCATGGTGCTTTTTGGCCATAGTTTGAGAATTCTGGATGATAAACATAATTTCTACATACAACATAAGTGTTTTTGTGAAAAATAATCTCTACATACAAAAGTGTTTTTGTGAAATATATGGACAACTTTACTTACCACAAAGCCATAGCCATTTTTCAACATAACATCTCTGATTCTGCCAAAGTTCCTGAAAAAACGCTCAACGTCCTTTTCCCTGGCATGGTAGGATAATCTTCCAATGTATACTCTGGTACCCATTTTATCCTGAAGGAAAATATGATAGGTTGATAGGAAAGCCCAAAGTACAGTAATTATGGTCATCAAAATGATGCTGATTAAAAACATTCAGTCAAATTTTGAAATAAAGTTAGGGCAAAACTCTAACATGAAATGGTTGCATGGTCCAAACAAATGCTGATTTTGATGTTTTTGTTAAGGGACATATTTAGGTCCTTTGTAATGCATAATCAGCAAAACATAATTACAGCAGAATGTCACAACGTATACCAGACGATCCATATCCATGGAGATTAATAACAAACCAAAATGGTCTTACCTAAAATTCATGTCGGATCCATACCTGATTTGAAGCATTTGTAGTTTATTTGACTGACAATTTCAGATTTAGAATTTAGAGGAGCTGTAGCCATTTATTTATATATTTGTTTAATTTTTAACGAGTTATTGCAATATGTCTGATCTGTGTGCTGCCTGTCCTGTTCTCTGTCCAGAAATTGTAAACATTCTTCACACGCAATCACTGGTGATCATTCCTATGTACAGGTGCTCACCACTGTCTTCAGGGTTGGAAGTATCGCAAAGTAGTCATGACAACATAAAAACAGCTACATATGATAGTAGTTTATGCAGGTTTGACATGAATGTAGCCTATTCGCCATTTTCATCAGTACTAACGCAGATTCGACATCGATAAAGTCAGCACTCTTGCTTCCATGTTGAGAACATACCACGTAAATATTTCAAAAGGTACGGGTACACATTCAATTTACGTCACAAATCCCACCATATCTGCTTACCTTCGGCTTAAACCAACTGCAGAAAGTACCTTTGTAACAATATTTATTTCTTCGCTTTCTGCAAGTTCTCCCAAACCAATCAAATGCCGACAAATTTCACGCTCCGGAGCAGCCGTGACGAGGCAAGACGCATGGAAGTCTGGGTAAAAGAGTGGACACTATCAAAGCTGGGCCCCGTCTCGCATATCGCACTATCCCAGTTAGCGCGCAAAGGGAGCCGAGAACCAGCTTAGGATATATCTAGACTGGTATGCCAGCCATGTCGCGCTCGCCGTATTACCACGGAGGTGAATGGACAGGATAATACTTAGACAAATTTCTGACCCAAGACCACATTTACAAGGATGGTTTAGCGTCTGTGTAGACTATTTATTTAGATGGCGCCAATACATGTCATCCTCTGGCAATATACTTACCATTCGAATATCTATGCTTACACAATGCCATTTAGAAAGTGATCAAATGTAACACGTCATATTTGGGATTACACTTTCTCAGTAATAACGGACGCATACAAAAGTAAAAATAGAAACATGCAAAGGTTAAAAAGGACACACAAAATGAGAAATGGTGCCCCATGAAAAAGTATAAAGCATAAATAGTGTTAGTTTCTATGTTCTTTGCATTTATAATAGTTTACTAAACAAACGGGTTTACATTAAACGCTCTGATCGGGCCAAACCTTTAGAAAATAGTAAGATTAGAAGAAATTCATTACATGTTGTTGCATCCTAAACATCCCCGGGTGTCTCAGTGTTGTTTATTTCAAACATCTCAGAGTGCTTAAGTGTTTATTGTATGAGTATAATCAACCATGCAACTGTTTGTGTAATGATTACAAGAGGTTTAAACAGTCACTGGTGACAATTACTCAAGTCAGTAATCTAAAGAAGATTAACAGTAGTAGTTAAGTGTTTATTCTATGATGTGTGGAGTGATGATGTCTGTAGTGAACTTTAAAGATAAATATAAAGAAACATATAAACACAGAGTTAAGGTAAATATAAATATAATGAAACATAAAAATATATATTAGTTTGTATGTTCTTTTTTAAATTTGATCTATGGCCCTTTTGAACTTTCTTTGGCCCTTTTGACTTCAATTTTGGCCCTTTTGTCATTTGGACCTTTTGACTACAACCCCTGGTTCAGCGCTACGATCTCGCTTATACAAGTGGAATATTATCCCAGTAGCGCACTTGGTCATCGTGCCCTGCTGTAGGCTGTCGATTCTTTCAGCTCTGGTGGAGATGGAGTGAGTGAGTTGGGTCTTCCGCCGCTTTTAGTAATATACTTTGTTTGAGAGGCATTTAAAAGTTGGATCAATAATGAAGGATGACAATAAATGGATGATCAACTTCTTTATTACCTTGCCAGCGACGTTTCGGTGTAGGTTCTAACTTGCTTGATAACGGTGTTAGAACCTACACCCAGGGATACTCTACAACCTTATATAGTCTCCCTGCTACACCGAAACGTCTCTCTCACTAATAAAGTTGTATTGTCACCCTTCCTTAGTAAAATACCGGCAACATCACGGTTTGGGAGACCCGAAACAGGCTGCACACATTGTACCCATGTCTTCGGCATGACGAGAGAATGCTTTAACCACTAGGCTACTCCAATACTTTGAATATTTTTAAACGGACATATATTACTGTCGTACTCTTAACCACTTTTGATCTGCTGTCGTCTTTCATGTTTGGTTAGTTCGTGAAAATTCATTTATGATCCTGTTGTGGCATATCGCTGATCACATTAGCATATGATGCACAGATATATGTGCTTGCAACTGCACCTCGTCCACCCACAGTAAGGTCATGGTGCCAGATTCGGACAGCATCTGTGGTTCTGAAGACAGCGTAACGTTACGTGGGAAGAATATGACTTGAGTAACCTCGGTGGGAAGAGAATGTGGGACTGTATATGGCTCACAGTTAGTCCAGGTTTCATCAACGGACAGCTGTGCTGTTCGCACACGTATCTACATGCCTACAGAGAAAGTTTTAGAGACGCGTGTGTAACTCAAGTTCGTCAGTTTGGGGGAAGACGTAATTGTATAGGGATGCATCACAACTTATGTCTCGTCGCCAAGTGAACGCTGGATCCGGGCAGGGATCCCTATCTATTCCATATTTAGTTATCATTTTGTGCCTACATGTATATCAAACCTTGGATAACTCGAAATATTTTCGTTGGTCCATTCAACTTCGACAGCAGCAGGAACTGGAGTCTTGTCTACGTTGTGTCAATTAGCAGTATCTCTTGGACACACTAGAAACCTTTAATTAAATGTTCGAATCCGATTTTCCCTGATCATGTTTCTAGATTTTTCAACACCACACCCATGTTTTGGGTTTAACTAAGGTCGTATGCATCTGAGACACACATCACTTGATGCTTCCTCACACATTAAGGCCTAGATTTTCGAAGCTCTCTTAGCCCTAAGATAGTCGTAAGTTAATGTTAATATCTGGCACTTACGACTATCTTAGCGCAAAGAGAGCTTTGAAAATCTAGGCCCTGGCTGACAAGTCATTGAACTCAAATCACTCACTCACTACAATTGCTTATGCCCATGTACAGTGTACTCAGAGCATATGTATCCTCCGACACATAACAAAACCGGTTTTGACAAAGCACAGTTTATTTGAAACAGTTTCTAGCTACACTGTCATACAACAAGGAGGACCTGGTAACAGCCTGACCCACTTCATGATGGCCAACACTGCTGCTTTATGTACAAGTGATCCACAAGTCCAGCTCAGCGTGTCTGTAGCACACCACAGACAAGCACTGAGGACCATGCAGTACTACATGTAATCTCAGAGACCACACAGCACTTAAACCAGTGCTGATTCCACACCAGCATTTAAACTGATGCAGATACTACACCAGTACTTAAAATAGTGCAGATACCTAAGGATGCAGTCAGGCTAACCCAGTCAACATTCACTGGAGACCATAGGATTCTTCTACAGCTAGCTCAGAGTTCTTGGTTATCAGTTGGCTTGCTCAAAGGATTCGAGATGGACATATGGCTTTTGAGATCCACAGTAGCACTTCAAACCATCTCAAACACCCAGTGTTGGGAATAAGGGTAACTCAAGGTAGGCTCAAGGATGACTCAAAGACCCACTTAACACTTCTATAAGACTCATGGATGGGGAACAGCCTAGCTCAGAGAGCTACAGTGTTAGACCAGGCTGGTTAACAGAGCAACGGACTGCTGCAGGACAGCTGAAGGGGACACACATAAGTTACTGTATAAGTTATCCTGACACCACAGAGACCTGATACTAAAGTAGACCTACATACTGTCCAATATAACCTTTCATGTGTGATTGTAGCATTACAAATGTCCTAAATTGTATGTCTAAACATATACTTATGTCAGTCGTAGGTTTATGACACATGTGACAAGGGATTCCAGGTGCCCTTTAACAAAAGCCTCTCACACATAAGTCAGTTGGGTTTTATGCTACTTTTAGCAATATTCCAGCATTATCTCAGCTGGGACACCAAAAGAGGCTTTCCAGATTGTACCTAGCGAAACAAACTCAGGCCTTTAGCTGACAAGCAAACACTTTAACCGCTGGGCTATCTCAGCACCACCCTCACAGATAAGACTGCCATTAGTTTACGTTAAAACACCAGCTTTGACATTTGTGTTGCAAGAATCACTTTGTGAAACGATCCACTGGTTTTAAAGTGAGATAGTGTTTTCAACTTAACATATCTAATAAAGCATCTTCAATGATGTGAAAGTGATTAAGTTTACAATCAGCTTCCACCATCTGTGTCCATCGTCACTCAACACAATTCACAGTGTAAGCAGATGCTGACGTATGTTGGAAAAGGTACACATTGAGTCATGTCACATGGGAACAGCTAAGTCTCAAATACTTAAGGTAGAAATGCCTTTGCAGACTAATGTTACAAATCTGAAAAGCAAAACAAGGACTCGAAATAAGAATATTGTTTTGCCTTTCTTCATATTGCACATGATGAATATTGAATTTTGATGGTGCAAACATTCCTTCTTAGAGGGTAGCCCATGTTAGACTCTATAAGTGCATGGGGGCCAGAATGGAACATCTTCAGAAACATTAAAAATAATCCCTGGTGACTGATAATTCTAACTCAACTTTTACAACCTGTACAAACCATTCACAACTTCACAGTCTGTTATTTGATCAAATATGGCTAGGATACACGATAAACTCTCAAATAAAGGTAAAACACAATTTGCTCAATGTTCACATGTGCAGAGAGGCCTTGACAGTGATGGCAATGTTTGATCATATTGGCAAATCTTGCTAATGGCACTAACTTGTAAACACAATGGATGGAGCATGGAAATCATGTTGATTATGCTATATGGTCAAACACAGGATAACAATTATATCATGCTCACATGGGACAAAAGCGTCAACATTACACAAGACATAGTGATTCTTTGAAACGAATGATGGTAGTGAATATCTGGGTGTACAAATTTGGTTATGATCTAGCAGTGTCCGCGTAGTTCTTGAGGAAGCACTTTTTGACCAATCATTTTATCTTCCTAAAACAGGTTTGCTTGTCAAAGACTGAGAAAACTGGTTGTGATAAAATTTAGAAAAATGATTTTCAAAAGATGAAAATATTTCTTGGATTTGTTACTCAAGTATACTAGTTCTGTTCTGACATGTAAGAAATAATGTCACAGTTAAGTAACATCATATTCACTTGAACAGGATGAAAACACCCACATATGATACAGCAATATGTACTCATTGTGATACAAATCAGTTAGTGCGCTTAATTTTACACCATCTTCAGCAATATTTCAGCAATATCATAGTTGGGGACATGAGAGAGAGGGCTTCACACAAAGTAACTAGGTAGGGCTTCTAACACAGGGCCTAGATTTTCGAAGCTCTCTTAGCCCAATGATAGTCGTAAGTTAATGTTAATGTATGGCACTTACGACTATCTTAGCACTAAGAGAGCTTCGAAAATCTAGGCCCTGGGCTTTAGCATGGCAGTCTAACACCTTTACCACATGACAATCTCTTTGTAAGATAAAATGATTGGTCCGTTAAAGCCTAATACAATTCTGACAATACAACATTGTATGTTATATGCAAATCGAGTAGAACATGATAAACAGTGTTTTAATAAGGCAAGTATTTGTGTAGCTGTGAACTTAGTTTGTTCAAAATGTGATGAACATGTTTGCAATGACAGCTTCCGATTCTTTTGCTTCCACTGACTGACAGACTGAGTTTTGGTTTTACGCCGCGTTTAGCAATATTCCAGCAACATCACGGCGGGGGACACCAGAAATGGGCTTCACACATTGTACCCATGTGGGGATTCGAACCCGGGTCTTCGGCGTGACGAGCCAACGCTTTAACCACTAGGCTACCCCACCGCCCCTCTTTTGCTTCCAAGACTGGACACATGATTATGCTTGCGAGGTCACACCGAACTTCCATGGAATCACAGACATCATGTTTTCAACAAACTAATATGGATATATGGACAGAAAGTTGGAAAATATACTGTTGTACTTCATCAAGTTTTGAAAGACACAAAGCACAAGTCACAACATCTAACAGTTTACAGGTTCATCCCCACGGGGCAAATAGGACTGCAAGATGAATTGTATTCAAACACAGGTTCCCTTACTGCAAGATCTCTGGCTCTAAAACTGTGATCAAACATCATATTAACAAACTGTCACATCATCTACGTTAGACACAGTGATGAATCATTTCTGCAGTCTTGTCTGTTCTGAGTGAGTTTTACACCGCTTTTAGCAATATTCCAGCAATATAACGGCGGGGGACACAAGAATGTTTGCACATGAAAGTTGTGTGGACAGAAACAACTTGTATTCACTATTTGCACCGTGTGGACAGCCTGGAATGGGAGAACTGTACAGTGGTTAACAGTAACAAGCATAACTAACACCCTTTCCAATCACAACATCCTTCAAAGGAAAATCCTTTACTGAACAGACATAACTATGTAGAAAGTCACCTGAAAATCTCAACAACCAAACATCGGAATAAGTGTTATGGCATCACACAGCAGTTTCGCCTGTAGAAACTACTGATTATTTTTCAGTTTTGACTTTGACTTATTACAGTAAATTTTTACACATGACATTAAAAATGATGAGAAACGTACCTTCTAAACAGATGAATGGAAAATTGGGAGTCAATGTTACATATTAAAAGTATTGAATGGTAGGACTCAGAACTACATTTCCACCAAAATTATCAGCAATTAATGTTGATTATTTGATAAAAGATATGATTTTCGGCACACATTCCATGGTGGCCATGGATATTTTTTGACCTCTTGTGAAAGCAAGTGGACAAAACTTGACTGAGTGATCTCCCCTGAGCACTAATCACATAAACACTACGACAAGCAGCAGCAAAGAGGCCACAGTTGTCAGTAAAGTAGGATCACTACATTGAGAACATCATGGAGAGGCTGCTGGGACGATATGCCAGGTCACATGAGTAACTACAGAACATCTAAGCAGAAACGCATCATGGTAAGTTAACTGATCTGCTGATATGGCTTCAGACACTACCACTATCAACAGATCAGAGCATATGGAATGAAACTGCAGCAGCCTTTCTGGAAACATTTATGTTTTAAGGCAATCAATGTCTTCAGATCAGTGTTCATTTCAATTTTTCATTGATTTAAACAACCAATCTGTTCAGTGAATTAACTACATAATGGATACACTGTGCACAAGAGGCCTTGCATGAAGGTGTTGAAATTCTTGGTGCTGTTTGCAAACTGAAGTCACCACACATATGAACATCTTTCATTCTGAAATGTGGTACCAAAGTGAGAATTCCAAATAACACTTTCAGTCCACCAACCTTACGACCATTACTTGTTCAAAAGAAGTGTCAGCATTTTAACAAGGGTAAATGGAAACAGCATATATTTTCCAATTTTAAAACTATTGCGAATAGATTAAATGTTCCAAAGCTATTTACCATGACTGCTATTTCTGCACCATCCATAAATGGAACTGTCCTTCCTCTGAATATCGTCACCCCAGCCATCCCAGGATGCATCACCACAAAATATTTACCATTTACAAACACTAACTGCAATGACTGCATGAGGAATAATGTCACATCTACACATATACAGGGTAAATGAAGCACCAAACATTAGGACTCCGTGACGTACATGCATGCCCACAGTGGAGATATATGGAGCCTCTTAATACAGCAAGGAGCACAAAACATGTACCTGATGTGGGTATAATGTACGCTATATACAATGAAATGATATCCAGTCAAGCTGGTTTCAGAGACAGATGGTACAATGGATATTCAATGTTCCCACGGCAGCGATTTGTGATTTTGTTTTGAATATCATCAAATGATCACATAAAAATTTGATTTCAAACAGTTCTTATCCATCCTTGCTCCTTGGGTGCCTCAGATGTTATTTTTTGGGTTGAATTTTCCAGCAACATTTTAATTTCTTATTAAATATATTAAGTCATATACAACAGTTTACACTATACACAAACCTACTGTTCTGATACATCTTCAACAATGTACATATCACCGTTCCATCACAATCTTATATTTTGACAACTCTCCAATTTGATTTGATCACCTACTGTTTAAACATTTTGTAATTGATAATTTCATTTGAAACATGGTTCATTTACGAACTCTAACAAATCTTCAAGGAGAAAGAAAAATTGATATATCTAATACCACCTTTTCTTGAATTCACCTATGGTTTTTATACTCCTTTCTCTATCAGCCAAGTCTTTAAAAACAGATGGAATGCTTAGATCAGATAAAATATACTCTAACATTTGAATTCAAGGATTCATCACAGAAGAACTAAAGTCACTAATATGCAATTTGATGCTATACTCCATCTTCCAATATTTACAGATCAGAAAAACAACTGTGAATTGGCAATCACAACAATTATGTGTTATATCTACAATACAGCAAATCAGCGTTGCTTTTGAAGAAAGCCTTTTGATATTACACGATGCTGCCAGACAGAGTTAGTTACTATGACTACACTATCAGATCAAAGAAAACACTGCTACGGGAACGGGTAACTATCTACCTAAACACCTAAGATTTCACACCAAATTATATTATACTGTTATATAAAGTACTGTTATACTTTAGTATTTTATACAAGAAGAATTAGAAACATATGTTGATAAGTTGACACTGCCCAAAAATTATTTTAATTCTTATAAAATAGCTAAAAGCAGATTCATACATTGCTAGCATATGACTCAACTACAGCGAAACTTTAATATACTACTCAAAACAAGTTAAAAGAACACCTAATGCTTTCACATGATGGTAGATAGCCATGATTACACAATACCATTTAGAAAGTGGTCAAATGTAACATATGTTATATTTGGGATTACACTTTCTTAGCAAAGTACAGATTCTAGTACTTTTGTTGAGTTGAGTCGATTCGAACCCACACCCTCAGAGTCAGGCACCTAATCGCCAGCACACAAAGTCAGCCGCCTAACCCGCTCAGCCACCGTGACTTCCACAAAAATGGAAGTCGGATAACTGGTAGTTTAGACTGCAGACTTTGTGTACCCCTCTGATAAGTGTAAATTAAAATTAAATTAAATCTGTAAATTGGCACGGCTCCCACTGCCGAAATCTATGATTACACAATGCAATTTAGAAAGTGGTCAAATGTAACATATATTATGTTTGGGTTTACACTTTCTTAGTAAAGATAACCAGTCATTGCTGATGGGTATTGCAAACACCTAATTGTTGGTGTAATTTATTTTGAGTAGAACAGAAAGCACCTACCAAGAAGATTTCCATGCTCATACAGATATTAAAAAGATATAAATATGTGACTACTTCACACTGATATGTGTAAACAACAACGCACAGCCACAGTTGTGCCTATATAGGAAATATTGCAGAAATATTCACAACTGGCACAAAAAGCTTTATAAAACAAAGCAGAAATGTACAGTTCACAGTATATATTATTTGCACATGTGCCCATAGTGAGCTATCAATGAAGTGAAAATTCACACTAACATGCCAGCAAAATGCTTATATATTAAACTGGACACACAAAGGGTAAATTGTAAATCCAGGAAAACTACTCCTGAAGCCAGCTACTTCATATGTCCCTCTATATAACCTGTATCATTATAATTGCCCTTCATGATAGAACACTGTAAACTCCATTCAAGAGTTTCATACTGTATCAATGATAAATATCGTCAAGCATACCACAGAACTCGATTACTGATTCACACAACACTCGCCAACTTTCAGAAGCTGTTAAAGCTATGTGGAAAAAAGAAATCACTCGCTTGATACTGACATATGCGAGTAACTTGTACATTTCATGTGATATAAACAACACCACTGTCAGATAACCGTAGCAGTAACATAGTCCACAGAAATGATTTGCTTAAATGTACAGTGCTGAATATGAAGTTAAAGCCAGAGGCACAGCTCTGACACTGATCAATACTAGCTATGACAGAGATAATACCCACTTCAATAACATTTGGAATTCAATGACTGCTTTGTTTCTTCTGAAGCCAAGATCCAATCAGTCTAAAAATTTGACTTTATTTCATTCCTTACTTACTGACTGACTGCTGAAGGCTAAGCGAGAGAGTTTTCGTGACACTTGTTAACAAATGTCGATATTAGTAAGAAAACCCATTGTTTTCTTGCCCTTTCAAATAGCATGAAAACTGGTTTAAAACCAATCCCCTTGTCATATATCTCCTCTTAACCATACTAGTAGTTTCACACGGTTCAGAGATTACCAATAACATATCAGTAAACTTGGCAGAAGTGAACACTGGGTAAAGTGGGTGCTACCTCTGGTAATACTACAAGCTGTATTTGACGTCTGCAGTGATAGCTTGTTGTTGCAATGATGACAGCATCTTGTCGATATTTCAGCGGGATCGTGGCAGAATATTATGACCAACGCCCTCAAGTGGCAGACTATATCTTATTATGTCGGGCAAAGTACTGCAAAGAAACGAAACAGGAGATTAATCACTGCATCACACAACACAGTACAAAGCAGGATACCAATCAATGCATTTAGCCATTTGTCCGAAGAGACAATCTTTTAAAATTCTGTTTGGTAAAGTCAGTTCAGCTAACAATAAGTCATGTGATAACACTGAAATCTTCTGGAAATGTTGCCATATTCCTGGACTCACACCTTTTGGTACACTCATACACAAGCCATACTTTGTTTCCGTAAGTGGCATTTAGAAGCTGGTATGATGAAGTGGAACAATTTTATGGATAGACAACTTCTTTGTTGTAAGAGTTACGTCCCTTCCATCTTAGACTCGTGTAAGGCAAATAATTATTGTATTGCTACATAGTGAGCGATAATATGGAAACATGTTTCAGTTTACGATAGAAAGAAATGAGTTCTCACAATTCCATAGTATGTTTCAGGGATCATATCAATACATAAGGGTGTTATGAAATGTCATGGCACAGGAAACCAGAAATGGGTCCAACAAAATGGAGCCAGTAGTGTATGGGGTCTTATGCTGCAATCAGCATATTGAATTTGTCGACAAACATATCCAGCAATATTCAGCAATATCGCAGCTATATTCAGCAATATTCAGCAATATCACAGCTATATTCAGCAATATCACAGCTATATCGCAGCTATATTCAGCAATATCACAGCAATATTCAGTAATATGATGTGTAAATAAACAAGATTAAGTCAGACAATCCACTGATATTCAGCAATATCACAGCTATATTCAGCAATATCAGCAGCAATATGATGTGTAAATAAACAAGATTAAGTCAGACAATCCACTGATCGATATACTGAGTAACAGTGTACCCCATCAGACCTGTACCTTTGAATCACCTCTTATGACCAACATGGCTGATGGGGACCCATAGACACAGCCTAAAAACACATATGGACTGCAACCAGGAATATAACAACTGTATCACAGCGGCTTGATAAGTGATATATTGCCCCAGACAAGTAATCCACAAATCCACAGTAACCCAGACAATGCTTACAAACAGACTGGGTCACCAAGAACTACTCTCCATTTTCTTCATCTGACACCCAACAATAATTTGGATAATGAGCTTACCTTCCAGGAACAGTTTACAGAGATTCACATACAAATGGTTCAGCTATTATAAAGACTTTGCTATGTTTACTGGATGTAATACCTTTGAGGATGTAGTCAGTCAGCAGGGTTGGAACTGTCTGGCTGTCTTCATTGATGGCCTGTAAAACTGTAACAACAAACACAATAATACAGAATTACATTCAGGGATTTTACATGACGCGTGATTCCTGCGTATTTGACGCAACAATTTTGTAAACGACTCTCAAAATATTATCATACGAGTCAAGCTTGAGGCAAGTTTTATGGGTGGCCCTCACAATTCAGTTCAACAAAATCGATTTGATAAGCAAAATAAGATATTGTTCGCTGATAGTTTGACTTTTACAGAGCTGTCAGTTTGTTCCAGAGAACTCAGAGGAGACAGTAATCCTGACTGTTTGAATTGAACAATGCTGTAGTTTCATTTGGTGGTGTGACATACACCATTACATACTGAGAATGATTAACATAAAGAAATATTGAAAATGACTCCCAAAAATAAATTTTGTGAGTCACCATGACTTCCATTTTTAAAAGTCTGTGTAAAACCCTGACATTAGAGAGGGAACATGATAAAATACAAAGTTGTCGTTATCTCTGAAATCATTTCTGTGAGGTTGTTCAACATGATTCATACATTCTTCCATAGGAGAGAAGCAGTGGTGCTGATCCACCATTTTCAAGCATACCAATCACATTGACATACCAAAAATGCCATCATATTAATGAATCATTTGTCACATGCTTTTGAACATAAAAGTTAATTAACTGATGTTGTCTAATAAGTGAAAATTTTCTCTTAAAGCGTTGGCTCGTCACGCCGAAGACCCGGACCCGAATCCCCACATGGGCACAATGTGTGAAGCCCATTTCTGGTGTCCCCCGCCGTGATGTTGCTGGAATATTGCTAAAAGCGGCGTAAAACCAAACTCAGTCAGTCAATCAGTCAAGGAAGTATCTTAATGGTAATATTAGTTCCATTTATATAGTACTTTACACATCAAGGCATGATCATAGCGCTTACAGAAACAAAATCGCAGACATTTTTTAACAAGATATGTCTTCAGTTGGGCTCTGAAAGTGTGCAGTGATTCAGAGTGTTTGGGGGTATCTGTAATTTCATTCCATTTTACTGCAGCTTTCACACTCAATGAACGGATACCAAATGTCTTCATCAAAGAACATCCAGGATGTTCTTTGAGCTGAACCACAGACATCAAGCTGGTTGATACTGTGACAGGAGTTCACATAAGTATTCTGGTGTATATTCATTTACACACTGATAAGCCAGGAATAGGATATTAAAATCAACCTGTGCATGAACAGGTAGCCAATGTAATGATTGGGAGAACTTGTTCTTGTCAGTTGAATGTGAAGCCTCAGTCAAGATACAGGCAGCTTTGTTCCGGATTTTTTGCAAGCGACTGATGTTCGCTGGTGTTGTTTTGGCAAGGGGACTTTAACAATAATCCAGGTGAGATTGGATGAAGGACCTGTCGAGAGTCGCTGCAGTGTCGTGAGTAAGGAGATGACAGATTCGTATGCTTTAAAGATAGAAGCCTCAGACTCTACAAAGTTCAGATGCTCGTCTGTCCATGGTGAGTTCTGACTGTAAATACAGTACCAAGTCCTTCACAGATTTTGAGCATGGGACTTTGATTGCACAGACTTGAATGTCAGAAACATCCACATTCTGCAGTCTTTGTTTGGTCCTAGAAGTATGACTTCCATCTTACTTCTGTTCAGCTTCAACATTTTGGTTGTCCGTTGTACAAGTCTCCATTTTCGTGAGAATAGAAACAAGACCACTGTGTCTTCCAAACAGGAATGCTGTGATATAGCTGGAATATTGCTGGGTATAGCCTTTACAACAAAGAAGACATAGTTTACCAGCAGACAGATGCACTGTACTTACTTTTGATATAGATCTGGAGCTGCTCTGAGGATGGCGGCCCCTGGTGTAGGTGGTACGGGATCACAGTGGTCAGGTACTGCAACAACATAAGTCAACACATCACAAACATATCTCCCACACCGGGACAATCATCCAATCACAGTAACACATATCCCATATTTCCCTGGTGTAGGTGGTACGGGATCACAGTGGTCAGGTACTGCAACATTATACATCAACACATCACAAACACATCTCCCACACCGGGACAATCATCCAATCACAGTAACACATATTCCATATTTCCCTGGTGTAGGTGGTACGGGATCACAGTGGTCAGGTACTGCAACAACATAAGTCAACACATCACAAACACATCTCCCACACCGGGATAACCATCCAATCACAGTGATGCATATCTCCCATAAAGCACTACAATATGTGTGCATGGTGTTTATCACAGAGCATGGAAATGGGGCTGACAGATGAAGAATAACAATAAGTGTGACTGGTACTTAAACAAAGATCAGGAAACAGAACTGTTGATGGTATACGCCATGAGGATCCTTTTCCAGCATATCCTGAACCAGAACCCTTCTAGGGCAACAAACTCAAGCCATATCCCAGGCTATGAAATAAGGCCCATCCGATAGCACGTTACCTGGTAACTTTTGGTGTGGGCTGGCATTGCCATTTATATAGACAAATTATCACATTCGGGCTGGCTATTTTTCAAACTTGTTTCCTACACTGCATATCCTAAAACTCACTGACCCTGGATGAGTCTGACTATGGATATTCCCACAGAAACTAACTCAAGCAGCTGACTGATCCTGGAGTGTCCTGATTCAGGACTATTCCATCTAGGATCCTCCCCCAGGAACAGACGCAAGCCCTGCTCTAAAACTCAACGATCCTGGACTGTCCTGATTCAGGACTATTCCATCCAGGATCCTCCCCCAGTAACGGATGCAAGCCCTGCTCTAAAACTTACCGATCCTGGACTGACATGATTCAGGACTATTCCATCCAGGATCCTCCCCCAGTAACAGATGCAAGCCCTGCTCTAAAACTTACCGATCCTGGACTGACATGATTCAGGACTATTCCATCTAGGATCCTCCCCCAGGAAGAGATGCAAGCCCTGCTCTAAAACATACCGATCCTGGACTGACATGATTCAGGACTATTCCATCCAGGATCCTCCCCAAGTAACAGATGCAAGCCCTGCTCTAAAACTCACCGATCCTGGACTGGTGGAATTTTCATTGTTGTTTGCACTGCACTTCTTCTTCTTTTTCTTCTCCACGTTGCCCTCGCGTCTCTTCTTCTGGATAGTGAGAAGAAGGGAGATGAACTGGTTCTTCAGCTCCTTGTCGTATTCCAGCTCATCGCGTAGGGCCAGCTCATGCACTAATGTCTCGTTCAGCTCCTTGATGGTCAGCTCATACTCTGCCAGGACTTCATGCAGCTCAGTGTTGTTCATTCCCTTCAGCTCTGTGGACAGGAGAGGAGGACAAGCTCAGTGTCATGGTTCATGGTACATGGCAAAACATCCACTTTCACTGACCATATGTACCAAACAAAACAAGCTAGATACAAGTGAGTGAATGAATACTGATCACTGCTGTTGTCAGGACAAACTAACAGAGCAAAACGAAATCAGCAAGTCGAGACACAGTTCATGGGTAGACAAGGCCACTTGTGTGTATTAGCCAAGAGAAACTCAAAAAGATGTAGTTGTTTAGACTCAAATATTATTATTTTAAACAAATAAATTAGTCCAAAATTATCTGTGGACTAGCTGGAAATGGTCTGTTAGTGTGTTACAGCCAACCAATCTTCACTCCAGACAGCATATGAGTACTTGGGACATTTCACCCCAAGTTGACATGTAGGTGTTCATAGAATGTTTAATCAAAGGTAATACCCAAAAAGGACAAAAAGGAAAAACCCCATACACAACCAAAGTCTCATGTGATGAGTTTCATGTAAATGCAACAATCTGCAGGACTGCTAACACAGAACACACTGTAGAGTCGGCATGAGTATCTAACTAATTGTAAGTAACTTTCTGGTAATGTTCCAAATGTTCCAGTCAATGAGAAACAGCCTTCAGACACCTGTATAGGGTAGCATCATCAGAACAACCAAAGACCACACCTTTTTGCACGTTCATTCCTAGCAGTGAAACATTATCTCAACCAGTGCAACTCCTTTCAAGTTGATTCCAACTTTTCCATATAACCATATATTTTAGTCAGTCAGTCCTAGTTTTTGGTGAACTCAGCAATGCCAACAATGACAGCATTTGGCTGAATTAACCTTAGCTGAGCAGCTTCCTGTTTGACTCCCAATTACCAGTACTTGACAGGTACCGCCACCTGTCAACTGAACACATTATATCAGAGATTCTTCTTGCATTGCATGGATGTGTTGAAGGTCAGAACAGCCACGAGACTCAATTATCTCCCTTGATCTATGTCTGATTCAAGTAAAATTCCATTGTAGAAATGTTTTCATGCAAACCATTAAAATTCCCATGATTTCGGATCACCCTTTTGACATCTGATGTCTTGGAATCTCTTGTATTAGATGTGTGTGTAATGCACTGTTCAGGAAATGTCAAGTGGTGTCATCTGGACAAAATCCACCTGGACAAAATCCACCCGGACTAAATCCACCCCAAAATTGCAACCTAGGACAAAATCCACCCGGACAAATCCACCCCGGACAAAATCCACCCCTAATAAATTCCACCCTACGAAAAATCCTTGAGAACAACTTGATCAAAGATCAGGACACACTAAAACTTTTAACAATAGCAATTTGAGAAGGGTGGATTTTGTCCATTTTTTTGTTAAGAAGAGGTGGATTTTGTCCGGGGTGGCAATTTTGGGGTGGATTTTGTCCGGGTGGATTTTGTCCGGTCACCAAGACTCGTACACCTGTCAAACCTTGGACAGTTGATGTTTACTGATAACAGTAAAACATATCCATTGCCCCAAGATGCCCATAAAATTGATCAGTGGGGAAAGTTTTCATCAAATTATGAGTGTGTAAGTCAGCAAGTCAGTCAGTTGGGTTTTACGCTTCTTTAAACAATATTCCAGCACTATCACGGCAATACCCAGGTCTTGCACGAATGAGCAAACACTTTAACCATTAGGGTACCCAATGCCTCTCATCAAACTATGCACATGATACGGGCGTTAAGGTTAAAGGTCACATGCAACGTAAAACACAACTTAGCAGATTCTGATACCTTTCGGTATGGACTCACCGAAACAAATCATCAAAAATGCAAATTCAACTTATAAAGTTAAAAAATATCGCGATGAAAAAACACACGCGAAATCGTAGTTCAAATGATTCACTAATTTTCTCCCAGCTTGGGGAAAAGTGGTTTCAACAGCTGGGCTATGCTCATAGCACATGCGCAGTGAAATAGGTTTGCGCAGCTTGGAAGCGGGCTGTCCGGTGAATACTCGGTGAAGGCTTTGGTGTGAGCTATTTTTCTAATGTTTTGTTGATATTTCACAGGCGCAAGCTTTTTATATGTTATGACAGTAGATTACCGATTTAACTGTTTATATAATTTCATTTGTCTATTTCACCACACATTCTTCTTACCGAGTCACTTTCTCAGTTCGATACTTAAAAGCAATGTCATTATTTAGAGTTGACAGAATTTCTAACTGTGATATAGATATGTCGTTGTCACAGACAAAACTCAATGTCTGTTTTATATTGACACCTATGTGTCTGCCTGCCTGTCTGCTAATGACAATATTCAATACACAACTTTGATCACTGACCACATACAATTTGAACTTAACACCTATCAGGCTATACACTATAAACAAAACGCATTGATTTATGGCCCGAGTTCGGTCTCTGTCACATTATGTAATTACACAGACAGGCAGGTGTGATACTTGTACACATGACATGTTATGATGTCTGTTGATTGCAAAATGTTATACACAAAAATGAGCATGTATTTACAAAACCCAGTATCTCTATATATACACACAATGAGCCGTGAGGGCATCTGCAAATGAACCAGCCGTTACACTTGAGTGCACACCCACCCGCTCTGACTGGGTTTGGTATCCCGACTGCTTCGTTTCTTGGAAAGTAAACCCAAGTACAAAATATTGCACTTTTGATTTGCGATTGTACGTTTATAATTTTGTTAATATGTTTTTTTCATAATCAGCAATATATATTATATGTCATGAATAAGTGATAATTGTGTTTTAATTATGTTTGATGTTTTGGTTGCATGTGACCTTTAAAGATCATATTCAAGTCAAATATAAGGGCATAGTGTCCCAGGTTTCAGTATGTAGCAAACATCAAGGATGATTCTAGGATTTCAAACAAAGTGCCAGTCAATCTGGAAAACAATGCTATATAGCTCAAACTGGTCAGTGAAATACAAGTCATTTTAGTCCGTGAGTATGACTTTTAGCAAAATTCCAGCAATATCATGGCAGGGGACATCAGAAATGTGGGGAATCGAACCTGGGTCTTCAGCGTGACGATCGGACGCTTTAACCACTAGGCTACACCACTGTCCCTACAAGTCAATTTAACAAAGCCATAACATTAGTAATTTTGTAAAGCCCATTTCTGGTGTCCCCCGCCTTGATGTTGCTGGAATATTGCTAAAAGCGGCGTAAAACCAAACTCAGTCAGTCAGTCAGTCAGTAATGACTATTATGTACGTTATCCTTAATAGCACTCTACGTTACCTGCTACGGATACCTTGATAGATCTTGGGTGATCAAAAGGTGTTAAATGCTAAATATGACAACAGTTTTAAAGTTAACATCTGGACCAGATACAGTTAGCTAGTGTTAAAGTGAACCCAAAGCGACCACTCTATTTAGTTCTCTATAACCATAGTTTGCTGTAAGTATTTCAACTGACATATACAGCAAGTGTCAAGGGTATAAAAATAACAGTTTGTTACATCACTTCAGTTTCAGCATGTTCGCCAAAACGTAGTTGTACTGTATTTCCACAAAATGTCAAACATGATAATGAGTTAAATGTCTCTTTCATCATTGTTGGTTTTTGTTTATTCTGGCTATTTGACAATGGCCTTTAAATAATTAAGTCTGGACTAGATGATCATGTGATTCATGTTGTGAGCAAGGATCCATGCTTCCCAATACATTGACAAAGGCATCAACCAAAGTAATGAGCCTGACCACCCTCTTCATTTAGTTGCCTCCTACAACCAATTTTTAACTGGAATCCCCATGGGGCAAAACTGCTCCTTGAAAGGAATGTCTGATGACAGCTTAAGAAGGGAGCATTTGTGGTCAAGAACACCAGCTCAACTTGAAGATACTCTGGCGAGTAAACATCTCTTCTAATGCCCAATAAATGGAGGAATCAGGAAAGCGATTTGTTTACACAGATATTGATTTTATGCTCGTGTTCACTGCTACCTTTGCTGAAAATTACTTGCAATGTTTAATTTAATTAAACTGGAATATTTGATTAAGTGAATCAGTTTTGAAACCACAACATGACTGAAGAAACCAAGAATTGGCTTCCAAATCGGTAACCACAGGAAGATTTGAACCAAGGTCAGCAAACAAAGTCCACTGCCCTACAAATGTCACTGCTGTATGAACATGGCAGGAATATACCTAGTTGTGACCAGTAATTTAGTAAGTCTGAGGGACTAGTGATTCAATGCAGGGGGAGCAGAGGCTGGTGGTCTTACGTCTTTATCATAATCCTCCCTCCCCAGTTCATCCTCCTCCAAATATATGCAACATTTTAAAAGACTCCCTATTTTGACAAATATAGAACTGTCATTGTTTTCACTGCCTGCCATAGTTGCGATAACCCCCTTTTCCCCTTAATCCATGACCAACACCCACATCCACTATTTCAGAAAATGACCAGTCACTAATCCCATTCACAATTATATAAATCTCAAGGCTAGATATAATATCATTTATGTCAAGATCTGATTAATCAAAATCTTTAAAAACTTATTCCTCCATTTGCGACTTAAACTGATACTTTTGAATGACATGAAATATCCGTGGATGACGAAAATAGACATTATTTAATTCCCCTGTCATTCATGCTGTATTTATATGAGGGAAGGAAGCTAGGAGAAAGGTTTACACGGAGTATGATACAATGATGGATGTTTCCAAGCCTTCATCAGCTGCCTCCAGGTCTTAATTTAGATACTGAATCTGTATTAGGTTCCATATAAGCAATGATGGTAACAGAATATCCCACTCGGCATACCAAATGGCCCCAGTTTTATTGATTGAGATAAATCAGTTATATTAGATCTATCATATTTCACAAGGCTAACAGTGTTGGACGTTTCCAAGCTCCAGGTTTTCGGCCATATTTGTTGGAATTGAGGCTACAGATGTGCTTGTGAGCTCAGCTCTCGTCAGTGGTCGATTTGGTATTGATTGGCTCACTTACTCTGCAACTCTTGTGTGTCT